CCGGGGCGCGCTCCTCGGGGTCACAGCGAGGTAACCGCCGCTGCAGAGGGCCCGGGGCGCACTCCTCGGGGTCACAGCGAGGTAACCGCCCCTGCAGAGGGCCCGGGGCGCGCTCCTCGGGGTCACAGCGAGGTAACCGCCGCTGCAGAGGGCCCGGGGCGCACTCCTCGGGGTCACAGCGAGGTAACCGCCGCTGCAGAGGGCCCGGGACGCACTCCTCGGGGTCACAGCGAGGTAACCGCCGCTGCAGGGGGCCTGGGGCGCACTCCTCGGGGTCACAGCGAGGTAACCGCCGCTGCAGAGGGCCCGGGGCGCACTCCTCGGGGTCACAGCGAGGTAACCGCCGCTGCAGGGGGCCTGGGGCGCACTCCTCGGGGTCACAGCGAGGTAACCGCCGCTGCAGGGGGCCTGGGGCGCACTCCTCGGGGTCACAGCGAGGTAACCGCCGCTGCAGGGGGCCTGGGGCGCACTCCTCGGGGTCACAGCGAGGTAACCGCCGCTGCAGGGGGCCCGGGGCGCACTGCTGTCTAGTAAGCAGCTCTGAGCCTCTCTGGAGGAGATGGATGGAGCAGGGCGGGGCCACCTGGGCGTGGTTTGCAGCCGGGCGGAGCTAAGCACTGCTCTGGGTCAGAGCTTGGAGAGGCTGTTCCTTAAGAAACGACACAGAATCGTGGTGCCAGGAGGCGACTCGGGCCCCCGGGCACACCTCCCAAACAGGAGCCCGTGAGGTTTCCACGGTGATGGACACGGTGTGGGTCTGGGGGTGCAGTGTCTCCCCTTCTCTCCTGGCTCCACTGCAGCAGCCTCAGGAGTTGTCCTCAAATCAACTCGGTCTCCCCATAACCCGAAACCCTTCCCCAAAGAAATCAAGGAAGAGGGACCATACAAATCCAGTTTTAATGATACAGAAAGAGTTGCTGGTACATTTCTTCCCACAGCAGTTCTTCGTTCAGCTCTTAACAATGTAACAAACTTCAGGCTAAATCAGAGCAATCGGAAAGTCCATTTTGTGTGGTGGTCTTTCCACACATCCTCACAAACAGAGGCTGTTCTTCAGGGGAAAAAGAAATGCTGGGCCAGGGACCAGATCCAGGAAGCACCATACAAGGGATGCTCCTAGCTTACTAGTGGCCTCCACCTCCCTGGGAAGTTACAAGTGGGACTCTGTAACTCGTGACAGAGACAGCACCTCGGGAGCTGGGAGCCCCCGGTGCCGCGGCCATTCCAGAAAGCCAGGGCCCGTCGGTCTCCTGCTCGGTTCTTCCCAGAGAAATGAAAAGCTAACGTGGACCGTGTTTAAAGAGTCAGAGAATTACATCTGAAACTGTGGGGACAGGACAACCCCCGACTGGCCCTTCCTCATCCTGTTTATACAATGAGAGACTTAAAGAAAACGGTCCAGCAAAAACGGCCTCACTGCCAAGACGGGTCAGGACATGCCCGGGGTCCCGGACACTGGCATTCACTGTGGTCGGGGGTTTCCTTCCCACTGGCCCATCGTCCTGGGCTACTGAGCTCTCTGCTTCGAGGGAGACCCTTCGGCCGCTCCAGGACTTAGAATAAGATGAAGAGTCTCGTTTTGTGTGTCTTTTTCCTCCAGTAAAACTTCTGGAAGGAGCAGAGACGAGCCTACGCTGCCTCCCTGTAGGAAGCCTCGCTCCCTGAAGTCCTGACAGGTGCTGAGCCTCCTCGCCCTGGCCCGTGGCGTCCACTACAACCCGCCCCGCCGTGGGGAACCCACGTGTCACCTGCACTGCGGGAGAACTGGGTGTCCTGACACCACCAGCCCAACAGAGAAGGTGGCTTGTTTTTCGTGACGACCCCTAGGGCCACCACTTTAACCAGGACATTTCACTTTATGGCAAGAGGACCTGTTAGCCCAGAGAAGAAATTTCTCATGTAATGTTAAAATTTTCATCATAAAGCAGCAGATAGTAAGAAATGGTGTTTTGCCTTTCATTTTGCACGACAATCTTGTTTTCCCATTTCTTTGGTTCCCAGGGCCTCAATGTCCCCTGAAGATGCACACCGGAAGGCAAACCCCCAGGTAAATACAAGTACCCTCTTGGGACTCACGTGTCCCCGCTCAGACCTCTAGGAACAGCGGGCTGAGGTATGTACACTGAAATGCATTTCGCAGACAATGCACATGTAAACACAGGCAACATGGTAAACATCCAATCACCCACGTCCACGTACTGGGTACAGTGACGTCACAGGACCACACAGCCCACACAGAAGGGACGGCTTCTGGCGCCTTGCAGCGCCGTGTGTTTCACCTGGCGCATCCTCGGGCCGCCTCTTACTGTCAACTTTCCTCAGCTCTGTCCATGCAGAGTCAGATCCAGCAGCAATGTCTGGGTCTCAGAAACTTGTTTTGTTTTCTTTAAGATTCGCTATTCCAACCCCTTGTCACACAGAGGAAGACACTAAGATCCAAAGAAGCCGAGAGGTCGGTCTGAGGCTAACAGGACGGCAGGGGAGGGCCCACGCCAGGTCTCTCGTCCCCAGACCAGCAGGTCCTGCCGCGCCACGGGCCTCCCGCGAGCGTCCCCAGACCCAGCGCCCTTCCACTGAAGCTGAGCAATGGCCAGGAGCTGTCCTGTTCTTAGAAGCAGGTGGTGAGCCATCCGGGGGCAGGGACCGCGTCTCCTGTCCCTTCCGGCCCCATCCTAGGTAATGAAAGTCCAGCAAAGACTCGCTGCTTGGCAATCACTCAGCCAAGGACCAGCGCTGGTGTCTGTCCTCACATCTGTCCACCAACATCCAGGCAGACGCGAAGGACCTGGCGGGACAGAGAGCCACCCGAGGAGGGCATGACGCCTGAACTTACAGACAACAGGAAGCTAATGCGGATACAGGCTCCGTGACATGAATTACTGTCTTCCCCTTGCTCCTGAATTATGCGAATTATGCGAAAAAATAAATGACCCCAATGGAGGGAAATAAGCCATTTACCTCTAACGTCTGTCCAACATGAATTCCAAATATCCTAGCCTGTTCTAAGCAGATCACCTGTAGTGGCTGTAACAACTGCATTTTACTGACTTTGTTGCTAGTGCTCGAGGTTTTCTGTGTTTTAGAAAACACTCCTCTGCAGATGGAGCTGAGTCCTTTATGAAGCGGAGTGTGAGGCCAAACACATTTACGTCTATAGGGCGACATTCCTGTCCTACATAAACACACGCACACACACTCACATGCATGTACTTACTGGGAGGTGGGGAGACATGACGTTATATTTTCTTTGACTATGGACTGTAAACCATGGTGTACATAAGTAATTCTATTGTATCGCCATGTTGTTTGAAGATACGACATGGAAAAAGAGCCAACACTTAAAGAGCCAACAGAAAATGTTAAACAAAATTTAAGGCTAAAAATTAAATCAACAGGCACATGGGCCACAGGTGCCACACAGCCAGGCACGGCTGGTGTCCCCTGGACACCGGGCTCTGCGGGATCGGGGACCAGGGGGACTGCGGGAGCACCAGGGCCGGGGAGGGGCCCACGGGGACCGCGGGAAGGGCCTCAGCAGCACTGCTGGTGGGGTCCCTGCGCCCGCAGAGCCCCTACGCCGAGCAGAGCACAGACGAGCGCGGATGCACACATCCAGTCTCCGCCCCAGCAGGCTGCAGGACAGCCTTCCTCAACGCAAATTATGTCTGAATTTTACAGCAAAGGTGCTGCCTCCTCTTCTTTCTACTTCTCAACTATTAAATCCAGTCTTACCTACAGTCATTCTTCCGAATGACCCTTTAACAGTGACAAGCTCCTTCGTCCATGTGCTCACTCCACACGCACTTACTGGGGTGACTGGACTCGGTCGGAGGTGATCAGGGCTGAGAGGCCTTAGCCGAGGCTCACCCACACCCTGTTTACTGGGCATGAGAGGCGGGGCCAGTCCTGCTGCCCAGGGTTCCACAAACCCCGCCCCCAATCTAGCACCCATCTCAACAGCCTGCCCAAGCATTTAGCCAAATCTTATGCAAAAGGTATGTACGTTTATTTCAAAAAATGACAAAGCGACCAAAGGAAGGAACTTCTGATTGATAGAACTAGAATCAGCATGAGGAGTGACGAAACCACAGGGCGAGCGTGTCTTGAAAACAAACGCAGGTTCGTCAAGATCCCCACCGTCATTTTTGGACAGTGTATGTAATCACATTCGGAACGTACGACACCTTTTCTGTCCTTCCGCACGGCTGGGAAGCCATGCAGAACACAGCACCTGCAGCTCGCCCACAGCACAGACACCCAGGAGCCACGGCCTAGTCTGAGCATCCACCGTCCAGACACACGATGGGCATCAGCTACGGAAACACCCGTCTTCCACTTCTCCCGCAGCAGGAGGATAAAGCTCGCTAACATCGCATCGAAGTGTCCGGCGTGCACTGACCTCACTCCACCGAAGGCAGCGGGGCTCCGGAGGGGCGGGCTGGCCGCCCAGCCACCTCGGTCTGCACGGCTTACCAGTCGCAGAGGTCAGACACCTCGCAGCCTGTCGCCTCGGGGAAATGTTACAGTCACTCCATCTGCCAGATTTACTTGCTACGGACCAGGCGTTGGTGTAGGGTGACATGTCTCCCTCTGAGCTGTTAATAAAGTTTTCTGTCCCCCACTCGATAGAATTGAGACCCCCCAACCACCGTAGGCTGACAGTCACCATGAATGAAGTGTGCCAACGGCTGTCACTCTGACCCCCCTGAAAACTACATCCAAGTGGCATTTGATGACAAAATCACTCATCTACGTCAACCCAGACAGAAAACACCACCCGCAAGGAGCTGACACTTCTGTGCCCACGGCCGCAGGACGCCCACGGGACAGCAGACCCGCGGAGCCCGCCTGGGGAGGGGCGGGCGGCCAACTCGGCACACCTTTCACAGCTGCGTGGAAACCAGTCTCGAACACCACGCACTTCTCAAGGCAACCATTACTACAAAGGAAAAATGATTTCATACCTTTGGTCCATAAAGAAGACACATTTATTTACATTCTCAATGGACTAAAAGAGGTTTAAAACTGTCACAATTAAAACTCTATGCTTCCAAAAATATCATGTGATCAATGCACTTAACTTAAAGTTTCAGTTATTAACAACTTCATTTAGACTTCTTAAAAAACCAACATAAACATACTTTCTAGAGTGCAAAATGCTTCTTATTAAATATTCAGTAACACAAAGCGATTTGTTTTAAACACGGGAATTCTTCTCGGAAAGCTGAGCGCCCGGAGCCCCTGCCGGCGGCGGAGGACGCGGAGGACACGGAGGAGGACGCGGAGGACGCGGCGGCCCGGGCGCCCTACTTGTACAGACTCATGGTGGGGCTCTGGTACATGCACATGTACGCGTCGCACAGCAGCCTGCGCGCACAGCCCTGGATGCTCCTGGAGTCCAAGGAGTGCAGGTCCTCCGGGGACATCTTCAGGTACTCCCGCACCTCCGGGCACGGGGTCACCTGCGGGATGTTGAAGCCGTTCTGACCACCTGTGGACACAGAGGAGCTCTGCTCAGGGCCGCGTCCCACCCGCGCTGCCCGGCCGCCCACCGCCCGCCGTCTCCGGCTCAGCAAGGACCGCCGGAGCCCGAAGGCTGGCTTTGCTTTGGATCCCGAGTTAGGCCCTCCTCTGCTCTCAACAGTTCTCGTGTCTCCGTTCCTGAAGGATGCTGGGGCCCAGAGTGAAGGAAACTGGCACAAGGCCAATTCCAAAACCGACGTCCCAGGCTCCTGTGTTCAGTGAGCAACATCGCACGGGTGCCTGCACCCTCCACCCCTGACCCGCACCGTCCCCACAGACACTGCAGGCGAGGGCGGATCCAGCGCGACCAACACGTGCACCGCCTCACGCTACCAGTGCGCCTGTGCGACTCCGAGGGTCTGTTCCCAGCCACCAGCTGGGCTGCGGTCTCAGGGATCCCGGGAGGCCGTGCTGGTTCAGCCTCCCGGTGGCCTTTCCGCATGTCTAGGCCCGATGCTCTGAGTTTCGTGTCAGATTAACACTCACCTGGGGTAGGGACACGTGTACAGATGGGGCTGTACGTCCCCCTCAAGAGCCTGAGAGCTGGGATGTTGACCAGCCTCGGTCTAAAGCTTGGGCTCCTGGTCAAAAGGCTGCCACAGGGTGCCCTAGGCTGACCAAGAGCCACACCGGGAGATGGGGCACGGGGTGCCCTAGGCTGTCCAAGGGCCGCACCGGGAGACGGGGCACCAGGTGCCCTAGGCTGTCCAAGGGCTGCACCGGGAGACGGGGCACCAGGTGCCCTAGGCTGTCCAAGGGCCGCACCGGGAGATGGGGCACGGGGGGCCCTAGGCTGTCCAAGGGCCGCACCGGGAGATGGGATAGGGGTGTCCTAGGCTATCCAAGGGCCGCATCGGGAGGCGGGGCACGGGGTGTCCTAGGCTGTCCAAGGGCCGCACCGGGAGACGGGGCAGGGGGGCCCTAGGCTGTCCAAGGGCCACACCGGGAGGCGGGGCACGGGGTGTCCTAGGCTGTCCAAGGGCCACACCGGGAGACGGGGCAGGGGGGCCCTAGGCTGTCCAAGGGCCGCACCGGGAGGCAGGGCACGGGGTGTCCTAGGCTGTCCAAGGGCCGCACCGGGAGGCAGGGCACGGGGTGTCCTAGGCTGTCCAAGGGCCGCACCGGGAGGCGGGGCACGGGGTGCCCTAGGCTGTCCAAGGGCCGCACCGGGAGGCGGGGCACGGGGTGCCCTAGGCTGTCCAAGGGCCGCACCGGGAGGCGGGGCACGGGGTGCCCTAGGCTGTCCAAGGGCCGCACCGGGAGGCGGGGCACCGGGTGCCCTAGGCTGTCCAAGGGCCACACTGGGAGATGGGGCACGGGGTGTCCTAGGCTGTCCAAGGGCCGCACCGGGAGGCGGGGCACGGGGGGCCCTAGGCTGTCCAAGGGCCGCACCGGGAGGCGGGGCACAGGGTGTCCTAGGCTGTCCAAGGGCTGCACCGGGAGACGGGGCACGGGGTGTCCTAGGCTGTCCAAGGGCCGCACCGGGAGGCGGGGCAGGGGGTGTCCTCGGCTGTCCAAGGGCCGCACCCGGAGACGGGACACGGGGGGCCCTAGGCTGTCCAAGGGCCACACCGGGAGACGGCTGGAGTTCGTGAGCAGGGCAGGAAGAGTGCGGGCGTGTGGGGGTCACAGCCTCACAACACCGGGCTCTCCACCTGCACTAACTCATGTTTGTTAAATATCGAGCACCCAAGACAACGGCCGAGAAGGGGCAGCACGTGCCCGCTTCAGGAGGACACGTGTCCTGCAGAACAGGCTCTTTAAGAAGACACTTGCCCCTGGTCAGCTCGTCATCGAGAAGACAACAGCTGGCTCAGCACCAGGCGCCAGGGCCCGGATGCCACAGGACGGAGCTCAGGAGCTGCGACCTCGGCCTCGGCCCTGGCAGCAGGGCAGAGTACTGCCCACCCCGCCCGCCGCGGCCACGCGATGCACGCACCCAGGCAGGAAATGAGAGGGGCCTGCAAGTTCAAGACAAAGCTGAGAAGAAAGCTCCTTGGCCTGAAACAAGAACTTTGTGCTGGTCCTAACGAACCCCTACGCCTATTGAAACATCACATCATTATCACTACTCTAGGCAGAGCTGAGAACGCATTTCATGGTTTCAGACTGTCACCACCAAGCCTGCAAGGCTTCTGCACACACCACGGTGCTTCTCAGATGCTGCCCCAGCAGCTGCCCCGCGGACGGAGACGGGCCCCAAGCAGGAGGAGGGTGGCATTACCATCCCGGTCGGCCATGCTGTCGAAGAACAGCCAGGAGGAGTCGTCCCTGCCGTACTTGACGAACGCCACGTAGTGGCTGGTTTCTATGCAGAGGACAGCGAACAGCTCCATCTTCTGGCTGGGGATGCAGCCATGTCTCCAGTCCCAGTCCGGCAGGTCTTTGGGCAGTGACACCGGGTTATACTTATGGTTCAGTCTCTTGGGATGAAGGTGGACCTAGAATGGACCAGGAATAAGTCAAACTCAGTGTTTCTGGTGAACGGACTCCACCTCCCCGACCTGAATTGCCCCTGCTCCCAGCAACCAAGAGCTTCACGGGCGTCTATCAGACGAACAGAGGCAGAAACAATACCACCTGATTGTGAAGGTTTAGACACTGACTGTGAGTCTGAACACTTCTCAGCCGGCAGTGTCTGCACTACACCCTGCTCCTGTCCTGTGGGAACACGTCCCGAGTGGCATGACTTACTTGCGTGTTGCAGGGCTTACAGAACTGCTTGATCTTGCCGGCCGAGATCTCGGGGTCCTCGTAGCACTCCCTGCACTCGTACACGGCCAGCCCTCCGCAGATGCGGCACTGTCTGGGGGCTACGGGAGGGAGAGGGCCTTTAAAAATGCTCTCTTTCATTCAAAAGATTAAAAAGTTAAGCTTTAAAAGGAGAATGTTCATGGACTCAAAAATGTCTGTCCCTCTCCATCCCCATAGCTTTAAATTGGATTTCCCTGGATTCAGGATACCTTTCAAGGTATTTTCTCTGACCAAATGGCAATTTTTCAAATTAATATATTCTAGGGTGCTTTCCCCTGATTATCAAATGCCTACTGATGAGCATCCGAGGACAAGACAGCATGCAAGAGAAAACTGAAAGCACCCCAATTCAGTTAGCAAGACTACCACTGTCGACACACTGAATTTCCTCCTCATTCTGTATCTCCGTGTACAAAGCTCCACGTGTGTGTACAGCTCCTCCTGTGCAAAGTGTCGGCACACCTTTCGCCTGATGTCACATCCTGACCACTTTCACACCTCGGCTCTTCAAACACAGGATGGATACATCGTGATTCACTCAACAACACTCCTTAAGTTAATGTATAGATTGTTTCTACTTCTTAATCATGCAACAATGAACATGTTTGCATATAAAATACCTATTGCACGTCTGACTGTCTTCTCAGAGTAAACTCCTAAAACTGGAATGCCCCGCCCACTGGCTCGCGGCCCCGAGATGGAACCGGCCCCCTCTCAGAGACAGGCAAGGCCTTCCTACCTGGGAGACAGACAGAGCAGACGAGCTCATACTTACTGTCTTCAAGTAGATCTGTTATATTTAATTCCAGAGAAGGAAAAATTTTTTTAAAAAGTTTAAAGTCTTTTCCAAACCGAGGCATCTGAATAATCAGACATGATGGTGCCTGAAAAAAAAAAAAAGATGTGTATTTTTAGTAAAAGTGCTGAAAACATTTTAAACTGAAACAGTCACGGTTGTCACCCGGGCAGCGGCTTCGTCCTCACGCCTATGCCAGTAACACAGCGTCCGAGTGGACGTGGACCCCGGGGCCGAGCCCTGTCGAGCACGAGTCCTCAAGCTCGAGGTGCCGCGGACACAGCCCACAGCACCAGGCGGGTCCCCACCTTGGTCTCAGGGAGCAGGACTGCCCAGAATGACATCCTGCTTTGGGTTTAATTTAATAAATGTTTTTGAAAGATTATTTTTGCAAGTATAATAAAGAAACTGTCATCACCAAAGGACACTATTTCTTGTATTTCAACAAATAACTTATAACCCTTAAGGTTTTACCAGGACATTCCTTCAGAAATAAATACAATAAAAATAAACTACAAGCATGTACTACTAAGATCATGAAGATACTCAATAAATAGTAAAAGAAAAATAATTGATATCACTTGTTCATTAACCAAAATAAGCCCTGGCTGGTTTGGCTCAGCGGTTGGAGCATCGGCCTGCGGTCTGGAGAGACCCGGGTTCAGTTCCCGCTAAGGGCACGTACCTCGGTTGCAGTTTGTCCCCAGCCCTGGCTGGTTGTGCGGGTGGCGACCACTCAATGTGTCACTTTCACATCGATGTTTCTCTCTCTCTCTCTGTTCCTCTCTCTCCCTCCCACTCTACCTGAACAAAGAATGGAAAAATGTCCTCGGGTGAGGATGATAAAAAAAAAAAAAAAAAAAAAAAACCAATACCAAAATAAGTGAATTTATTTTGTCTCTTACTTATTTTGTAAACATCCTTTTCTGAATATTTGAATAATATGCTTCTATAAATTTTAAATTGGGTAAAATAACATTAAAAAAAAAACCATAAACCTTCTTTTCTTTAAAATATGTAAAAGTTTTCAAATTACAAACTGGCTTGGTATTTTCTTTGGCACCAAAATTCAAAAAAGTTCAGTCTTAATTCCAAGGCATTTTCTACAAGGACAAAACTGAAACACTGCACTTTATTTAAAATTGGTGTTAAGAGTTTGTGTTTCTAACTGTTCTCAGTGGGCTAAAAGTAAGAGTTACTGAATCTACCCATAGTCTGAAGAATCCTAGAACTTTCACATGAAACACAAGTAGTGATCACTGACCTCTGCAAATTTCAGGTTACTGTTGATAAAAGACCATTCTAACAACTGCTGGATTGTAGGAACTCCAACTTTCTCATTTTTTTCCATAAAAATTTGATAGAAGTAACAATCTTGTACTTTTTGACCAGCTGACCTAAAAAAAATACCAACAGTATTTGAGAAAAACTACACATTTGATGGTGTAACTCTGGACAGTCAGAACGAGGCAAAGACAATCATTTAGATAAAGTGATTAAATGTCTTTCTGCATAAGACCTTAAACATGAATTCTTGTCCTAGTTTTCATACTAATGGTCAGACGAAAAATAATGGAATATTATCACACTCAAGAAGCACTGTGTCATAACCAGAAGCTAAAAGCACTTGGTTCAACTTAACAATACCAATATAAGTAAATTTGTTTTCTGTATTATTTATTTTGTAAACATTCCTTTTTGAATATTTGGATAATATGCTTGGGTAAGACTTTAAACTGGGTGAAACAACACTTACATTGGTATTGTCCCAATCTGGAAAGCAGTAAGCTGTATTTAGTGATTGAACAGGAAAATAGATTCTTATATGCCTGCAGAGGACCCGACCCGTAGAGGTCTTCTGGACCAATCTTGTCACTTCTGAAACAAAGGGCCTGAGACCTAAGGCAGGATAGTCACTTCCCAGGAGCCCCTATTCTCTCCGATGTCACCTCCTAGAATTATAACTAGAATCTATCTTCCATGCCTCTTATCCCGTCTTGTTTTCTAACCCTAACCCTTTGAGTTAAATTCTAGGAAATTTCTTCAGGTCTACCTTCCAAATGAGCGACCCTCTCTCCAGCTGTGTCTGCTGTATCTGGTACGGCACCCCTTCCCAGCTGCACGTACACATGGAAACGTGCGTACACATCCCTTCCCAGCCACACGTACACATGGAGACGTGTGTACACAACCCTTCCCAGTCACACGTGCACATGGAGACATGCATACACAATTCTTCCCAGCCACACGTGCACATGGAGACGTGCGTACACAACCCTTCCCAGTCACACGTGCACATGGAGACATACGTACACAACCCTTCCCAGCTGCACATGCACATGGAGACGTGCGTACACAACCCTTCCCAGTCCCACGTGCGCATGGAGATGTACATACACAACCCTTCCCAGCTGCACATGCACGTGAAGACGTGCATACACAACCCTTCCCAGTCGCATGTGCACATGGAGATGTGCATACATAAACGTTTTATTCTATTTCTGGGAACTGTCTCAGGTTATTTGATTTGGTTATCAGATCTGCATTTATTCTTGATGGGTACTTAAGTACTTCTTTTGCCTCCTCCACATTTAAGAACATTCTACAGTCTCTTGTGGTGGCTTCAGATTCTAAGGTATTCATCGTCCTATTTGCTGCATCAGCTGACTCTCCCTCAGAAGGAAAGACCCCTGGAAGGGAAGAGCGACACTTGGGGGGAAAGGGGCTAACTTTCAAAGGGTCTCTCTATATCGTTTTATAATCTTTAAACCAGTGATTCTCAGTATGAGGAGGCTGCTGAAGGGGGCAGGGAAGCCGTGCACCCCTCAACTCCATAAGGCCTTCAGAGAGGAGACGTAGCCTATGAGTGATCCCTCCCGACACCCCGAGAACCACCGCAGGGTCTACCCTGCAGTTACTGAGAGCGACCTCCCTAAGGTGTGCTGGGCTAGGACAGAAAGAAGGACAACTATTTCAATCATCTGAAATTTGTTTCTTTGAAATGAAAAATAAAAGTGACTTTTTTATCCCAAATTGCCTTCTAGATTTTTTCAGCATGTATAAATATAACTTTCCTTCCTCCTTTGTGTTTGAAGTCTGAAATGCTATAGTTAATTCTACCTCTGAGCTTTCTGTTCAGATCTATTGATCCACATTTCTAATTTTATACCAGAATCACACTGTTTTAATGTCTACTGCTTTGCCTTCATAGCTTATAATAGAATTTTTTTTTAAAAAATTATGTGTTTTCACCCATTTCATCTTGCAGAGAACTCTAAATCACTTTACTGAGTTTTAAGAAAAAGTTAAGATCTTGCTTATGTGCAAATTACTTTGTAAAAAGTTAACATCTTTTAAGTTATTTAATCTTCCTACCTGTAACACAAACTTTCTCACTAATTAATCAAGTCACCTTTCAATTCTGTGCAAGATATTTTTTAAAACCTATGTTAATAAAATTGATTTCTTGGCAATTTATACTTTTATAAAGTATGAAGTTATCCCTTTTTAATACTTGCTAGAGGGTACACAGAAATACTATTGATTTCTCCATGGTTTATCCTACATGGTCAAATTACAAATTCCTTTTTTAATACTAAGTAGTTTCTAAACAATTCTCCAGAATTTTCTTGGTATACATATAGCCATTACCAGCTTTGAATAGATAATAAATATGTATTCTTGATATTCACATATCCTGCCTTATTTCATGAGTTAGAACACCCAAATAATCTCAAAATATAGCTGTTGGTATTATTCCCTTTCTTCTTATCCATCGGTTCAGTACTGCATCCTACACCATCACTTAAGACAGAAATGAGTAAGAGTTCTTGTCTGTGATTAACTTTTAGGGAAATAAATAGCATATCAGTAATATTTTCAACAGAGAAACCCAAAAGACTAAAATATAAAAAGGCTCAGCATTCAAACTATCTGCGAATCCCATCCACCTAGACGGTGGCACTGAGAACTTGACCGCGTTCAAACAAGGCTCCCTCCCCGGCGGCCGGGAAGGGCCAGGCGGCCGGGCTGGGACCGGAAGCTAATTTACCGCCAAGTGAATTCCTGAGTGATGGACAGCTATAACTGTTCTCTCTGTTAGAGATCAGGTTAGAATAAGATTCTCTTAAAAGGGTTCATTAGTTTACATTACGAAATATTTATATACGGTTTTATAAGAAAATGATTTGCAATATTTATCACTAGGGTTAAAATTAAGGGCACAACTTTACATTGGGTTCGTCCCGCAGGTTACGCGGAATGCTACGGAGAAGACAGTGGCTGAGGTCAGTCTGCACGTGGGGACTAGCAGGGGCCGACCCCTATGCAAACACAATGCTGAGTGACCTCCACGCAGCCCTTCCCACAGACTGACAGCTGTGGAAATGAGGCCTGTCTCGTTGTCCAGGACTTCTGTAAAAGTTTAAAAGTTACCTTATTTTTAACAGTGGCTCTACCCTTAAAATATGATGGAACAAGATATTCAAGAATTCTTCGGGATCTAAAAGAAATAAAAAATCAAGTAAGTCCCTGACAAAAATGTTTAAATCATTCTATTTTTTATAACAGTCATATTCCTATACTGAACTCAATTTCGTAATCAATCTTATTTCAATTAAAAGCATAGTTCTCAAGTTTTCCTCACTAAAAATACAAAGGATATGATAAAGTATTAAGTTCTAATTTTGTTATACCTTTATTGCATTTGAAAAGGTATAGTAATTCACATATGGTGAAATAATTTTAATTTCTGGGGGGTGTTTAAGATAAGTGGAATGAAACTTGAAGTACGACCTTGTATTTTCCTGATACTTAAATAATTATCTAGTCTCTAAACAGTATAGCTAGTTCCAATACACCGTTAACACATTCCAAGCCCACTAGCTATGAACAGATCAGAGCCCTGGCTCTGACCATACACTTCCAGTGACAAGGGCAGCTGCGCGGGACGGCTGGCTGAGCCTGGGGGAACCGTGGGCTCACGCGGGATGGGCTGGTGGGAAGGGGACTCTCCACGCTCCCTTCACTGCGCTACCACCAGCCGGTCCCTAACGGGGTCCACTGCTCCGTACCACCGCTCCCTCTTGGAAGAGAGCCAGCATTTTAAAATAGGAAGGAAAGCGTACGCCACCTAGAAGCTTCTGTTTTAAAACAAACTCCCAGCTCCCCGGGCACACACTCGGCCAGGCATCCCGCACGTGTGCTCAGGGCACGTGCAGTGCGCACGTCAGGTGAGCATCACCTTTCTCCTCGGAGGTGAACCCCGACGCAGCCTCGACTTTCTCCAGAATCTTCCTCAGCTTCATGATCTTGGTTGCGCACACGTATCCATATCTATGTTAGTGAAAACGTTGAGTTAACATTGGCATATACATTAAAGTAATATAACATATTTTGATAATCACACATTTCTTATATAACTTTAGCATGTCATAAATCAATAGGCTATCAATTACTCTGAAAGATACAATTATAGGCTTCTTCTGGAGGTCTGAAAATTAAGAATCTGAAATCAGAATTATCCCAGACACTATTATACCCTAAAAGTAACTACCACGTACTAATACAAGAAAAAAATACTTTGAATTTATGATGACTGGTTTTCTAATGCTATTTGCTTAAGAAATGAAAGCCAACTTTCTGGAAGAGAACACAGTTTTGAGAGAGAGTCCGTTTAGTGTTAAGCATGAAACAGCCACGGGTGCAAGGGACAGGCACCGCTAAGGAACTGACCCGAAGGCTGCCGTCTCGCCGGTCAGCGTCAGTACGGCCCTCCCCTCATCTCCACTGCACACAGGACCCTCCACACGTTCCATGTCCGTCCTGACGATTCTTATTCTAACACTCGCTTCAGAAGAGAGTCTGGGGGCCCCGGGGCGTCAGAACTGTAATCGCATAGCCGCTTTCATATCGACTATTCATTCACCCCTTAACTCTTTGCAGCCAACGTATACTGAACACCTGGCACTTACACAGTAATCAAACCTTCTGGCTGCTGGGAATGCAAAAATGAATAAAGCGAGAAAACAGGGTCAGTGCTTTTGAGCAGCGAGAGGTGGAGAAGGCCGAGGCGTCAGTGTGATAGGGGCGGTCAGCTGCGGCACAGCTAGGACACTAATGCTGCCGACGCGAGGAGCCCGGGGCACAGCACGCAGACGGGGTGACAGGTCCGCTTGGCCAGGACTCTTCACTGGGGGACAACAGTACCCTAAGAATGTTTGGCAAGAAAGAAGGAAGCAGTACATGCCTTGGAGCTTTGGATTTGATCTGTCTTGTTCTAGATCAATCACTTTGGGGCAGGGGGTGAGGAATAGACAATATGTTCAAAAATTTTCATTTACACAAATAATACAAAATAACTGATGTAAAAATCAAGACTCATGCCCTGGCCGGTTTGGCTCAGCGGTTAGAGCGTCCGCCTGCGGTCCCGAGAGACCCGGGTTCAGTTCCTGCTAAGGGCACGTACCTCGGTTGCAGTTTGTCCCCGGCCCTGGTTGGTCGTGCGGGTGGCAGCCACTCGATGTGGCCCTTTCACATCGATGTTTCCCTCTCTCTCTCTTCCTCTCTCTCCCTCCCACTCTGTCTGTACAAAAAATGGAAAAATGTCCTCGGATGAGGATAAAAAAAAAAAATTAAGACTCATTATCTTTAGGGGCAGAATCTACAGGCGTTTTCATCGTTAGAGAATTTAGGGAAACAAAAGACATGCATAGGAAATGGATTCATCACCATTTCCTTCCCTGGTCACATTACCAGTAGGTCATTCTGAATGCTCCTTCTACTCCAGTATCTGCATTTTTTGGTCAAAATCATATTTCAAGCTATGTTTTACTTTATTTGTTAAATAAGACAAGCATGGCACAAAATGTAAATTTTTTAATCTTCACCCAAGGATATTTTCCTATTTATCTTCAGATAGAATGAGAGGAAGAGAGAGAGAGAAACATCGATGTGAGAGAGACACACTGACAGGTTGCCTCCTGCACAACCCCAACCAGGGCCAGGCACGAACCACAACCGAGGTACGTGCTCTTGACTGGAATTGAACTCAAGATTCATTGGTCCATGGGTTGATGCTCTAACCACTTAGCAAAACCGGCCAGGCCTGTAAATTAATTTATATGAACTTTAAATTATACCGTGTGCAACCTATGTTCCCAAGTGGACAGATTGGTGTATGCGCTAAGGCCCTAACTCTTCACAGTTTAAGTTTTACAATGTGACATTACTACATATTCCTACTGCTACGGATCAAAGTCTTTACAAGATGTCTCGTCACTAGGACTTGTACCATTACAAACTGCTTCCTGTGGCCAAAGAAAGACACACCTCTCATTCTTGAGTTAGGAAAGGACCCTAAACAGCACCTTTTCAAGTGAGGGGTGTGGGGCCTAAATACATTCTTTTAACCAAGAAAGGTGTTGCTAAGACACCTCACCTGTTGCTAATACAAAAGTAAAACTATAGCTACTCTCCAAATGAAAATGTGCCTTGCTCCTTTTCTGCGAAATAAAATCAGGTTAAGAAGCCAGGCTGTATCAATTGGGCTAATAGGCATGATAACCACCAGGGGGTTGGAATAAACTCTTTCGGAAGATGGGAACCCACTGTATCAGCTTTTGTACACCCCCTGCAATCACTAAATTGTAGCATACTCCAAATGGTTTCATCACTTTGTGGCGTACACCACATGCTCTACCCTGGTCAGATTTTTAAGAAAGTAAATGAGTAAAGGCAGTACAAGGACCAAAGGTTTTTAAAAAATCATTACAGCTCCATCAAGAAAATTTCCTATTAATAAAATCTGGGCATAAATGACTTGCTGCACCAAGAGACAGCAAACAGGACCGCAGTGCAGGCAGGACAACCGGCTGCCACTCACATCCTCAGGGGGTTGACGATCTCCGTCCTCAGGAGCTCCTGGGTCTCGCTGTAATACTCCACGTCGGTCTTGTCTTTGGGTCGAAGTAACACAGTGTCCAGAACGGAACTAAAAGCAAACAAGCTGCAAAATAAAAGGATCGTTTTCCTCCTGCTGTAAATGTATTATCGTTTTGAGAAACAAATACTGAAAAGAATGTGAAGAGAAAACCGCTAAGTCTGGAGAACAAATAACATACAAATTTGTGTTTTTCATTAACACAGGCTCCCAACAGCCCCGTTAAGCTCCCACAGTTCCGTCAGCGGGGCCTCGAGCTCCCTGCGGGCTGGGAAGCCTGGGGTCCAGAAGGCCACCTAGCGGCTGGCAGTGGTGGAGGACGGAAGGCACGTACGCCCTCGCTCTAATGCTGAGCCGTCTCCGCAGAAGTGAAAGTGGCCTATCCACCCGGGTCACCCACAGGCAACAGGGAGAAGTCTGGAAGCTGAGTCCCCGAGCGAACACACGGCAATGCACACACACTCCAGACCCCACCCCGGTCCTCCCCGCGCCCGGCAGAGACCTGATCTCTCTAAACGCCCAGCTCTCTACTGACCGACAGCGGTAACTTGTAGTAGCAAAGAAAATATTTGGCTAATAAAGATTTTTCATTAGGGAATCTAAAGACTACTATATCAATTCTTGCTTTTGTCAACACATCTGAGAGACTGAAAGTACATCCTGCCCCAGAAACCGCCCAGCACCTGTATTCCCGGCCCCTCTGAGGCCCAGCGCCCACTGCCCCGGCTGCCGGGCTGGCCGGTCCCTCTCAACGCGCCTGTGCTGTGCTGGCTTCGCTCCTGGGTGTGAACGTTCTCGCCCGGTTAGGTTGTCCACTTGGAAATAACTACCCGTGCAAGGGCGACCGTGCAAGGGCGACAAGTCTTCCGAGTCGGTCCAGGCCGCCCGCCTAGTGAAGCAAGCGCACCAGCTCGCCGCTTCCTGCCGTCCACGTCACACGATGTGTGCACGAAGGTTCCTCCCGGTAGGCCGTGGCTTCCCACAGACCCTGGGGACAGCTGCTCCACCTGGGACCCTGTCACTCGCCCCTTAGCCACCACTCACTGCATTACGTCATAGGTTAATATTTGCATACAGGCTCATGAGACAATAATCAACAGCTTCCAAGGAGCATATAATGAAATGCAGCGTCCCTTTCTTTCCTGACCCCGACACCCAGCTGCTCTGCTCAGAGGCAGTGAGCAGTCTCTCTGTCTCTCTGTCTGTCTGTCTCTCAAATGCACACAGATGTCCCTGCACCCAGGGCACTGTATTCCTCCTGCATTAATTTTAAACTCACCAGAATAAGGTCGAGTCTAAGTAACAAGAATTGTAATGACCCTGGATACCTTTCTTCTTTCCAATCATTATCTCCAAACCTTCTTTTTCCATTTTTGGTGGGGTATTTTCTTCGACTACTTCACTTAAGTAGCCTCCAAAGGCTGAAAAGAAAAAATGAAAACAGTAATTCTTTTAAACTATGACAACAGGCATTCCTGTATGTCTTCAGTTAACGTATTTTTTTTGCAGTTTGATGTTAAATTTGTTTCTCGACACAAAGTTAAGCTCAGGGTAGGTTTGGGTTAGCTGTCACCAGCTCGGCTGTAAAAACCGCTGCTCTGCATTCCCCACCTCCCTTCCTCCACAATCCCGAAACACTTCAGAATACTAAGTAATTAATATTTAAAAAGCATCTGTCTGAAGATGTTTCATTTTCAAGTTGAAAATTTCCGAAGTACCATTTCAACTGTAATGAAAAATGTTTTTTACAAGGATGGTTTTCCGATTTACACCTGTTTAACCCTTGAAATCTTCACCACTGTCATCTAGAAGGAAGGGGACAGGAAAGAGCCACCTGTTACAGGTAATGAGCTCTGTCCTCATCAAGCAATCTAAACACTTCTTACGACATCTTACAACAGTGCCGCCTGCGTGTAAACACACTTATTGGGCGCGTCGTGTGGAGGGAAGTCACTGCTGCTGACACGCTCAGCAGCGCCCTGAATGGGCTCTGACAGGGACGTTCGTGCCCAAGGGCCACATGTGTCCACCTCCTGTGCTGCTGAAAATTACATGTCTGTGATCAACAGGAAGAAAAAATAAATCCCAGCATTCTTCACTTTCTAAGTCTCGAACACGTTTTCCTGACTAATCATTTTTTTAAATGTTCCCTCTTTGGATAACTAACTTTCCTACACACCAAGTAACAACTTTGAGTGATTTAACAGTCTGACGAATACTGGCAAGAAACACATCTGAACACCCTGCCTCATGGCGTGAGGCCAGGCCCAGAGTCATCCCAGACGTAAGTGAAAAGCATGCAAATACCTAGAGAGTTACAGCGCTCGATCTGATTGGAAACCGGCTGCAGGGACGCGAACCTCGAGTCGGGCCTGCAGCTCTTCAGTTTGACAAAGAGCGCCTTCTTCAGGGCGCAGGTGAAGTAGCGGGTGCCCCGGAAGGTCCCATCCGTACAGCCCACACACTCGTCCTCCTGCCAAAGAGTGGCACCGTGTGCGTTACTCCGCTTCTTGCACCAAGAGCACACAGAACTACAGCTTGTTTTGAGTTTGCCCTTTGTCTGAATTCCCGCTCCACACCGGTACTGAGAGCTCCATCAGGAAAAGGGCTGACTAATCAGTATGCCAGTTCACAGCTAATGATCTCAGAAATTCACTCCTTAGTCCAGCACGAAGTCCTCAGTGGATTTCCCTTCAGAACCCATGACTGAACCTCCCCTGGTTACCTGACTTCCTGCACCTTTCCCAAAGGTATTCAGCTGAGTGTGGAGGGAGCAGAAGCTATTCATTGTACACCCTCCCAAACTAACAATGTTCACTAGCATGCAAACAAACAAAACAAGAATATATCTAAAAAAAAGCTAAATGGACTTAAATTCTTCTCTCCTGATTATGAAGTGTCAACATACTTTCCTAACCTCCGAAGGGACAATCTCTCCCCCTAGCAAAGATCCCAGGAGATTTCCTGAAATGGTGATTGATCCCAAAGCCAATATATGACCATTAGGACTGACTGGGCGAGGGAGCTGAGAGGGAACAAGAAACGCTGATAACGAATGTGCTTTCCTGACTGTGTTCTGTTCACTATAATGAGCCCAAATCATTAACCTAAAACTCTATTTCCATTCCTTGGACGTTGGTCAACTCTCCCTTAGGAAAAGTGGCCAGGTGCTCAGTAGGCGGCAGGGAAGTCGGGCAGCGTGATAATAAAACTCCTCCTGCAATGGCTCTTCTGACAGACACGTTTCACCAAAAGCACATAATAGGGAAAATCTACAAAACCCCAGACAGCAAGGAGGTGCAAGTTTAGGTCCAAGGCAGTTACCAGTTCCAGCCCAGCCAGCACTTCGTTGAGCCCCGGTGGCTGCCCGATCCAGCGGATCACCCCGTAGAAAGGAGGGTTCTCCTTCACTTCAGCCAGCGAGCCCACCTCCAGCCCGTGGGCGCTCCCGGGAGACGCAGTCAGGGGCGGGCTGTCCTGGACGGGGGTGCTGTCCAGCTCCCCCATCACTGACTGGACAGACACAGACAGCGGGTTGTGGCTAATACTCTCGCTGGTGTTGGGCATCTTTGTCAGGCTGAAGGGTAACGAGTGGAATCTGTTCTCGCTGGATAACGAGTTCATGGAAGGAGGCTGCAGGGGTGGCGAAGCTTGTCCCAAGTCCGGAGACAGCTCTGTAAGCGACTTTGCAGTGTCTTCGGCAACTATAAAGAGTAATTCTTAATCAGAGAAATGTATTCAAGAATGTTAACTATGCCCTACAGCCCTAAAAATTAATACGCACACCTCGCCCCACTGGCCCTGACCTCGCTGGCCCCGGCCCAGTGTGCCGCCCCACCCCACCGCCCCATTCTCAGCCTCAGCCAGTGGCACCCAACTGTCCAAACCGAACAACGCCAGTGTTAGTTAGAACTGCATAGGTTCTATTCTTTGTCCACATACAGTGAAGTTAGAAACCACCACAAAAGATACCGAAAAATTTAAGAAAGATGCTTCTAAATAATAAATGGATCAAAGAAAATTATTATGTAAATCTTTTTTTTTTTTTCGTGGTACATGCCCCTAGCAGGAACCGAACCTGGGACTCTCTGGTCCGCAGGCCGACGCTCAACCTCTGAGCCAAAGTGGCCAGGGCATAAATCTTTGAAATAAAGAAAAAGACAGAAAAAAATAAACATTTGTGGAACATGGCTAAGGTAATACTTTTAAAGGAAATATAGAGACTTAATAGCTTATTTTGGAAAAAAGAAAGATAACATTAATCAACTCAGCATACAACTTAAGAAGTTAGACGGCCTGGCTGGGTAGCTCAGTTGGCTAGAGCATCACCCTGATATGCCAAGGTTTCAGGTTCGATCCCCAGTCAGGACATATACAAGGAGCAATCAGTGAATGCACAAATAAGTGGAACAGCAAATCAATGTTTCTCTCTCTCTCTCTCTTTCCCTCTGCCTCTAAAATCAATCAATCAATAAAAATTTTTTTTAAAGTTTGAACAAAAAAGTAGTCAAGAAAAAGACTAAACACAAAAACAAAAATCGATGCACGAGGAAACAAACCCACAGAGGAGAAGCGAAGCCCAGAGCTGCCTCGCGGAAGGACCAACCCCGCTGCCAGGCGGGCTGCACACTGGTGGGGAGAACGGACTGTGCGATCGACAGTGTGGAGACACCCGTCATCCACACTCCACACAAAAATCCTTTCCAGGCAGCTTAAACACAAATGTAAACGCGAAACTATCAATTTTTGGAAGATAACAAAGAAGAATGTTCGTTACGACTCTAGGACAGAGAAAACCTTCTGCAACCGAGGTACGTGTCCTTAGTAGGAACCGAACCTGGGTCTCTGGTCCACGGCTGATGCTCTAACCCCTGAGCCAAACCGGCCAGGCGAGAGAAACTTCTTAAACACGAGTACACAAACAACAAAGGCAGACTAGCGAACATGGAAGCAAGAGCTACATGTTCTTTAAGAGGCACCGCAGTAACAGTGAAAATATGAGCCACGAACAAGGAGAAATCACTGCAATCTTTGTATCTGACAATGATTCGAATTTGAAAAAGGTCTGTAAACCAGTAAGAAAAAGACCAAAAAAACAACCTAGAAAAAAAAATGGACAAAAGACTTCTTGGAAAGGTAACTCATAAAAGAAGAAACTTAAATCACCAACAAAACAATGAAAAGATTCTTGTCCTCAAATAGATAAAAGAAAGTAGAAACCAACATGAGATAATTCAAAAGTTAAAGGTCTTAGAACCTTAGCTGCTGATAAGGATGAGGAACAGTGATACCCTTAGATGATGCTGGTGGACGTGCAAACCGATATAACTACCCTGGGAAATCAGCAAAGAAATCAGTGCACATCCCCTGACCCAGTGACTCCACGGAGTTATAGACTGTAGACATGTGTTATGTTATGTTATGTTATGTTATGTTAACTTCAGAGCTGTTCATAATAGCAAGAAAATAAAACCAATTTGAATGTCTTATCAGTGGTCCAGTGGATAATTACATTGTAATATAGTCATATATTTCATAGCAATGGAATGGAATGCTATACAGCAATGAAAAAAGTTATAACTACACACTACAACTTGGATGAATCTTAGGAACATAATGTTGAGGGAGAAATTACACAACATACATACAGTCCAATTCCTTGCATATAAAGCTCCAAATATGCAGAACTAAGAGTATGCTGCCTACATATACAAAGTTATAAAGCTCTAATGAAAAACAAGAGAATGATAAACATTAAATTAAAGATGATGGAAGCTCAGAGGAGAGAGAAGAGAATGACACCTCCCAGCCATTAAGTTCCTCAAGGCTTAGCCTTAACATGCATCTCCATCCTCACTGTCTCCTTAGGTGATTCTATTCATGGGACTTCAATCATCGTATATATGAAGGCAACCTACAAATTTATTTCTCTAGCTCTTACCTCTCTTCCAAGCTCCAGATCTGTATCTTCAACTGCCTACTTGATAAATCACCTCTAGAAGGTCTAAAAGGCTCCTCAAATTCAACATAGTCAAAGGCAATCCTTCGCCTTCCTCCACCATCGTCCAAGTATGCAAGCCAAGAAACAAGGAGTCAGCATCCACATCTTTCTTCCTCAGCTCTCACTTTTGACCTCTCCGTGAGTCCTGTCAATTCACTCCCAAATCTCTCACAGCCATCCACTCTCCCCACCTCTTCCCCAGCAAGCCTAGTCCTAGCTACTGTCATCCAGGACCAAGCCCCCAGCAGCCACCACTGGTGTCCTTGCATTCACACTCCCTGCTCCAACCCACTGTCCACCTGCAGCAAGAGTGAGCCTCTCAAAAGGGAAACAGGTCACACCCTGCTGAAAATCCTTCAGGGGCACCCCATTTTATTTTAATAGGGCCACCAGGCTCCTGTTTTCCTTTTTCATAAAATGGTATGCCCCTCTGTCAGTTCCAGCTACTCTGGCTCTTCTTAGTCCTTGAAAACACCAGGCTCCCTTTTCCCACAAGGCCTTACACATGCTATTCCCTCTACTTAAAACAGTCCTTCTGTCCCCACTCACTTTATCTACCACACTGCTCTGGTCAACCTAAGCTCATGTCACTTCCTCAGCACAAAATCCCTGAGCCCCTAAGCATAACCACCCTTTAATAACTCTCACAGCATCATGGACCTTCCTGCACTCATCACCACTGCAGACCTACATCTGCTTCTGTGACCATCCGATCTGTGTCTATTTTAACAACTTGATCATAAACAAAGAAAGGGCAAGAACCTATTTTTTCTCACATGTAACCTCAATGCCCAGAAGAATGTCTGGCACACAGTAAGTACCCCCAAAATATATGTTGAACAGATGAAGAAAGAAAAGAATAAACCAGAAGAACATGATGTCCCAGAACTAGGGGAAGGTAGAGTTTTCCAAAGGGAGTGTTTAAAGAGTTGAAGACCCAGACTGAAAGGTTTTTAAATGATTCATTGATTCTAGAGATCCTCTACCCTCAACAGATCAGCGAGGCCAAGAGAACAGCTGCTGATACATTTTCTAAGCGTTTTATTAATCTCAGCAGTGCAGTTCAAATTGTGTACAATATTTCAGTTCAGCAATATTAATAAAGAATTCTATTCCCCAAAATGACACACGTTGGTGAAAACACCATGTCTGTCTGACGAGTTAAAGTTCTGGATTACCTTCATCAATGTACCATGTATTTTTTGACTTGGACTGTGGTTGTGAGTCAACAGAAGACCCATTTAAGGTATAAAATAATTCAGATCTGTTTCTATTTCCAGGGTCTGAGGTAGATCCTAGAGAACGAGAAAAGTTCCTTTTAAAGATACGGTCAACATGGTGTGAAAGTTGTTCTACGCCATAAATTAGCATGCATATGGTGTTAACAATCATTTACACAACCAATCAATGCCCACAGACACACTCCGGTAACCATTTTGGCCATGCCAAAAGGATTCTTGCAACCAAGACACAATATAGGAGGGGAAAAGGAGTAAGTTTAAAGAAAACCATATTTTTTTTTTAAAACAAACTGCTCTTATAAAATGGTGCATTTTTTTAACCATATCATGTATTACATAGGGCTTATTTCCAAATGTCAAAATCACCATTCCCTAATTTCATATGATGAAATAAATTTAACCTAATATTTTAGAAGAGTTGCTCTCAGAAGGAGGTAATCTTTAAATCTTGTGTACAAATTAAAGAAAAAAATTCAATTTTTAAAATTTAAGGTTTAAACATTTTGGAACCATTGGCCATCGAACTCCCTGCTTAATTTCGTCACGTCCGGGAGCAGGTGGAGCAGCACTATTTCTCACGTCTTCCACTCCTGCCACGGACACTCAGGACATGAGCTGCCTCCAGGCTAAGAGAACACGCTGTGGATGGGAGCCATGAGGTCACCGAAACCCACACAAAACCTGACTTGTCTTTCAGTTTAAAGCAGACAGCTCTACAGTTTGTACCTGTAAGTAAGATCCACTACAACATGTTTGAGCTGCCCTATCTAGATCTGTGGGTTAGCATAGAGTAAACTAGTACCTATACATCATATTCAATTCTAAGTCTCTCAGGGTCCAAGGTCACATAAAATATTTCTAAAAGTACAATTTCCTTTCAAGTGAGCTGAAGTCGTTTTGTTCACTAGATGACTGAGGAAAAAATATTCTTCTAACCCACATCTGAGTTAACAGAAATTCTTACAGCTTTTTAAATGAGCTGTTTAGCTTATGTAACTACCATCCTATAAATCTATGAAATATGTGGCAGCTAACAAAAGAGAGCTAAGAACTTCATATCTATTTTGGGAAAGTTTCTGGAAGAGAGACAAAAATGTTTGCTTAGTGGCTTGGAATTTAATTCGTGCCGCATCTAGTTAGTGAAATCCACATGATTAAGCTCTTGTATACTTTATCCTATAACATTATCCACATACAGGCTGGGGCAAAAGTAGGTTTACAGTTGTTGGTATGGAAAATACAGTAATTAAATAATGATAGAAGAATAAACCATTTCAAACACAACTGTGCCCCACTTCTGCCCCGCCCCCCGTGATCAGTTTGCACAGCTGCAGCTCTATACAATATACAAACGTTAGAGCAGGAATTCCAGGGACCAGCCGCTGCAGACAGCAAAAGGTCCTCACCAGAAACTTTTCATCAACCAAAAAGGGTAGGGAACTCTTGGCTTCATCAACACCGTCCATAAAACCTTTGGGTAAGCTACTGAAAGTGTCTGAAAGAAGAAAAGCTACATGCACTTGGAGGGAAATGCCCGAGCCGTTCGCGGTGCCATGGGAAAGCAGCATCGGGCCAGCTAAGCACTCTGCTCATCATACCTGTGACCTTTGGTTTATTGTGGCTGGAGGAACCTTTGTCCCCAACACCTCGCGATGTGAAGGCAAGTTTGGGAGGCCTCCTTTCTTGCGTCACGCTATCTGAAACAGTAAACATGTGCTTTAAAGGTAAAAGCAAATTCTTGTAGAAGAAAAATAATCAAGCAAATAATGACAGTAACAACAAAAATGTCTTTCCCAAATCAGTATCCCTGAACACTGCTGTGTTCTGAAGTGTTCCACACCCAACTCCTTCTAGAAGATGCAGAGATGAACAACCACGAGCAGACTTCCTTACTGTGGAACCCAGATCTCTACTATGCTGAGGTGCAGTGTGAACCCCTCCAAGAGGGGAATAGAAACTAATCTGATAACATTTTTTGTACAGTCTACTTAGCATCTCAGATTAATGTAACTCATGGAACACAGTTTAGAAAAAGTCTGGTTAAAAATAGTATCAGTTTTTAAAAGCATACATACATTAAGTAACACAAATGTGTATATAAATATATAAATAGGAAAAGGTCAATTAAATATTCCTAGATCAGCCCGGCCAGTGTGGCTCAGCGGTTGAGCATTGACCCATGCACCAAGAGGTTGCCAGTTTGATTCCATGCCCAGGTTGTGGGCCCAATCCCCAGTGAGGGCACGCAGCATGTGGGAGGCAGCCAATCGACGTTCTCTCTCATCGATGTTTCTCTCTCTCTCTCTCCCTCTCCCTTCTTCTCTCTCTAAAATCAATAAAGAAAAAAAATTAAAAATAAATATTCCTAGATCAAATATGATCATAAGTATGCTTTCCCCTGAAGCAAACCATGTTTCCAAAGAGAAGCAAAGAAATAGCTAGAAATTCAATTTACCAGAAAGAACTGATTTTAAAGAAATCAAAATATGTCAGACTTTTACAAAATAAAACTGAAATACAGCTATCATTTGAATGCCTCCAACTAAATTGATGCATTCTTGCTGTAAGGCTAAAAGCTAAAGTAGAAAGCATTTCCTAACTCAGCAAGACAAGCACTTATTACTTGTCAGCCAACAGAAGAAGGAAGGACAAACCGTGCGGGCTAGCAAGAATCTCAAGGGTTCTAATATTGGCCCCTTTATGTTTACAAAAAGTAAGAAGCTGAGGCCCTGAGCTGACCAGTGGGGACCTCAGAGTGTCCTATCAAAATGAGCAACAATGGAAAAACACTGGAAGCAAACAAACCACTCTGTTCAGTTGTCATTCTTGTTCCAATAAAATTTACCTTTCATAGAATTAGAGACAAAACACATCTCCATGGAAACAATATTCTCAGGCCTACAAGTGAGGCTGAGAAGGATGCATTTCCCTGCAGGTCTTCATATTTTAAGTGTACACACAAGATCAGGGTGAGGAGGCTGGTTTAAGCAGAGCTTCAGGGTCTGACAGGTCTGGACTTGACCCTAGTCAATTGCGGCCCTACCCGGCCTGATCTAAGCCCCAGGTTTTCATCAGCAAAATGGGGATAATTCAGACCGACCTTGAAAGTCTGTTAAGAATGTGGAAAAGTGCAAGCCATCTAGTGCTGGGGAGCACAGATGTGTGACTCTGCACACAGCCCTCTGACACTCCATCCGAGCTGCACGGAGCTTGGTAAGACCCCCCACGTCTGCTTCCTCTCCCCTTCCCCTCTATCTGAAGATAAATGCAAAAAACAAAAACATCCTCGGGTGAGGATAAAAAAATAAATTAAAATTTTAAAAAGACTCCCCATGTCCGCCTGCCTGTTAGTTCAGGATGAACACAGCTGACCGGCCTGCAACCGGAACCTACTGAGCAGCGGAAGGTGCTGCTGGTGCTGCTCCGACAGGAAGCTGTCAGTGAGTTGACCATCAGGTACGACTTGTTTGAGGTCAAATAAAAGACTGCTTAGGGTGTTTTTAAGATGTGAAGTTGAGCGGTCTGCTTCTGAGTGCAGAGGCACGAGGCCTGCTCAGTCGCATCCTCTCGAAGCCGACGGGACATCCCGCGGGGGCCTCTGCACTGCACATCCGATCGTGTCAAACGACCGGCTTCTGCTTCAGGGCTCCGGCTCCAGGCAGCTCTCCCTGAACAGGGAGCACTTATTACATGTCTGACCCCTCCATTCTCAGAAAGGGCTCTTCCCCCCAAACCTAGAACGGACGGCTGAAAACAAAGTGAATGACAATATATAAATGCCACCCTACACCCACTCACCCTTCGAAGTGAAAAGCCGTAAGCACCGTTTTCATTTGGGGGCAAGAAGACAAAGCCTACTGAATAACAACGCCAAATTTTATAAAAGTCAAGTTCCAGAAATACATCTTGAAGCTTATACCTGCATCCTCATAACAAAATACATCTTTCAAATTCTGCCTAATCAAGAAATAAAACACGAAGAGCCCTGGCCAGCTTGGCTCGGCGGTTAGAGTGTCAGCCCTCGGACAAAAGAGTCTCGGGTTCAATTCCCAGTCAAGGGCGCATATCTCAGTTTCAAGTTCAATCCCGGGCCCTGGTCAGGGTCATGCAGGAGGCAACCAATTGATGTATTTCTCTCACATCAATATGTTTTTTTTGTCTCTCTCTCTCTCTCTACCCCACTCCCTCTCTCTCACGCTGTCTAAAAAATAAATAAATAAATAAAGATAAAAAAATCAATGGAAAAATATCCTTGAGTGAGGATTAAAACAAGAAGAGAACGTACCTGGGATGATGTCGTTGACATGCAAGAGGATCGTGCTCTCGACACTGGCGAAGCTGCAGAGCTGCACGCCGTCGAACCTGCCGTCCCAGTTGCCGATGGGGTTATCCTAGAGATGAAGTCACAAAGTCAACTTTACAGCCCCCTCAATAAAATGTCAACATGAGAGTCTGCATTTTCCATCAAAGGATTCTTCCAAACATTTACACTGTCGTTTTAACTGTTTCTGGGCCAGCCAGACAAAATGCCGAGTACCAATGTGTGCAACGCACTATATGTCATTGGAAATAGAAGAAAATGAAGAATCCTGCATTTGCCAGAACCTGCCTTTCCAGGAATGCCCTAGAAGGGTTGGAATGGATGCATGCACAAGCCAGCTGGAGGCCAGACTAAGGCACGGCGCAGCTGGGGTAGGTGGGCAAACCTCTAGGCCTTGCCCTGTGACTGCCAGCTAAGGAGGGCAAGGCCTAACCGGCTTTTCCAAGTCTGAGGCCCGAACAAGCTGAAGCAAGTGGAGACTAACTGCAATGACCAGGGCCCTCTCTCCAACCTTCCTTCCTCCCACCACGCCTCTCCTCTAAAGTGATGTGAATATCTGAAGAACAACGGTTTGAGGGCATGCTGAATTGTTAGGTCTCCTGCGTGGCCCAGAAGTTTGACTCTGGCTCTAACTTTGGACATGGTAAATATCCAGTAAATGTTTATCTAAACAACACGGTAATGTCTGTCTAACTAAAAGGTATCAAATAGAATGTCCAAGCACAGGACAAGAGAAATTTATGCTCAAACTTTCATACCCTACCAAAAATAGATCAAAGTAATCATTACAAACATCATGAGCACAAGAGTCTATTTCTCACATCCTAACTCATTCCCATGTTTAATAGTTCAGTATGAATTTCCTTCTTTACACCTAACAAATTCTTGTCCATATTTTCAATCTACGATACGAATGTTCTCAGCCTTTTCTTCCCCTTCTCTAAATCCCACAGGTCTCGTGCAACTTGCCAGATTGGAATGTACCCATTACTAACAAATATGATTGTAAGGGAACATTAAAAATGAATGAAACAAACGAATTCTGTATTCTACTTCTATGAGGTACCTAGAATCGAAGAATTCCCAGAGACACAAAGTAGAATCGAGGTTACCAAGGGAACGCCGGCAGAGGGAGCGGACGTGGGAAGTGACTGTGTGGTGGGGACAGAACTCGGTTGGCGATGATGAGGAAGGTCTGGAAGTGGAGGGGGTGATGCTGCTGCACGACAATGGGAATGAACTTACTGCCCCTGCCTGGACACGTGAAAATGGTCCGATGGTACATTTTACGTCATGTATATTTTACCACAACAAGAAAGATATCTGAATGAGTTACATCCTAAGAAAACACTCGTCTTCCTCTAGCGCAACGTGATTTCCTCTATTCAGGTGTTTTCTATACATGAGTTTTATACTACTCATTAAAACCAAATCAGCCAATAAAGTTTTGCAAAATGTTACAAAAGAGACACAAAGATCCTCCTCCCAAAAAATATTTCCAAAACAAAGAAAAAGAAGGTATTATGTAATATACTTTGGTGTTTTCTTTCTATTGGTCAGCTGTCATACAGCAAATTTACAGATGGGAAATGTTATTTCCGTTTATTTCAACGGAAAAGACTAAATGTAATTCTCTAGACTCTTGTCCCATATTACCAAAGATAAATTAGAACATGTTCTTTAAATTACTCCATATTACTCCATTCAAGTATTTAATTGGTACCTAAATTGATCGTAGAACTACAGATATATTCACAAAGATAATATAATCCAAAAATTTCTTACCATGTCCACACCAACAAAATATCCTAAGCTTTCTTTTCCCGGCAAAACATCACAGAATATAACTGTTCCGGACTCTATGGTTTCCCCGAGCTTCAGAGAAACTCGGGAGTTTATTTCCAAAGGAGGAAGTTCAACCTGCGCTGTGTCCCCTGGACCTGCATAGTCACTCTCCAATCCATTGTCATCATCTTCTATGATTTCTAGCTTGTCCAACGCAACAAATACTCCACAATCTTCATCACACTGAAATAGCTGTTTCCCTTGATATATCCCATCAGTGAAACCTTGGCCCCGACCTTCTTCCTAGTTGTTTTAAAAAGGGGGGAAAAAAGATAGGTAGGTAGGTAGAGACAGAGAGGTAGACACAACCTATAAGAAAAAAATATCCACTCTAGGGATTTCAGGGAATTCACTGAAAAAAATCCTAAGTGACACATATAGAAAATAGAATTATTAGCAGTTGCTATTGGATTCAGGGTGTTTTTTTTTTTAATTAAGGAAGAAGCTGACATTTAAGTTTTTGGGAATTAATATTCATTTTGAAAACTTATCATGAATTCTTGGTTCTCTTTTCAGTAGAAATAAGTTCCAAGATGACTTTCACATATATTAACAGGAACAACTATCCATAAGTTTAAATTGCTACAACTTATTATGTCCAAATTCCATCACTTAGTAGCACACAGTAAGAAAAACTGAGAAAGCTACAGAGGATAATGCCACAAGATAATTAATAGTTTTGTGATGTGACTAATTAACAATCAGCTGAGTTCCTTAACACAGACCATGTTAAAATTTCTAAGATGTGCACGTCTTCAATCATGACATGATCTGTTTGCATTTCCTACTGCCCGGGGTAGTTTTTAAAGCCCCCAATGCATCAGTCTCAATTTATCACCAGAAAGTAAATTCTCAGGATTATAAGTAGTAAAACTTCCAGAAAAGTTCTGGGAGAACATCTGGTATTCAAAGGGGAAAAATACGTGCACACATACAAATACACACGCACGCACACATGCACACGCAGAGCCCGCTAAAACGGTCCCCCACACTTACCAGTAACTCTACTCCGAAAAAGATCCCCGACACTGTCCTCTCTGCTAACAGGGGTCCCCGGAAGCGCACCACTCCGGGGAACTTTTCCTCCCCGGGCCTCAGCTGGACCTTCACGGAGCAGCCCACGTCTATCTGGAGGCCTTTACTTAGTCTGCTTCGGTTTTTAAACAGGCTGAACCTCTCTTCGCAATTGGTAATTGCCAAAAGTAGCTCTGTGAATTTCTCATTTATTTCTACCACATCCTTTTCATCGACCAAGAGCGCCGCGTGTGGCTGCTCCAGGAGCTTTACTCCGACCTGACTTTTCTTGCCTTTGGCAGGGACCCGCGAGTGCCCCACGGCGCGGTCCTGGACATGCTGCCCTATGCTCCCCTTGGGGACTTTCAGCAGCTTCTGGGTTTGTTTGTCAGTGACGCTGTACTCCTGGAGAAGCAAGTAGAAAATCCGCTCTTCCCAGTAGGGTGAAGTAACTTTTTCTTGGCTCCATAAGCCTGAACTCATTGTGACATTAACTCCAAAATATTAACTCAAAGAAAGGGGAACTCTGACGTCTGTGGTAAAAGCGCAAGAGGAGAGCTCACTGGCGGTCAGTCCCGGGGCTCGTTCCAGCCACTCGGTGTCCATGCTGCAGAACGACAGGGACTCAGAACGCCTGGGCAGAAGCAAAGAGAAACTCTTCATTCCACGCGCGCTGAAATTAAGGTAAAAGACTTGGAAACCCCATTCGACTAGTAAAACACACAAATAAAATATCTCCAAAAATATCGAAAAAGGTTAAAAGACATAAATTACTTATATCTATTGTAATTTATATATTTAAATAAGGAGATCCAATTATAAAGTATCTTCAAAAACAGTATGATAATGATTGCTTTCAAGGCACTGAGTTTGTAAAATCAAATCAAATTCTAAGTAAAAGATAACCATGTATGTGTGTGTGTGTGTGTATACACACACGCATACACACACACATATATATGTATGTATATATCTTCAGACATTTTTAAACTTTAAAAGTAGTGTTTTAACAGGTCCTACTCAACACATTGTTGACCACCCACGAATTAACTTGTGTTTGCACTTGCATTAGGTATTTCAATTTTTGAAACTCGGGGTAACATAGGATTATTGTATTTGTGACTCTTCGCCCTGAGGGTCAAAGTCTGAAAAACAGCACACGTTCTCTATTCTTGAAGTAGCTGGGGAAGGGGTACCTGCTGGTTCAAATGCGTGCAGCTCAGGACCTAACACTGGTCCTTCTGAAAGAGCCCCCTGCATTGGTTCACCCTTTAGGCTCTCAGGGCAACTAAAGACCACGTTTCAGAAAAAACAGTCACTGGTATAAAAAAAATCCAACTAGAACGTGTAAAGTGTGTGTTTCAAAAGGCGACTGCTATACAGTATACCACACCAAAAAAAATTACGAAAATATATAATATGTAGCAGATATGTACAAAGTTTCACTTAAATCCATTATGTATAAATAAAGTATACTTAAGTTTATTTAGATTGTTTCACTTTCATACTCAATTACGAAAAAATAGCCGGTGGCATGAGATAACTTGTGTAAAATTGCCGGTCAACAGTATGTTAAATGAATGAGATGCTGTATTTGGACAGAAACCACACAAATAAAAAAAAGCTATTATTTCTGTATGCACACCTAGTATAAGCAAAAAGCTATCCATCATAACTATTACGTTAAACATCTTTTATCAATAAAATGTCATAAAATAACATTCCGAACCACAATTCATTTATCTATGTGTCATATTTTGATAATGGAACATTTTATCTCTGACTGTTTCATTTCCTCAACCTTGAATATTTTGTCCTTAGACAGGCAAATCTTAATCATATTAGTCATAGCTGTCATTTAATTTCTCACAATCACAAATATTAGATATGGTAAATCTGATTACATTAAAGATATCCATCAAAATATGGACTACATAACAAGGAAATGTACCCATATAGTATCAATGTAAAATGTTTTTATACCGCAATTTTAACTATGTACACTAAAAAGGAATACACAAAAGATGACTATCAGCTTCAAAGGTTCATTTAAAAATTTTCAAGAATACTCATCTTTCACAATTAAAATGGCCTACTCAACCCTACTTTAACTGATGATTAAAAACTATACAATTTCTCCCTGGCCGGTTTTGCTCAGTGGTCAGAGCATCGGCCCTGGGACCAAAGCATCGCAGGTTCAATTCTGGCCAAGAGCACGTACCTCGGTTGCGGTTCGATCCCTGGCCCTGGTTGGGGTCCTGGGGGAGGCAATCAATGTGTCTCTCTCACATCGATGTTTCTCTCTCCCTCCCTCCCTCCCACTCTGTCTGAAAAATCAATGGAAAAATATCCTCGGTTGAGGATTAAAAAAAAAAAACCACTATACAATTTCATTAATTCAAATGAAGACTTTAATCCATTATTTTAATTAATTATCTTACTGACAACAATGGTTCCTATCTAACACATGGATGTGGCTATTTGGTTTCTAAATCCGGTAATATTCTATCCTTCTCTGACAGGTATCCATTTCCATTATTCCAGGTAACATCAGCAGTTGAGAGCACTATCATATTTACCTGCCTTGTTCTTAGAATTAAAAAGGAAACACTCCTAAAACTAAAGAACCAAATGTTAAGTTCAATCACTTATTGATTAAATAATCTGGCAAATCTAACACAGAGCAACATTTCTTTTAGATGCATTGTAGGATAACAAGGTATTCTCCAAGGTGAGTAACAAAAGCCCCTCTACAAGCCAGAATGAGACCTGCAGATGACTCAGGACAGGGGAACGAGCCTGTACCCCTTAAACCAATGGTGCTGAATGTCTGTGCAACACGCGTGAGGTCAGGGGCTGAGAGAGCACCGAAGCTTCTCTCCCTTTTTCTTTTTCTTTTTTAATCATGTATTTGTCTTAATTCCACTTGAGGGCACTGTCTACTTCAGCAGGACCCGGTCAATTCACATTTGCCACTTACATAAGACACCTGTGGACACCCCGATCTTCGCGCCACATAAACAAAACCCCTCCGAGGGTGGCCCACACAGCCACTCAAAGCCTAATTCACCTCTAGTCCTTGAAAGTAGTGAAATGAAGTGTTTGATATTTCTGACTAAAATTCTTTTTAAATTTTCAACAAGGAAATAGCACTATTTTTTCTTGAGCGCCGAATTATCCACATGAACAGAAATGGTTTTCCGCGACTCTCCACAGGCAGAGGCGTTTGCTGCTCTGGTAAAGGCCTTATTCAGACTGGGCCTGCGTCCCTGCCCGCTGTCCACAGCCGGTCTCTGGCCTCCGCAGAAGGCCTCGGGCTCCTTCCCCTGGCCGCCGTCCCACCCACTGCTCTAGTCCCTTCTGGGAGGCCAGGTGACCACACATGTCTGTGTGCTTAAACAATAACGAAGAAGAACACAAATTCTAACAGGTCTCGCAGGAGTACAGCGCACAGGCTTCACTGCAGACATGGGCGTAACGACACCGCACACACATCAGTTGCTCCCAGAGGCTGAAATGGTCAAAAGGCAACTTCTAAAAAGGTGAGTAGTTGGGTGGGGGAGGGGCATGGTAGGGGAGGGATTAGGGGACATCCATAATACTGTTCGAAAGAAAGAAAGAAAGAAAGAAAGAAAGAAAGAAAGAAAGAAAGAAAGAAAGAAAGAAAGAAAGAAAGAAAGAAAGAAAGAAAGAAAGAAAGAAAGAACTGAGTAGTTGTTTTATTCACTTTAAAATGTATTGAAATATTTTGGCCAAAAAAATATTTTTAAATATGGCAATTCTAGTCTAAAAAGAAATTTTTAATTTCTCAACATTATACCTTCAAATAGTAAAATTAAGAACTTCTTGAGTCTTAATAATTATTATATGCCAACAACACCTACTCTATTGGTTCTCCAGCTTAACAATTCACGCCCCAATTTAAAATAAAACCATCAGTGCCCATGAACTGCTACCAAGACAGAACTAAATTACTATATAAATGCACTAGGATACTATACTTTAAATAAATTTGATTACAAAGTGTTTTCTGTGAATCATTTAAGGGACTGTCCATGGTAAAACTGGGTATAACTGCTTTGGTTTATAAAAGGTTGAGGGCAATTTAACAATAGTCTTCCAGAGCCATATTTTACAGTGAACTCCACAAGGAGCAGTAACTTTTCTAACTTGCATTAGCACCAGTGAGAGTAAGCTTAGACTCAATAACAGGATGGGTCATGTTAGAAAATTAGAACAGCCAAAGGCAACAGTTATAAAATATTTAAACAGTATTATCCAAAAATAAAAAGGATGTGGTCTTTCTTCTTTTGGAAAGAATACATTAAGAAAGAATAGGTTAGGAACTATCATATTAAAAATTGATTCTCTTCATTGCAACTGACAATTAGAGAAAGTTGAATGGGGAACTTTATAGCTCTAGAGTTATACAAGATGATACATTTAATGATCTTTAATACCTCAACATAATGGCATCACAGCAGAAATATGTTGATAGAGACTGTCTCTTTAGAAAAGAATATAATGCCAACATTTCTCTTTCTCTGGGATATGCAGAACAGTCATTAATTCTAAACCCAAGACTATGTGGGAAAGATTGAAATCACATATCAAGGAGTTCTTTATCACTCAAGAAGGTTTGTCAGTTTGGTTAGCATTTTTATGCACTCAGCACAGTGTTAGATGCTGAAAAATATAGACTAGGTAAAATATAATGACTGCCTTCATTTGTGTTCTCTGACTATTTTTCAGGTCTAATTGTTTAAAATTGCCTCTAATAGCACACTTCACTTTGAGTATTAATATATCACAAATGATTCATCTAAATTCCATCGTACTTACTTCAGGTTGGAATATTATGAGTACCCTGATAATTACTATGAATATTAAATAAAGATTACCAAAGAATTGTAATACAAAATGCATTTAATCCTAAAACTATATTGAACAGAAGGCCTTTCTTTTGACAACATGCAAGATGAGAAACAATTCAGGGTAACAAAGATTTGAAAATATATCTAGTTATCTGAGTTTGTTGATAGTCTGAATCCTGAGTAAAGGAGAATTTAAGTATATTAAAACAAAGTCATTAAACTAAGATGAGGGTTGGAAGACACAAATATTTATCCATTTCCTATCAATGCAATAAAAAGATAATCAAGAAGTTTCATACAAAAATGTTAAAGGTCAGCCCTGGCCAGTTTTGCTCAGTGGTTAGAACATTGGCCTGCGGTCTGGAGAGACCCGGATTCAGTTCCTGCTAAGGGAGCATACCTGGGTTGCAGTTTGTCCCCGGCCCTGGTTGGGTCGTGTGGGTGGCAACCACTCAATGTGTCCCTTTCATGTCGATGTTTCTCTCTCTCTCCCTCCCACTCTATCTGAACAAAATATCAAAAAAATGTCCTCGGGTGAGGATAAAAAAAAAAAAAATTAAAGGTCAGAACTACCACCTTCTGGAACATAATATATAGTACAACTAAACAGCATTAGCTACAAAAAAATGACAGTGGTTAACTTTCCAGAAGATATAATGTCACTTTGATTCTCAAGTTATCAGGTTGTATTTGTTCAAAGAACTCCACTAAAGAAAACAAAGACAGCCCTGCCGGTTTGGCTCAGCAGTTAGCATCGGCCTGCGGTCCGGAGAGACCCGGGTTCAGTTCCCATTAAGGGCATGTACCCCGGCTGCAGTTTGTCCCAGGCCCTGGTTGGGTTGTGTGGGTGGCAGCCACTTGATGTGTCCCTTTCACATGGATGTTTCTCTCTCTCGCTCTTCCTCTCTCCCTCCTACTATATCTGAACAAAAAATGGAAAAATGTCCTCGGGTGAGGATAAATAAATAAATAAAATGTTTTAAAAAAAGAAAAAGTAAAGAAAACAAAGACAGATCAAATTCAAGAACAGTTTTCATCTCCTGAGATATCTGGACTTGCTCTAAAAACCACGGAGGCCCTCTAAATCAGCATAAAAATCACAATACTAAAATACTACCCCTAATATAAATGGCAAAGAGGTAGGAAGGTCAGTGTGAATACCAAAGAAAGAAGACAATGGGACTTTTTCCAAACGCTTCCAGACAGCTAGAATAAAATTACAATTTTAAGAATATCTCTCATTAAAAGAACAAGTTGTTATATTCCTAAACAGCTAAAGGATAGAAATATAGAAATTCGATGATGAGAAAAGAGACAGCCAGCTTTAATTTTCCTCATGGAATAACTTATGAGCCAAAACAAGTGGGATTTATAAGGTTAAAAAAAAAAAAAAGCCTGGCCCACACACCTCCATATTCATGGCGGAAAACAAGTGCTTGTGCTGTCTCACTGGAGTACACGTGGCCACCGCACTTCAGACTGACTTTCCCAGGTCCTTCATCTTTCCCTTTCTGATCCCCAAACCCTGCCTGACAACATGGTAGGCAATCCGGACATGCGAAATGAATGAACAACTTGGTGAACTCGGATGATAACAATAGAAACCAAAATTCCATTTCCTTATTTTAACTATTTAAGTGATTAAAGCTTTTTCCATGATAAAAGAAAAAAAGAACAAGACTTGGGAGTTGGGAGTATTTTAATGATTTTTACTTAATTCTCTGAAAAATAATTATAATTCATAATGAAGTCATGGTCAATTTTTATACCTCTTCATTGTTGCATATATAAAAAAGAAATAAATATTTCATAATTACAAAAACAACTTGTTTGAGGTTCATTTGAAACTGGCTTCCTAGATTCTCACTCCATGTCTGATACCTATGAATTCTTTATAACCATTGAAAAGACCTCGACAAATTTTAAATCATACTGTGACAGTCAGGAACAATACTAATAAGTTTGAGGACTAGGATAATTACTCCTTTCTCTCACCTTGTATTAAAGACTTCCTCAAATCAAACAAAAGCACAATTAGGGATGGCAGACCACAAGCAATCATTGCTGCTGAACGTTTAATGTTTTATATAAGGGCTCTGGTCTTATCAGCTCTTCACAAAAGTCACCACAAAAAGGTAGGCTTCTTCACAAGAACACTCTAAAAATTTGTAGCCGAGCATTACAGAATGTTCTGGATATTATCAACATTCACAGTACATGAACTTCCACAAGGATTTCCAGCAAATCATTTTCTCCTAATACTGTTCCAGTTCAAATCCACCCACTATCCTGTGGGGAATTGGCAGCTACATTCTTAGGGCCATTCAGTCTATTTGGGACATGAGGGGGCTGCAGAAAACCAAAATGTGAATGAACACCCTCTCTCAAAGCCTGGATTTTCCTCCTGGAGTCAAAGGCTGCAAAAGGGACAATCTTATAAAGATCTCTATTATCCCGAATGCAAAAGCAATGTAGGGATTGCTCCCCAGCTCAGGATACAGCTTTCCAGGAAGTCTGGGGAGACGAGGGGGCAGGGGTGATGGGGACTGGGAGACTGAAAAAGGCTTGGTGGCCGGAGGATGACAACCACCCTAAAACATGCAATGCCACAGCGTGGAATAGAAAAGATGCCAAGGACCTGAATAACCAGGCAGCTGACAGCTGAGAATCGAACCCAGCAGATTCTTAATACCATAATAAAGCAAAGCACAGGGAAGAAAAACAAAAGTATACCTTGTTTCAACAGGGCGCCCCTTTCAGCTACAGCATTCCGGGCTGTGTAAAGACCATCCTCACCCTGGAAATGGGGAAACTGAAAGGAAAAGCAGAACACGCCATCAACAGGGCCTGAACCCCGACTGCTCTCCCTGGACGGAAGCCACAAACACCTCCACACCGATGGATCGATCGATACGCTCCACCTCCCAGAAGTGCGATGTTACCGCCTGGAACGCCGGAGGCCAGCCCTGCGGTCAGCGGCCCGTGCCTCGGTTTCCCCGTTTGTCAATACGGGCCAAAGGGGGAGAGGGTTTCCTGCGCTGCTCCCACCCCAAGTCCTGTCTTCTCCGGAGGTCCCGGCGACAGCGACCAGGGTCCCACCACTCGGGAGCCCTCTCGGGAAGGCTGGGGGGGGGGGGAACCCCGGGAGACCGGACGCCGGACTGACGTCAGCGGGCTCAGTTCCCCGCGGGCCTGAACCGCTCGGGGCCGCAGCAACTAACGGGCCGGCGCCGAGGGCCCGACGGCCACGGAGGCGGCTGGAGGTGCCCTGAGGCCGAGGAGGGGCGCCCGAGGGGACCCGGCTGCCCACCGCTCGCCGATTCGCCCGCCCGCTCTCTCATTCACCTCTGGCGGCGGGGCGTCGCCCCTTCCCCTACCTCGTTAGCCCGCGTCCCCCACCGGCCCGGACGCGCAACACCCACCGCCCCAGTATTTACCTCCGACGCGCGGCCCCAGCGCAGCCGAGCCTGCTACCTGGGCCCGCCCCCACCTGCCCCGCCTCCGAACCACTGGAGGGGTGGGAGAGAGCGGGGGCGGAGGGCAGCCGCTCTGCAACCAATCACAGCCGAGTTGCGTTCTCGAGCACGCTCTGATTGGGTTGCCCAGTGACAGATCTTCCTCCAATGGCTGCCGGCCCGGAGCGGACTGTAGGGACTTTCCGCTCCATCAAGCTCGGTGGAGCCAAAGGGAAAGCAGAAGAGAGGGGAGGAGCAGCGGAGGGTGGGGGCGGGGAGCTCGGGTGATTGGGCGGAAAACTGTGGATTCCGCGTCCCCATTGGCTGACACCGAAGCTGGGGCGGGACACCGTGCTTCCCTCGCTCCACCTCCCATGCCCGGGTCCTGGCTGTGGGCTTAGCTGTCAAAACTCCGAAGACAGTTTGCGGCTGCGGTGCGGAGCAGTCCGGAGGAGAGCGGGGGTTAGCATTTCAGGATTGGGGCAAAAGCAAAGGTTGGGAATCAAACCTAAGCGTGAATACTTTGTGCTTTCAATAAGGACCGCGTGGAACGGGGAACTCACAACCACGCTGATCCTCAGTGTCCTCATCTGTAGAGTGGAGATTATCGTCAGTACTTGTCTTGCGAGGATTGTTGTGAAATACTTTATGTAAAGCTCCTGACGTACAGCAGGCGCTCAGTCAGATCTCTTCGTCTCCCTCAGATTCAGCCCGGGACCCCTGCTGCTTCTGAACCCCTGGTAGCCACCTATCCCAGGTCGGAGGGAGGTCTCCCTGGGGTGCTGAAGAAGGGAATTCTACACGCCGCCTCACTCAGCTCTGCACCCTTGGCCACCAGCCAGGACTTGGGGTGTAGTTAAGGATCTTTCAATTACGAGGGAGGTTTGTGATTCCCAAAAGTGCTCAAAATATTTAAGGAAGTGCTTTTTATAATCAGTCCCAGAGCCTTGCAGCGTGCTTTGCTTCACTGGATACTCCTGTTAATTAATTCCTTCTCCTTTGACATTTTAAGTACCAATTATAGGAGAAGGTGATTAATAGCGAGGAAGGAAGAGGTGTGTGTGTGTGTGTGTGTGTGTGTGTGTGTGTGTGTGTTTAATCATGAGAGGAAAAATTTCCCCAGTGGAAGGTGATATCTCTGAAGATCTGGGGGATTTAAACCAGTGAGTACATAAAAGAAGTCACATGAGTGATTACTAATGGTTCTAGTAAGCAGTCCACCCATGTTCCTTGCCATAAGCACCCAGAATGAAATGGACATCTTTTGAAAACCTAAACCTCGATCCACATTTGTCCCTTCCTAGTCCATTCTTATCTGGTTCCCCACGCTTCGTGACCACACTACATAGAAAGCAATAAAATGGAAAGCAACAGTCCTGGGTCGTAGTGTGACGTTAGGTGACACCATCCTCCTTCTAGGTCTAGATTCCCCAGTAAAGTCGCAGGAGTCAGAGGTCACCGTCTGGCTGTCTTGGAGAAAAATTCTGCCTGAGGACTGTTTTTTCCTGACCCATACAGTGAAGAGGAGGAGGGAAAGGAGGAAGTGGAGTGGGACAGAAGGATGTTCAAGCCTTTTACACAGGGCTGGCACTCGCCCTCCCTCTCTGCCACCCCTCACCATTCCCCGTTATTCCTCCTGGTGCCCTTCTCTCCTTTGCATGAATCACTGGCTCTGAGGCATTCGAATTTGCCACCCCTGGACTAGGACATCTTGGTGTCCTCTGAGACGAGGCGCTTGGTGCTGCTGAGCTCTCTGCTTCAGTAGAACTTTCTTCCCCACCAGCAGTGGTCCGGTCCCTGGCTCAGTCCTCCTTCCATACCTTCGCAGAATCACACAGTGTTAGGACTTGGCTGCATCCGAGAGAGATTCTTCCAAGCCAGGTCTGATCAACAGGACTCATCTCGATTACCATCTCCTCTCCATTGGTAATGGCTGCCTAGAACACAGTGTTGAAAACCATTCTGAAGCTGTATTCGGGCTCACAGGGAAGAGAGATGTCCGCCAGGGGCTAAGACAGGTGCTATCGTAATGCTATTATCTTCCATCTTTGATAAGCCAGCCTCTCCTTTTACAGATGGGAGATTAAGGTCCAAAGAGTGGGAAATAACGTGTCCTCAGTCACCCAGGAGATGAGCTGAGAACCTGCTTCTCCTGATTTCAAGACAGGGCTCATGCTACCTCTGTTTAAACAAATTCTGCAAGTGAAATGCCCATCCTCTCTGCCTTCCAAATCCTCTTGCATTTAAGGCCTAGCCAAAGTCCACTGTCTTTGAAGGTCTTTGCTGATGGCCCTAGGCCCCGCTGATCATCTCTCTCTATCCACCACCCCACAGCCGGTTCTACTCAGCCTAGCCCTGGGTTCACACAACAGGTGGTCACCATGAAACAGGGCAGCTACAAGGGAGAGGCCACCTGCCCTCTGGCGAGGAAGCATATCCTAAACAACTAATTACACGACACTTATTTAACTATTGAGGTTAGAGTGAGCATCAGCAGCGAACTGCTCTGGACACACAGAGAAGGCCTGTTTGAGGAAGTCACCTTTGAGATGAGCTAGGAAAGATGACGTAATCAGGGATTAGGGGGAGCAGCTAGGCAAAGGGGACAGGAATGTGAGTGACATGTTGAAGGAACTGAGAGGCAGGGAACAGAAGGGTGGGTGCCAAAGGGCCCGGCAGGCAGGGCCTTGGGAGCCAGGGCAGGTGTCGGTCTTTGTCCCAAGAGCAGTGGGACCCTCTGAAGGCCTTTCAGCAGGCGGTTAACTGTGATTCCAGATGTCTGCATGGCTCTCATTGCACACTGCAGGAGCCCAGCCAAGAGCCTTTGAGTTGAATGGAGCTCTCCCCCAGGAGCTGGGGTCTGGACCTCAGGCAGCCTGGTAGGGGCCCATGACTTAGAGTAACACCTAGTGAGGATCCAACAAGCCTTCTCGGCAGCATGGTTATTCAGCAGACCCTGCCCCAGGCTTCCAAATGGGTATCACAAGCTACCTCCCACTTCCAGCCTCCCCAAATTCAGCGCGTATGTCCCCCGCCCACTCAGCACCTCCACACCATACAGCCTAAAGGGCACCCCCAGTACGCCCACTCTGCTGCGGCTGCCTCCCCGTTTCAGAAACAGAACCTCCAGCTGTCGTCCAGCCATTTCCCACCCCTCCTGTAAACAGGTACATTCCGAGTGCACTCAAAACCGTGGCACTAACGGGACAGGCATCGCCCGGGCGGAGACAGAGCGTCTCCACGACTCCCAGTGCGTCAGCATTTCGTTCAGCAGGGAAGCTGAGGCTCTGCCTCTCGGGAACCGCCGAGCATTCTGTCCGGGGGCTTTTACTCAGGTCGTCTAAAAGCCCTTTTTGATCAGATAGAAGGGATTACTTTAATCATCTTTAAATAATCCAGCTGAACTATAAATCCATGCTCTCCTGTGGGAGCTACTGGCTGTTATCAATGACAAATGATTTCTGTGGGATTCAAAAAACACACAACCAGAGAAAAGGGGTCCAGGGCTCTTCATCGGGTACCCCATTTTGAACAGTAGATACGTTAGGAACACTCCCATGTCCCAGGAAATCCTCCTCCCTCAGGAAGGGACAGTAACGGTGTTGGGAGAAAGGGGATTATTATTATAATCTCCCCACCTTCTAGTTCCTACCCCCTTCAAGTAGGGTGGATTCGCCATCCATTCAAAAATATCTGAGCACCTGCTGTGCGCTGGACACCATTCGGACGCTGAGGACACGGCCGTGGGCATGGTCCCCGGTCTCCCGGCGCTGACATTCAAGGGAAAGGGAGAAACAGGTGTGCGTGCGCAGTTCCTGCTGAGAAGACAGTAAGCAGGGAAGGGATTCTGGAACCTGACTCTGCCGCCCACACTTCTGGGTTTTAGGTGGGTTGTTGCGGGAAGGAGTCCCTTAATGAGAAGACGTTTGAACAAAGACCTGAAGGAAGAAGAAAGCCAGTCCTGCCGCCCCTAGGAAGGTGTGTCCACGAGGGGAGACAGGCAGGTGCAGTGCGCTTGGCATTGCCCGGGAATGGCCAGGAAGCCGTGTGGCTGGAGGGCAGAGGATGGGGCTGTGCCGGCCCAGGGCGGGCCAGGGAAAACACAGCGGTGGGCCAGGCACACACGAGACCTCGGCTTTCACCCTGTGCCGCAGAGTGCAGATCCGAGCAGGGACTGGTCTGACTTTTGCTTTAATGGGCTCACGCCCGGGGTCAAGGGCAGAAGCAGGGAGACCAGGCGGGAGACCAACGCAGCAATGGACTCAAGGTTGCCCCGGAGGAGGCCCTTGCTTCCTGGGGGTGGGGGAGAGCAGCTGGAGAGGAGGGGCATGTAGGACTGAAAATGTCAAGAAAGAAGTTCTGAGTTTAAAAAAAAAGGTTCAGAGCTCCTGTAGGCTCTTCGGTGACTGAGAGGAAGGGGTGATGCTTAGGGGCTTGGATCTGTGGATTATTCTGGAAATAATAAGTGGGATTAAATTTAGAGTACAAAAGGGAGAAGCCAAAAATCTTGGATTGCCAGCAGCTGCCATCCCGCCCCCACATAATTCTCCAAGGGAAACTGCCCAAGCCGGTCCCCAGTGTCACTCATGAGCTTGCCGCTCACCTGTGACCAGCCAGCCAGGGCCCGAGGCTTGTGCCCGGTGGCTTGTGCTTCCCCCACTGGCTGCAGCATCCCAAGTGGGGAGGGAGGCGCGGATGTGTTGGTGCAATAATGAAACGACGCTGTCGTCTCAACTCAACCGCCTGGAACCTGACTCTGCCGCCCACACTTCTGGGACGTACTCATTCTGGCATCTGCTTTGGGTGCTCTAGGGGAGACAGACTTTTCTTTCTTCTCGGATGATAGTGAATATAATTAAAGACTGGAGATCTTTTAAAAAATGCTCCTGCTCTGATACCTCTTCTCCTACACGTAGGAATGATGGGGCGTTAGCCACGGAGGAGGACTCTGCTCCCGGTAAGCCCCTGGTCCTCAGCACGCAGCCTAGCAGAGGACTTGAAGAGCCCCTCTTCGGGAGTTACCTGCACTGGCTCAGGATGCTTTGGGTGGGTCTGCTGGCTTTTCCAAAATTAGGAGACTTCTCCTCTGAGCCCTGACAGTAACCACATGCCCAGAGCTCAGCCCCACTCCTCCTGGAGCCCTCTCGAACGGTCGTTCTCCGTAGTCTCTCCCTGGGTTCTGTCACCCAGGCCCAAGGACCCCACTCCCCTCTTGATGCCAAGGACACCGATGCCCTTCCAGCAGGCGGCGACCTCTCCCACGGGGTCCAGACTCGCGCCATCACTGACGTCTTCACTTGCCTTCTCCACGTAGGGGTCTCGGGCTTGACCATCCAACAGAAGTCCTCCCACCTCCAAGCTTGTTCCCTACCGGTCGTCTCCATTTTCCCAGTTACTCGGGTCGGACATCTAGGAGTCATCCTGGATCCTTCCCTTCCCCATCCCTCTCTTCCAGCCCATTCGTAAACCCTTGGCCATCTCGCTGGAGAGTGTCTCTGGACCCTCTCCACCTCCACTGACGTCACTCAGGCCGGCCAGCGGCCTCTTACCCGCAATAGCTCCGAGGTGGTCCTAGGTGTCTCCCCACTTCCTCTTCCCCTCACTCCCACCCCTATGCTTCCAGCCCCTCTCCACCTGGAGCAAGAGACCTTCCTTCAATGTCACAGGGTCACATCCCTGCTTAGAACTCTCCAGTGGCTTGCTATTGTACTAAGATCTGGCCTAAGCTCTTGACCGCGGCCAGCTAGGCCCTTTGAGACTGGTCCTACCTACCTCTTCATTCCCGGCTGGTGACACTCTGCCCTTAGCCTGCCTCAGATATACCGTATAGTTTCCTATGGCTGCTGTAACAAATGTCATAAATTTGGTGGTTTAAAGTGACACTGATTATTCTCTTACCATTCCGGAGACCAAAAGTCCCCAATGGGCTGGGGCCAGAAGGGTGGCAGGCTGGACGCGCCCAGCGATTCTAGGGACAAATGTGTCCTTGCTTTATCCAGTTTCCGAACCTGCATTCCTTGACCCGTGGGGTCCCTTCCTCCACCTTCAAAGCCAGCTGTGTAGCATCTTACATCAGCGGTCACAGTGCCTTCTGTGTCAAACCCCCCTTTGCCTCTCTTATAAGGATAACTGTGGCTGCATTTGGGGTCTATCCAGTTCATCTGAGAGACTCTCCTCATTGTAAGACGCCCCGACTTAATCACATCTTTAAAGTGCCTTTGGCCATATAAGCAACGGGTCCCAGGGGGGAGGACCTCTGAGGGCCAGTGTCCAGCCGAGCACACACACCAAGCTCTTCCCACAACAGGGTCTCTGCAAAGCCTGTGGCCTGTTTACCTGTTTCCTGCCTCTCCTTCCCCTCCCCCTCCCCATAACTGCCTTGCAGACAGGACCATGTCTGTGTGTCCGCCCACCAATCGTCCTAACATGCCTGGCTATGTAATTGAGGACTGAAATGAAGGAAGATGCATTTACCGTCCCAGATGTGCAAAGAGGCTGCTGTGCTCATCAAGAGAAAGTGGGCCCATCTCCATCACCCCTGGTCTCCTCTGTCGGCAACAAAGGTCCCGACAGAACCTAAAGCCACCGACAGAGAGAACCCACCGACACGCTCACGCGCAGGAGCCCCGGGAGATGCTGTGGCATTTAATAACCCAGACACACACAGAACCTTTCAAAGAAGTGGATTTCTCTTTGGGAAGTGGCCACCTGAGCCCTTGCTCATTAAACGCAGCTAAGAATTATTTCCGCAAGGCCTACCCAGGAGGCTGCCGGCTCTTCCCTGTCCTTCTAAGCCCGGAGCCCCCTGGAGAGAGCGGAGTGGGCCCAGGGCCCGTCTGCCAGGGCACCGTGGGGCCCCGCACAGCTCAGACACACACTGCCTTAGACTTGGCCCAGCGCGGTGCACCTGTGTCTGTGGCAAGGCCATTTCTAAGACTCACTTTTGCCTTAAGCAAATTAAGGAAACGTTATTTCCGTCCCCCCTTCAAGTAGAAACGTGTGATTTCATATTTGACAAGTCGCAGAAACATTACAAAAATGTCTGGTCACAACGAAGACAGCTTGGGTGCCCCTAGTGTTTCCCCTCTGTGACCATGTACAGCATGAAATTCCCGCGGGTGTGTTTGTTTATAAAAATACAAACTTGGGAGAATAACACAAAGTGCTTTATAAATAGTAGCCAGTTTTCACAAATAACGTTAAAAATAGTAACACCTGCGTAGCACCTGACCATTCACAAAGGCATCATTCTGAGAAGCGTTTGCTCTGTAAGGGGGGGCCTTTGACTTCGCCCCTGTAAATTTCTGGTCCACTTTAAATCTCGAAGTTTCTGGTCCACTTTAAATCTCGAAGCATTCCATCCCAATCGGCCAGAACCGTCTCTGAGGAACGTACTTTGGAAGTCTGTTGTCAGAGTTCAGCCCACAGGCCTCACCTGGACACCTGGTGGGCCGTTCTGAATCCTGGCACGGACTGATCTTCAAAGTTGCATTTGGAAGGGCTGATTGCAAAGGGTTCACTGAAGAGTAACTGGCTTCCCTGGAGACAAAAGCCCACGTGTGATACCCGCGGCAGCGTGGTCATATTCTTCTTGCAAATGCAGACTACCTTGGGGAACTAAGTAGCTGTCATGTGTCCCCTTCCAATAATGCTTAAGGACCAGAAGGAGAGCAGGGCAACTGTAACCCCTTCCTTGGTGGGGGTGGGGGCGGGGTGGGGAACAGCAACGCTGAGAACACCGACAGCCGCAGTCCTCAGCCACAGAGGAAATGCCACGTGCAGGGCCCGGGATGCGTGGACGAAGCAGACATGGGAAGCAGCCTGGAAGGTTGACCCACGAGTCGAGACCTGGCAGGAAGTTTCTTCCTGAACATGTCCTGTCACTGTGGGAGGCGTGGAAAGGGGCTTTTCGTGGGGAACCAGGTCTCTACGCCCATAGGCACTCAGTAACCTTTGTGGGCCCACGGACACGTCCAGTCACCTGGAGGCCGGCCCCGGGATACAGAGGCTGCTCCTTCCACAGCCCGTGGGTTGAACCCTGGGACGAACTTGACGGCCACAGGAGACTTTGGAAGCATCCGCTCCGAAGGGCACTGGTGCCCCTTCTCTGCCAGAACAGAGGTGACCTCCTGAGTTGGCCCGCGCAGGGCTCCGTCCCAACGGGCTGCTGACATGTACTGCAGCGTGGGGCCCACCCCGCGGCCCACTCACACGCGCGCTGAGATGAGCACTGGCCCGGTGACATCACAGCAGGAGCCTGGCGTCCCTGCGGCTGAGCTGCTCAGTCTCCTCGGGAGAGAAAGCGTTGCCTCGGAGCCTTCAGGGGTAAAGCAGAGAGAGGCCGGAGTGAGGACGGAGCCACAGCACTTCTTCCAGAGCCACGTGGGGACGGCCTGCCCCTCCGGCCCAGCGCAGCCCCGCTGGGAGGGAGTCTGCCCGTTCAGCGCCGGGCAGGGCAGCTCACGAACCACTGGGCATGAGGGAAGCAAGGCTCAGCGACGCCGCTCAGGGAGGCCACGCTGGGCCCCGTCGGGCCTGGGCATCATTTGTAAGACAGCAGCAGAACCTGTGCAAAGCGCATGCCCGCCTCCCCCAGCTCCACCCACAGGAAGCAAATAACATCAGAACCCTTAAAATATCAACCTGGTGCCGGCTTGCTGTCCCCAGACACAGTGTGACATTCCTTAGGACTGTGCAATGATTTAAGAAAACTCACACTGTGCCCAGGACCCAAGGAACTCACGAGGCACAGGTATTGCGCAATCCTGCAGGAGACACTCCCTCCATCACAGGCTAGTTTGAGAAGGCTTTATTTCTGGTCAGTTTGATTTTCCATCCTCACCCGAGGATATTTTCCCATTGATTTTTTAGATAGCGTGAAAGGAAGGGCGGAGGGAAAGAGAGAGAGAAACATCAATGTGAGAGAGACACATCCATTGGTTGCCTCCTGCATGCACCCTGACAGGGGCCAGGGATCGAACCTGCAACCCAGGTACGTGCCCTTGACCGGGATTCGAACCCACAACCCTTCGGGCCGGCGCTCTAATCGCTGAGCCAAACTGGCCAGGGTGAGTATTTATTTTTAACCTCATCGTTTGGTATCTACAGTTGCTGCCGCCTTGATAGGCGTTTCGAGGGCGGGATGAGTCTGCTCATTGAAGCAGCGTCACAAGCTCCCAGGAAGGAGGCCCGTCGAGTACGGGGTCCGAGGGGCCAGGTCCCACACAGCAGGCTTGGGAGGTGCTATCGGCCAGGGCCAGAGTGCCTGGGGAGTGGGCTCTGCCCTTCCTCCACTCCGTTCCATCACTGACACTGTCCCTGGGTCCAGCTTTTTTTGCAAAGACCCTGAAATATGGACTTTTATGAGGGAATCTCCTAGTTTTAAAATACAGATGGGCCCCAGCTTACAATAGTTCGACATGATTTTTCCACTTCACGCGGGGGCAAAAGCGACAGGCATTCAGTAGGAACCATGAATTTTTTTTTTTTCCTTACCCGAGGACATTTTTCCATTTTTTGTTCAGATAGAGTGGGAGGGAGGGAGAGAGAGAGAAAGAGAAACATCAACATAAGGAACACACCGAGGGCTGCCACCCGCACGACCCAACCAGGGCCGGGGACAAACTGCAACCGTGGTGCATGCCCTTGGCGGGAACCCAACCCCAGTCTCTCTGGACCGCAGGCCGACGCTCTAACCGCTGAGCCACACCAGTTAGAGCATCTTTGAAAGATCTCTGCCCGGCTGGCCGCTGCCGGGCGATGCTCCCTCGTGCTGCTGGGCAGGGGGACGCTGCTGCCCACCTGGAGGCTAATGTGAGTGTCCTGAGCATGTTTCAGGGGGGCTGGGCTGTGATGGTCGGTAAGTTAGGTGTATTCAATGCGTTACCGACTGAAGGCTACTTTCAACTTATGATGGGTTTCTCAGGACGTAACCCTGTCGTAAGTCAAGGAACGCCTGAGTTGGCTTCTAGCTCGGAGCCTGAAACGTATATAGAGATACTGACGTGTAACGTGGTAAACCGGGGGGAACCCTTCTGCTTATTATCTGAGTGATAATCACATCCCTGGAAAGGGAGATGCCTCTTTGACGTTGTGACTGAACAGTTTTTTTCACATACATGAAAGACTGGCTTTTACACACAAAGACGTGGCTGCGCTGCAGAGTCGTGCCCACCCTGTGTAGCGTCCACCCAGAGCCAGGCGCAGGGTCTGACACGGTGGCCTGGACCTGTGAAGGCAGACAGAGTGCCCAGGGGGGCAGGAGCAGCGTCCCTTCCTCTGCTACCCTCCCCCACACCCCGTCCCCAAACTCCCGCCTAGAGCAGAGTTCATTCCAAGTAAACACTCATTCTTAAAAACAAGAGTTGGTCCCTGCTCAGACGGGGAGATGTCTTTCCTAAAGAACTGCACCCATCCCATGCAGAATGCCACTGAATGTCAGAGCCAAAAGGGACCTAGAAACTCTCAAGCTCCTCTCTCCCCTCGCCCCAATTCACAGACTGGAAAACCGAGGCTCGAGAGGTAGAGAGGCCCACCCAGGGCCCTTACCAGACTTCCAGGATGGTGTCGTTCCTTTCGAGGGCCTGCAGGAGGGCTTCTGCCCCCACGTAGGTGACGCAGTTGTTGGACAGCCTGGAGAGGAAGATGTAAGGGTGAGCTGCACGGATGCTCGCCGTCCTCTTGGGCCTGTCCAATCAAAGGAGGCCTGGGAGTGGGCCGGCCTGCTGAAGCCCCTCCCCCCACGTCTCTCTCCTGCCGAGACTGCCAATGTGTGTATCAACAAAGACGCAGAGCCTAAGATGAGATGCGCCCCTCTCTCTCCCATTCGGCAGACTCGTTCATCTAACGAAGGGGCTACTTGCTCAGGAGGGTTCCGAGAACGTGCGTGTTAGCACCCGACTTCCTGGGTCCCAGTCCAGCTCACCCCGCTTCCTGTCCGATCTCAAGCAAATCAGCCCCACTTCCCTCGTCTCTAACAGGACCTGAGGGGGCGCCCCCTTCCCAGCGCACGAGAATCAAAGAGCGGCTCCTTCTAAACCACTTGGCACCGCGCGGATAGAAAGCAATCAATGAACGGTGACCTTTCACCTGGGCTCCCGGGGCCAAGGAGAAACCTGAGGTTGGGATGGGGAAGGGGGATGCCACACTGTCCGGGAAAGCAGGGAAGGGCCAGTCTCTCGTGCTGTCCTGCTCATAGCTCAACTCGGGGGACACCCTCCACTCCCGCCTTCCGCTGCTTCCCCAAACGCAGGACTTCGTGACACCCGAGGCGACGCTATTAATAAGAGCGGCCAACTGGGTGGGCTCCTCTGCGTGCCAGCTGTCACCCTGCCATGCACACACCCTAGGAGGAGGGTCCGGAGATTGTCCTCATTTATGCCTGAGACGCCAAGGAGCAATAGCCAGTAATGGTGGGGCCAGGGCCAAACCCGGGCCATCCGGTCCGGAGCCTGCCGTCCTCACCAACGCTGGGCCGCTCGGTTAAAGGAAAGATGTGGGCATCTTTTTATGGGGAAACAGTGATGCTGAATTTGAAGACTCTTACCAAGACAGCATGGGACAACCCCTGATGCCGCTGCCTAGCACCTCTGGGGATTGACTAAGTCTGTGACCATGAGAGAGCACAGATGTGCCACACTCATACCCGGGCAATAATCAAGCAGGTTTTGCCAAAGGCCTCCCTGTGTTCACAGCCTGGTGTCCCGGCTCAGACACATCCGCTTCACCCAGGCCTCCCAGCCCACTTTCACCCGTGGGATGAGCTGAAGTGTTTTCCCCAGACATTTGGCAATTGCGTTGCCCCTCAAAGCCACACACTCCAGCGTTGCCAGAGCGGCAGGCAGGCAGGCTGGCAGCGGAGCAGACGCTCTCCCAGGGGAGCTGTCTGCCTGTCCCTGAAGGTGACATTTTCCCTGGGCTCACCCCCTCCAGCAAAAGGAGCCATCTATGATGCCCTAATGTCCTTTGCCACCATGGCTGGGGTGGTGCCAGCCTCAGAGAGCACCCACACAACCTGTGATGGGTGCTGGCCTCCGGCTCCCACCCGCCATCCTTCCCCATGTGGCCTGGGCCCCGCCCACTGAGTCTACTCCGGGGGTTCCCTGATCACTTGCTCTCAGCTCCCGGACCTGCAGGGCACCACGAGCCCCTGACCCCTGTCACCAGCCTTCTCCTCTGCCATCAGCCTGGTCCAAGTCCCCATCTGTGCCCAAAAGATGGAGGGAACCCCTACTTGGTCTCCTCACCTCTGTCTCACCCTCCTTCCACCTGCTCTGATCAGCAACAAGCACACTCTCTCTGTGATGTACATCAGATCACGTGACTGTCCTCAGGAACACCCTCCAAGGGCATCTCAGTGTTCTCAGGATGAAATCCCAACCCTCCCATGGCTCTGGGCCTCTGGGGCCCGCTCCCCCACCTCTGCCCTCCCAGCCTCCAGCAGACCCACCACATAGACCCTGACCCTGGCCCTGGCCCTGACCCTGACCCTGACCATAACCCTGACCCTGACCCGAACCCTGACCCTGACCCGAACCCTAACCCTGACCCTAACCCTAACCCATGGCTCTGGGCCTCTGGGGCCCGCTCCCCCACCTCTGCCCTCATAGCCTCCAGCAGTCCCACCACATTGACCCTGACCCTGGCCCTGACCCTGACCCTGACCCTGATTCTAACCCTGACCCTGAACATAACCCTGACCCTGACCCGAACCCTGACCCTGACCCGAACCCTAACCCTGACCCTAACCCTAACCCTAACCCATGGCTCTGGGCCTCTGGGGCCCGCTCCCCCACCTCTGCCCTCATAGCCTCCAGCAGTCCCACCACATTGACCCTGACCCTGACCCTGACCCTAACCCTGATTCTAACCCTGACCCTGACCCTGACCCTAACCTTCACCCTGACGCTGACCCTGACCCTAACCCTGACCCTAACCCTGATTCTAACCCTGACCCTAACCGTAACCCTACTGGTTATCTTCCCTTCCCTGCTTCACGTCACAGCTCTGTCACCGGTTTTGCTGGGACCCCCTTGCCTTGGCATCCCTGCCTGTGTTTCAGGGACCCCCGACAACACTGCTCTGTCCGGCCAGGCCACCGCGTGGGAGCTAGCCAGGCCGGGCACCCGCCCAGGTCTCTGAGGCAGAACCCCTCCCCACACTGCTCACGACTGTCCTGGCTCCGGCCGACGGGTTCCTTACTTGAGGACTTTCAAAGCTGAATTTCTCTTCAGTCCTTCAGCGAGAGAACAGACACCTTCATCTTGGAGATGGTTCTCCTCCAGGCTGGGAAGACGAAGAGAGAAGACTTGATGGTAACATTCATCACAGAAGGTGAGGTTACAACGATGAGCCATGTCCCCCATCCAGAAAGCCCAACGACCAAAGTCCACTTACAAATGAAGCCGGAACAGATAAGGCAGGGATCGAAGGGCTCCATTCCAGGGACATCTCGGGGAGAGAATTTCCCCAAATTCTCCACTACATAAGACATTCCCTCGTGTCCCAGTGACTCGACACTCACTTTCCCTTTCTTTCTTATTAATGGAAGCCTAATTTTGTTTGAGGCAGCATGTGCTTGGTCAAACAAACTACAACAACCACCACCCCGACATTTCCCGCTCTCCACTGCAGCCAGGGTTGGCCTAGAGACATCCACATGGCCATGAACACTAAGGGGAAGTTGACAGATGGGCCCCTGGGAATGTTCTGAGAAGCAGAGAGACCCAGCTGGCCTGTGCCTTTGCCCTCCCTGGATCTAAAGACTGAATCCTGGAATACACAGGAGTGTTGGAGGTGCTGCAGCCCTCTTGTGATCATGAGGCAACCAACCACAAGGGTGAAGCCACAGTCGGAGGATGTGATAGAACAGAGTCCAGACCCCGCTGGCCTTGTGACGCCACCATATCGGCCCTGTGCTGCCCACCTCCAGAGTGCTTGTATGTGGGAAAAGAAACCCTTTACTGGTTTAAGCCACTGCAGCTGGAGGTTTCCCTCACCTGCAGCCTACAGAAGTCGTACTGGTGCGCTCACAGCGAGGCCTCCTGTAACAAGGAACTCCATCCGAGAGGGGAGCCCAGTCAGCATATGCCGATCAGGACATGATGGGTCCATCGGCAGAGCCACTGAGCCCTGCCAACTGCCAAGGCCCGTCCACAACATCCACGTTGTGACAACGCTCAGAGGTTTCCGTCCCCTTCTGCTTCCTAGACAAACCAACATCTTATCTACCGAATATAATCTGGAACTGCCCAGCCCAGCCAGCGTGGCTCAGTGGTGGAGCGTCGACCCTGCACCAAGAGGTCGCAGGTTCAATTCCCGGTCAGGGCACATGCCCAGGTTGTGGGCCCGATCCCCAGTGGGGGGCATGCAGGAGGCGGCCAGTCGATGTTCTCTCTCATCAGTGTTTATCACTCTCTCTCCCTCCGCCTTCCTTTCTCTCTAAAATCAATCAAGGAAAAAAACGTGTTTTGTGGTTGGAAGAAACCCGACTTCGAGACTTACTGAACTTGCCTAAGATCACAGCCGACCTTGAAGCTCAGCCTGCTGGATGTCAGAGTCTGTGCTCTCAAGCACTGGGGCACGTGGAGGCGGCAAGCAAATCAACACGCCCATAAGCACGATGGGACAGAAACAGAGAGACCCGCGCCAGGCTCCCTAGGGGCTCCACCCGCCAGGACACAGAGGCAAACACACTCGCCCAGTCACTCGGTCACACACCTCCGTCTCAGCCACAGACGAGGCCAGGGAATGGACAGAGGCTGCCCTCTGCCCCCAGAGCAGGGACTCCCCCAAACTCACCAGAGTTCTTCCAGAGCCATGTTCTTTTCCAACATCAGTGCTAAGGCCTGAGCGCCCACACGGCCGATGTTGTTCCCCACCAGGCTGGATGGGACCGAGGAACAGGAACGTGTCAGAGCAGGGGTGGGGGGCTCAGAAGTGAGCGAAGCCACGCAGGGCAGATGCATGGCCCCACGTCCTAGTCCGCTCCCTTCAGACACCGATAATTAATTAGCTCTTTCCATCGAGCCCGAAGGCAGCCTTGGGGTCTTTCCCAGCACGGTGTCCTGGGCAGCACTATGAAAGGTTTAGAGTTGGTCCTTGAGATAAAATAAATTCGATCCAGCCCAACATCTTCAACTTACAGATAGGGAATCAAAACCCTTGAGAGGAGAAGGGACATCTCCAAAGTCACCCACAAAGTCAAGTGTCCTGACTCCAAATCCAATGGCCTTTCTTTCTCATCCCACTAACACAGGGCTACAAATGGAGTTCAAAGACCCTCCCTCCTCACGCTGGCTCCCTGGGACAACCGCAGGACAGACAGACGCTTACCTCAGCCACCGCAAGCTCTGGTGCTCCCCCAAGGCTTCCGCCAAGGCCTGGGCCCCCTTGTCACCCACCTGGTTGCCCCAGAACCTGAAACGGTCAACAGAGTCAACAGGTGGCGTCCACGCGAACCTGCTATGTGTCCAGCTGTGCTCCAGTAGGCCCCAGCCTCTCCACGGCCCCAGCCGGTGGGGCAGGACCCCAATCCCAGAGAGGGCTCGGTGGGGCTCCTAGCTCCCAGCAGAGGGGGCCGCCTCCCTCTTTCTGGAGGGATAGCCCAACCTCACTCAGCTTGTTCGGCTACATTACATCCGACTTACAGAACAGTAGAGGCCCACCCAATGGTTACCCACAGGGACGGGGAACTCACTCTCAGTGGAGATCCACGGTCATGACCTTTTTCTTTGACATTTAGGTCACAAGTCCTTAACTACCCTCTAGACTGCCCGGAACTAGTCTGTCTCTCCCTCGTTCTTTATCATATCTGGTTTCTTCATGGTGCCCGCCTCCTTGCCTTCGGGGCCATCAGACCCACTGTGATTTGGAAACACCCCTTTTTAAAAGCACAGCTCAGCCCTGGTGACTCAGCTGTTTGCCACCTGGGAAATTAGCCTGGACACACCTGTGCACAGGTGAGCGAAGACAGCTGAACTGGGACTGTCAGGACACTTCCATCCATTAGGTGACACTGAGCTCTGGCTCTGTGCCCACAGTGCCCTGAGTCCGGGGGTAGGACCCTGGAAGCAGCCAGATGTGCACCAGTGTGAGGCCAGTGAAAGGGATTATGACACCAACCAGCAGGCCACTGAGCAGCTGTTCTTTACAAACGAGGTCACGGGAGAGGAAAAGATGTCTGTGATACATTGTTGAGGGAAAAATGCAAGTGACGGAACAGTGTGCATCATAGGATGGCGTCTGGGGTTTTAGCGGAGCGCCTGGTCCCAACAGGTGCCTTCATCAATCCGCGTCGAAAGATAAACGCCCCAGATGTGCCAGATGTGACCTCAAATGGGAAAGAGCTCAGGGGGGCTGCGGCCAGCCTTGTTCTAGACAGAGTTACTGACGCAGCCCGGGAGAGGTGCTGGTGTCAGCCGCGGGCAGCTGCCTGTGACATGGGCTGGAGCACCTGGGCCCTCAGGTTATCCTGTCTTCCTACGGTCCTGGGTTCTGACATGCCCAGTTCTTTTCAGATGGACCCCAGTTCACGCCCGGGCAAGACGGAACAGGAGGGGCTGAGGGGACTGTGCCCAGCACACAGAAGGTCCACTCCGGGCCGTGGTCAGGGAACTGCCCCCCGCCTGGCCTGGCTCCCCTCCCCCACTCGCAGGCGGGCATGGCCTCCAGCCACACGCACTCGGCAGGACCTGGTCCCGTCTCCAGCCTCCCGCTTCTTTCTCTTGCCTGGGTCCTCAGCCGGGCTGCACCTCCTCTGGGAGCTTTGGAAAATCCTGATCCCTGGGCCCTGCCTCTGGGTCGTTCCCTGAATTCACCTGGGATGGGGCCCAGGCAATAGCTTCTCCGGAAGCTCCCCTGTGGTCCCCGGTGCAGACGGAGGTGAGAAGCACAGGACCAGAGGGCTTCCTGCCACCGTGTGGGCACCGCCTTCCCCCGGCCTGACACCCTGAACTTCCTGTTCACTGAGTGGAAAAAGTAAGCACCAGGCAGCCCACGGTCTCCCTGCCTCGCCTCCCCACCGGAGCCTGGCTGCCCATGGGGCCTCCCGGCTCAAGAATGTCACCTGCCCCAAACCCCTCCACGCGGCCCCAGGCCCCAGAATCCAACCTACCCCAGGAACTGCAGGGAGGTGTTGGCCCTGAGACCCTGGGCCAGCACCTGGGCTCCCACGGCGGTGATGTGGTTGTTCCCCAGCCTGGAAGAGAAGACAGAGGCAGCTGGAGAGTGTGGACCTGGGGACCAGCCAGGCCAAAAGCCTGAGTCTGCTGGGCAAAGTGCGGCCCGGACAGAGAAACCTGGACAAAATGTTGTGGGGACCTGTCGGCAGGAGGCAGGAGGCAGGAGGCAGGGGGTCTACCCAGCGGTACCTGCGGCTCTATTTTCCTCTCCTAGGTGGTGTCTTCACACATCAGGTGCACATCTGCTCCCTCCTTGGGAGGGGATGGACGTGGAGGCAAGCCAAGAACCTGCGTGGCGGCCCGAGCGCGTTCGCTCACTGGGTAAAGCGCTCAGCACAGAGTGTATGTGGGTCTTCACTCGCTGAATCATCGCAGCCGCCTGGGAGGTGGCTATTATTACTCTCTCCATTTGACAGGGGGGAAACCGAGGCACACAATGGGCTGACCCGAGGTCACAGAGCTAACGAGGCCTCAAACTGCGGGGGTCCTGGGTTCAAACCTGGTCAATCTGGCTCCAGGGCCCCAGGCTCTCAACTGCGATGTCCTATTAGCCAGACGCGGAGGCCTCCCCCTCCGGTGCAGCCCCCACTGGGACTGGGCAGCCCAGGCCTGGCCACAGCCGTAGCGACGGCCGCAGAAGAGAGTCCTCCGCGCAGGAGGGCACCTCTGGCATCGGCCTGCGCCCTGCCTGAGACCGCTACGCAGTCGGCAGTTTCAAGTGGCAGCGTCCTCCCCGAACCCAGCACCGTGTGTAGAGGGAATTGGTGGAGGCGATTCTTCTTCGTCTTCTTTCCCTTCCCGTCAGTCCAGGAGGGGAGAATATCCCAGGGGAAGAGAAGCCAGGCCACGTGGGCACCAGGGGAAGGGCAGTGTGAGCCAGGAGAGACCGGTCGAGGCCGGGAGGACAGGGGCCGCTGACATGCGGACCTCCCAGACAGACCGCAGTCAAACTGCGCCCACCAAGCAGTGGGAGGGCCTCTTGGGAGCCTTTTGGCCACGGGCAGCCCTATCTATGGTGGCAAGTGACTGCGGCGTGCCTCCTCCGAGCACATGCCAACGTACAGCAGGGAGTTCCGCCCCGAGAGAGCTTACGACACTCAGACACAGGGCGTTAAAGGTCAAGGGCAGGAAGCGCTCAGCACAGCAGGTCCAGGGTTTGCTGGGGAGGTCACAGCATTGGCACAACCCTGCCCCGGAGGAGACCCTGCCCCCGTATTCAGCCAAGAGATCGCGCACCCAGTGTGGGCCGAGCCAGGGCCCAACCCAGACCGTGCCGATGGAGCTGTGGGGAGAAAACAGCTTCAGGAACAGGGCAGCCCGAGGCTCACCTCAACGCCAGGAAGTTCTGCCTGCACTCCAGGAGCCTGGCCATGGACTGTGCACAGCCGTCTGTCAGCTTGTTGTTGAATAAACTGCAAAGTTCGGAGACAGCGACATGGAGACCAGGCACAGCAAACAGCAACCACCCAGCCCAGGGCAGCCCCTTTTGCAGGCCAATGGAGACCAGGCACAGCGGACAGCGACCACCCAGCCCAGCGCAGCCCCTTCTGCAGGCCAATGGAGACCAGGCACAGCGGACAGCGACCACCCAGCCCAGGGCAGCCCCTTCTGCAGGCCAGTGGAGACCAGGCACAGCGGACAGCGACCACCCAGCCCAGGGCAGCCCCTTCTGCAGGCCAGGGGAGACCAGGGAACAGCGACCACCCAGCCCAAGGCAGCCCCTTCTGCAGGCCAGTGGAGACCAGGCACAGCAGACAGCGACCACCCAGCCGAGGGCAGCCCCTTCTGCAGGCCAGTGGAGACCAGGCACAGCGGACAGCGACCACCCGGCCCAGCACAGCCCCTTCTGCAGGCCAGTGGAGACCAGGCACAGCGGACAGCGACCACCCAGCCCAGCGCAGCCCCTTCTGCAGGCCAGTGGAGACCAGGCACAGCGGACAGCGACCACCCAGCCCAGGGCAGCCCCTTCTGCAGGCCAGTGGAGACCAGGCACAGCGGACAGCGACCACCCAGCCCAGGGCAGCCCCTTCTGCAGGCCAGTGGAGACCAGGCACAGCGGACAGCGACCACCCAGCCCAGGGCAGCCCCTTCTGCAGGCCAGTGGAGACCAGGCACAGCGGACAGCGACCACCCAGCCCAGGGCCGCCCCTTCTGCAGGCCAGGGGAGACCAGGCATAGCGGACAGCGACCACCCAGCCCAGGGCAGCCCCTTCTGCAGGCCAGTGGAGACCAGGCACAGCGGACAGCGACCACCCAGCCCAGGGCAGCCCCTTCTGCAGGCCAGTGGAGACCAGGCATAGCGGACAGCGACCACCCAGCCCAGCGCAGCCCCTTCTGCAGGCCAATGGAGACCAGGCATAGCGGACAGCGACCACCCAGCCCAGGGCAGCCCCTTCTGCAGGCCAATGGAGACCAGGCATAGCGGACAGCGACCACCCAGCCCAGCGCAGCCCCTTCTGCAGGCCAGTGGAGACCAGGCACAGCGGACAGCGACCACCCAGCCCAGGGCAGCCCCTTCTGCAGGCCAGGGGAGACCAGGCACAGCGGACAGCGACCACCCAGCCCAGCGCAGCCCCTTCTGCAGGCCAGGGGAGACCAGGCACAGCGGACAGCGACCACCCAGCCCAGGGCAGCCCCTTCTGCAGGCCAGGGGAGACCAGGCACAGCGGACAGCGACCACCCAGCCCAGGGCAGCCCCTTCTGCAGGCCAATGGAGACCAGGCATAGCGGACAGCGACCACCCAGCCCAGGGCAGCCCCTTCTGCAGGCCAGGGGAGACCAGGCACAGCGGACAGCGACCACCCAGCCCAGGGCAGCCCCTTCTGCAGGCCAGGGGAGACCAGGCACAGCGGACAGCGACCACCCAGCCCAGGGCAGCCCCTTCTGCAGGCCAGGGGAGACCAGGGAACAGCGACCACCCAGCCCAGGGCAGCCCCTTCTGCAGGCCAGGGGAGACCAGGCACAGCGGACAGCGACCACCCAGCCCAGCGCAGCCCCTTCTGCAGGCCAGGAGTCGCCCTGCACCCTCCGGCCATGCGAACACCTGCCGGCCCATTGCTGCCCCTGCTGCTGCCCGGGCACGAGGCCCCAGTGCGCATGGCCCAGCCGACTTACGCCAGCTTCTGCAGCGCCTCACAGTGAAGGGCGTGTTCCACCAGCTTGCAGATGCCTCGGTCGGAGATATTATTATCTCGCAGGCTACAAAACACCAGATAACAACTTGAAAACAGCTCATGGAGGGGGGGGATAACAAAAGACACTTTTACTCATTTCTAGAGTGCCAGCATCTGTGCTTCTGGGAAACGCTGCAAAAATGGAGCACCCCAGAAAAGCAGGGGACGGCTCAGGAAATGAGGACCCAGACCTCCTGCTAAAGAACACTGGACTCCTTGGAAATCACGGACGGGGCCTGAGGCACCCTTTCCCGCTCTGGGAAAGGAACATGGTCATCGGAAGAGCCTCCTAGCAGGTGTCAAGGTGGGACGGAGCTGGTACGTGGCGAAGGTTCGGAGAAATGAGATAGGCTGCCCGGGGGCGGTGGTGGTTCCCAGCTGGGGGAGCAGGTGGTAGACCAGTCAGATGAGAGAGGCCAATGCTTTGGAGAACCAGCATGCAGGCTGCAGTTCCTGAGGCCTTGCTGTCCAGCCCTTCACCCCAACAACATCACTCCTGCAGGCCTGACACCTCTCTCGGTTCAGTGTTTCCAAAGCTCACCTTGTCACAGATCTGAAAGCGTCCCTAAAATACAGACGTTCCGGCCCACACCTGGAGCTGCCAATCAGTGTGTGCAGGGTGGGCCCTGGGATCTGTGCCTTTCACACTGTGTGTGTGATTTGCGTCTTCAGAGCAACTCGGGAGGCTCTGAGTTACAGGGGACAGCTCAGGCTCTGGGATCCCTCGGTGGACGTTCGATGCTGAGCCACTGCTCACTAGCTACTTGCTAAAAGGGGAGCCCTGGTGAGGATTTCAAGAGACAGTGCACATAGCCCTGCCAGCCCCTGGCCCACGGTCAAAGCTACCTGAAATCGTGCTGGCCCGTGTGTGGGGAGCGTCCGACACGCTGGCTCTGTCCTAGCACTTCCTTCCATGAGGAAGGCAGAGAGGAAACTGAGGCACAGGCAGGTGAAGGACCTGCCACACTGCCGGCACCTCGAGGGCTTGGACCTGGGTCTCGGCCCCAGAGCCCGCTCTTCCCCGGGACACTGTGCAGCCTCGCTCTGCTCTGGGAGGGACAGCCAGGGTGCGCAGACTGCAGGTCACCCCCACGGGTGGGCCGTGGGACCCACCCCGAGGACACAGGCAGCATTGTCTACATGGAAAGGGGATGGGACAGAGCGAGCCGGAGCGTGTCCACCTTGACAGGGGAAGTCATTTTGTGAAGCTTTGTTTCAGCCTCTCTCTTTCTCACTGTGGGTCATGGTCAGAAAACCTGAAAGCCACCTCCTAGGGTCAGAGCCAGGGTCCAAAGGAACCCACATGGGGACACTTCGTGTACAGGTTTCCCGAAGCAGAGGGTTTCAGTTGGCATGGAAACACTTGAGGTGGAAAAGGCACATGGCACTGAGAGCACTCTCTCTCGGTCCCCCACCCCGTCTCTCTCCCGGTCCCCCACCCCGTCTCTCTCTCTCGGCCCCCCACCCCGTCTCTCTCCCGGTCCCCCACCCCGTCTCTCTCCCGGTCCCCCACCCCGTCTCTCTCTCTCTCGGTCCCCCACCCCGTCTCTCTCTCGGTCCCCCACCCCGTCTCTCTCTCTCGGTCCCCCACCCCAGTCTCTCTCTCGGTCCCCCACCCCGTCTTGGGGGCTCTCTCTCTCGGTCCCCCACCCCATCTCTCTCTCTGTCCCCCACCCCGTCTCTCTCTCGGTCCCCCACCCCATCTCTCTCTCGGTCCCCCACCCCGTCTCTCTCTCTCGGTCCCCCACCCCATCTCTCTCTCTGTCCCCCACCCCGTCTCTCTCTCTCGGTCCCCCACCCCGTCTCTCTCTCTCGGTCCCCCACCCTGTCTCTCTCTCTCTCTAGGTCCCCACCCCGTCTCTCTCAGACTCTCACACACACAGGAAACGCCCACGCGGCAACCCTGGGGCTGTCCCCTCCCCCACAGTGCTCGCAGTTTCCGTGCTGAGTTAAGGGTAAGGGCAGTGGGACGCGGCCCAGGCTGTCATTGCTAACAGAACATCAAGCTGGTTCCCACTGACCAGCAGTGTCCACGGTGTGGCCTCTGGACCACTTGTACCAGCATCACTAGGAATGTTTCTTTAAAACACTGATTCCTGGGCCCCCACCAGACCTGGAGAATGGGAACCACCGGGGCGGGCCCAGGAATCTGCAATGCCACCACCCCTGCCCTGAGAGTCTGCGCTGTAGGACGAGGACCAGACCAGCCTCAGCTTCCTCTGAGACCAGAGTCAGGCGCCAGCCTCCCCTCGGCCCTTCTGGGCTCCGCGGGGCCCGTGGGCTCTCCTCGCTGAGGGGATGGCTCTGTGAGGATCCCAGGCCCGTGGGGCCTGGCCTCCTGGGGCTCAGTGGCCCCTCTGAACACTGTGTGTCTATAACCCAGAAAAATGCATGTTCTTATTTCGATCAGGTAACAGCTGCCACGGGCTGGCCTAGAAATTCCTGAGTGGAAAGTCGAGATGGCCCCTACCTGGGGAGGTACGAGGATGACACCGGCCACTTCCATACACCCGGCCGTATCCTCCCGCCGCTCTCTGCCGGCTCTCGGGCCTGGGGGCCGACTCCCAGGGGCGACACCAGCAGGCCCCTGACCTGGCTCCCTTCGGGGTTCAGGCATGAGTGGGGAGTGAGGTCCAGGGTCCCAGGTCCCACCTGCCAGGCCGCTGCAACCTCAGTTCCTCTCAGGCAGCCCTCCCATCCCCCCTCCCGGGTAATAACTCCTCCTCCTCTGCCCCTCAGGCCTATGGGGATACCCCCCCCACCCCACCCACCCTCTCCACTGTCACTAGCCCCAGGGCCCTGCTCTCCCCAACACCTGCCCACGCCTTTGAACGCTCTCCCTTTATCACACTCTCCTCCAATCACCCAGGGTAGGGGTGTCACCCCTTTCCTCCTGATCTATTCATATGTCTGATATGTATTAATTACAGGTAATATACATATTAACTCCAGATGGCATCTGTGGCATCATTACATCCTGTTTGTAAACGTAGGCCCTGTCCCTACGGAGGGCTGAAGGTGGCGCTATCTCTGGCAGCTGTCTGCGTGCTCACCGCACAGAGGGTCTGGCTGCTGCGGCCCAGAGGTGTCACCCTCGTCCACCCCAGGACCACCTGCCCCTTGCTGAGGGTCAAGCACAGGTGCCTGGGAGGCCGTGAGGAGATGTGAACATTACGTTACAACTTCTGCTTCTTCGAGGTTATAAATAGGGAGGGGGACATCCTCTTTCAGGGCTGGAAGGGAAGTTGGGGCGCCTTCAGTGTGCTGGCCGCCAGACCGGGGCACACCCACTGCGCTTGCCCGGCCCAAGACAGGGAGAGAGGCCCAGGGTGCTGGGGCAGCGCCCTTCCAAAGGGGAGCCTTGCCCTTCGGATAGCGTGGAGGCGGCACGGGAGACCCCGAAACCTCGCCCGGACCCAGCACTACCTACGGGATAAAAGCTCAGGTGAAACCCCGCAGCCGCTTTGTCTGTCTGGGGTCCCGCAGCTCCCGACTTGTTGGGAGGTTCCATTTTCTGATGGGCACAAATCCCCTTGGATTGAGGAGGTTCCTAACGCAGACACACAGGACACAAAACTTCGGGTGACTCCAAGGTCGCCAGGGAGCCTCCAAAGCCAATCCACAGACGGGCTGCCTCCCGGCCCTGCCATGTCCTACGTGACCCTGGGCGTCACGTCACGTCTCTGAGCCTCAGGTCTAGGACAGTGGGGGAAGTGTCCCTGCGGAAGCCAGGGTGGCCGTGGAGATGACAAGAATGTGGGGCAGGGTGTGGCACAGTGCCCGTCACACAGGATGTCCTGTGAATCACGGCTGTCACCATCATGCAGCTAGACTACGACCCAGGCCAGGCAGCGACGAGACGCACCAGGGAGACCACTTTGTAACTTACGTACTTGTCTAACCGCTATGCCTTACCACTGAAACAAATATAAAAAATAAAACAAACGAAGGCCAAACTGGGGGAGGGCCGGGCCGGGGCTGCACAGGACAGGTGGCAGGCTGGGCTGGGCCGGAACTCCTGGACCCCAGCAGGGGTTCCTGCAACTGCACCAGGAGGCTGGCAGCCCCGCCGCGCCCCGCAGCATCGCCGGCAACACTCACTAAAGAGCCTTGCAGACACGCAGGCAAGGCAGCAGCTGCTCCACACCGATGTCGCCCACGGAGTTGTGGTCCAGCTGCAAGGCCACGGGCCGCCGGAGATGTCGAAGCACGAAGGCCAGGGCGGCACACTCGGCAGGGCCCACGCTGCAGAAGGTCAGCTTGAGGTGCCCGACCTTGAGCCCGCGCACGGCCTCCCGCGCCAGCCGCTCCTCCCGCATCTCGTGCAGGCTCCGGATGAGCCAGACGAACCCCGGCATGGCGTGCATGCTTTTGGCCTCACCCGGCAGGGCTGGGGGGATGGAGTGGAAATGCCTCTGGAGGCTGCGGGCCAGACAGCAGCGGGCGCGGGCCTGGCGCCGCAGCAGGGCCTTCTCAGACGCCTGGCACTCGAGCAGCAGGCCCCGGTGCTCCCGGGACAGCAGCCCTGCCAGGAAGGCTGCCGTGATCTGCAGGTTGTGCGGCTCAGCCTCCTGCAGCAACGCCTCCAGGCTGCCCTCCTGGCACCGCAAGCCCGGCACGCACAGCGTGGGCAGCAGCCTGGCCAGCGGCGAGCTCCCTGTCCGCCGACAACTGAAGAGGTGCCTGAGCGAGGATGATGTCACCTCGGCGCTGAGTGCCAGGTATAAGGCAGCAAAAAAGCACTGGAAAGTGATGTGCAGGAATTCCAGGGGGGGCGTGCTCCCAGGCGCGGCCCTTTTGGCACGCACCAGGAAGCCTAGAGAAATGTCCTCCTCGTCGACGTGGGCTGCCTGGAGCTGCTTGGTGGAGAACACGTAGCAGCTCGTGCCCAGGCCCCAGAGAGCGAGGTGGCCGAGGTGCAGGAGGGTGGGGAGCCTGCCTCCCAGCAGGCTGGGTCCCGGGGCGTGGGGGGCTGAGTCTGGCCGGGAGGCACGCAGCAGGAAGTGCTGCAGGATCAGCAGGTACATGTCTGTGGTGGTCTTTGGGGGGCCCCCGCCCTGCAGCAACAGCTCCTGGTGGCATTTGGACACCATCCACGCGAAGACGGGGAGGTGGCACAGGCCGTGCAGGGCCGAGGTGGCCTTGAGCAGGCCGACGAGGCGGTCGGCCACGCCCGGCTCCCGGTGGCACTTGCGCAGGTAGCGCTCAATGCCGTCCTCCGAGAAGCCCCTGAGGTGCAGCTCGGAGCGCACGCACCGCCGGAGCAAGGCCGACACCGCGTCTGGGCGGCTGGTCAGCACCTTGCGGGCGTTCTTGAGCAGGTTGCCCTGCAGAAGGTTGAAGAGCAGGTTCTGGAGCGACGTGGGGTCGGTCGGAGAGCAGTGCCGCTCGCGCTCCGTGAACCTGAACCTGAACTCGTCGAAGCCGTCGAAGGTCAGGAGGACGCGGTCCGGGTGCTCGAGGAGGAACTGGAAGACCTCCTGCCGGCCGCGGTCAGGCCAGCAGCAGAGCTCAAAGAGCAGCGCCCGCACGGACAGGGGCCTGGCCACGCACTGCAGCTGCCGGCAGCTGAACGGGAAGACGAAGAGGAACTCCTGGAAGCCCCGGCCCGCAGCCCACAGCAGGTGCAGCTGCTGCAGGAGCGTGCTCTTGCCGCTGCCCGCCTCGCCCACCACCAGCACGGTGTCCGCGTCCTCGTTGTGGCCGCGGGCACTGAAGAGCTCCTCCAGGCCCAGGGTGGCAGGGCCTGGCTTCGAGGGCTCCGCCGTGCCCAGCTCCGTGCGGATCTCCAGAACATTCTCCGTGTACACGTCCTCCAGGCAAAGATTCTCTGCCCCGTCGTAGGTGCTCAGGAAGCGAGACTGAGCAGAGACCGTGGTCCTCAGCTTGGACATGTACTTCCTACACGCGGCGTCTGGAAGAAGGGGAAAGGCAAACGAGGTGGCACCGAGCGGAGAGAGGGCTGCGCTGAGACGTTCCAGCGGCGCGGGACAGTCAGCGGCTCTCACCCCCACGCCGTGGGCTTAGGACGGCCACGGAACCTTCCTCCCCCTCAGCCTCCTCCCGCGAGTCAAGTAAGATAAGTCATGTCAAGGGCTTCACTCAACGCCTGACACAAAAGAAGTGCTCAGAAGACCCCGCGTTCTCACTCTGGACGACATCAGGACGGTCTGCAGATGGGAAGGAGCCCGGGGAAGTCAGAAGACCTGCGTCCTGTGGCCCACGCGGCCTTGGGAAGTCCCTTCCCACTCAGCTTCAGCTGAATCTTTCTAGAGGGAAGCGCAAGACGCAAGGGCTGAGGAGCCCGCTTTCAAAGTCGGACTCGCCTGAGCCGGAAACCTCGAAACCTGGGGCCCCCATCCGCTGGGGCGCGCCCCTTTTCTGGCCCCTGCAGTCTCATCTGTAAAAATGGGGACAGTCCACCTCTTGAAAGATGGTTTCAGGAGGACACAAGATAAAAGAGAGTCTGGAAGAACACCTGCCACAAGGTAAACGTTCAGAAAAACAGCTTAGCACCATTGTTATTAGTGGACGTGGTAGGCACAGCCATGGCCTCACCAGAGATGGACACGCCCGAGTGCTCAGAACCTGGGACTACGTCACCTCACCTGAGAACGGGACCAGGCAGGTATGACTGAGACCTCAAGATGGGGAGACTGCCCTGGACTGTCGGGTGGGCCTAGCCCTCAGGCCACTGGGAGCCCGGGCCAAGCACTTGGACGAGATTTCCTGATCAAGCCCCTTCTGCATCCTCTGCACCCATCCTGCAGCCCCCTGTGTAGGTGCTGCTTCCCCTTATCATCCTAATACCTGAGCAAACCACCTCCTGGCCAGGGGATGGTCCCCTTTCAGGAAATGGGGAAGTGGTGGGACCTCAGAGCGTGGTTCACCCCATCACAGCCTCATTGTCCCCAACCAAGCTCTGGCCCCTTTGCTCTCAACCCAAAGGCTCACAGCACGCTCTCAGCACACAGAACTGGATTCAGTCGCACAGAGGAGATGCTCTGTGCCCGTTTCCTCTCTGTTCCCAGATGACCGAGGCCCTCAGTGCCCTCCGGATACACCAGGAGCAGTGAACAGAGTCCACAGAATATATTTGTTCCTTGTACCCTGACGTCCAATGCAAGTTTTCCATCCATTACCAATGACTGCAAAATTCTCCAGGAAAAACAAAACAAACAAAAACACCTCTCAATTTACAAACGTCAGTGGTCACCTTTAGGGTCGTCACCTCGGGGGCTCTCACCCCGCGATGCGGTGTTACAACTTGGCAAGAACAGCAAACGTTAGCCGGGGGCTCAGCGGGCATGGCTCGTGCCGTGCACCCACAGCTGTGCTCTGTTCCCGGGTGAGAGGGGTCACACCAGGTGCAAGCAGAGCCTTCCAGCGTCCCTCCCACAGGCATGCTCGCCGCTCAGAGGGCAGGGCCCAGGGTGACAAATCCATGTGCAAGCACCACGCAGAGACCGGAGCTCTCCGTGCCAATGACCTTCCCCATGGTGACGCGGGAACAAGACTCAGGGTACCGGGCTTTCTTCTTCTCTTTACATTTGACAATCTCTTCTCCCAAGAAAGAAGAAAGTGTGGGCGGAGACCGTCTAAAACCAGACCCAGCCTCCCCTGCCTCCTCACTGGACCTCCTGCCCCAGTGTTCACGTGTGGAAAGCAGAGAAAACAACACCTACTTCTCAGGGACGGAGATTGTAAGCAAAGCACTGGGCAGGATGCCTGGACGGGTCAGTGACCCTGTGCAGCGAGAGATAGCGCGTTATCTCCATCCATGTGGTTCTTGGGTTTCTGATACTGAGTAGCTGAATGACAGGGGTCAAGAGATTCCAGCCCTTTGTAAGGCATAGAAATGTCTAATCACTATGTTGTACACCTGAAACTCATATAATATTGTCTGTCAACTGTAATTGAAAAATAGATTTAAAAATAAAAGGGAGCCCTGGCCGGTTTGGCTCAGCGGTTACAACATTGGCCCGCAGACCAGAGAGTCCCGGGTTCGGTTCCCACTAAGGGCACGTACCTCGGTTGCAGATTGTCCCCGGCCCTGGTTGGGGTTGTGTGGGTGGCAGCCAGTCGATGTGTCTCTCAGATAGATGCTGCTCTCTCTCTCTCCCCCCTCCCCCTCCTGCTCTATCTGAAGATAAATGCAAAAATGTCCTCAGGTGAGGATAATAAATAAATAAATAAAAATAAAAGGGAGACCAGCCCTATTTCAAAGTGTGTCCATCCCCTTTGGGTACACATGAGGAGAGTTTTGCTGGCCAGGAGCACCTGTGGTCAGCCCTCAGTACACCGGAGCTCCGCTGCACGTTCTGGAAATAATAAGAGCTGACCTGAGTATTATTCCACACCTCGATCCTGGGAATCCTCCCAACAGCCCAACGACACGGTGGCGGTGCTGTCCTCAACATGAGGACACTGAGCCTTAGGGAGGCGTGTGCAGCTCACAGGTGGGGTTCCAACTGGCTGTCTCCGTCTGGAGTTTTTGCTCTTAACCATGAACCTGCACAGCCTTTCTCTCCTTTTCTGAGGGACTAAGAAGAACATGTATCTACCTTCAAAGGACGGGGCCGGCAGGACGGGCAGGTCCTGGGCGTGCCGCAGAAGGAAGGCAGCCAGCCCGTTGGTCTTCACCATGGCCAGATCGAGGAGCCTTCTCGCCTACGGGGAAAGGCAGAAGCATTATTGTTCCCGAAAGGCTGGTGGAGACGTGTGGGAAGGTGTCTACTGGTTGCTCTGACTTCGTAGGCACCTCTCGTCCAGCACAGTCAACGGCCAGAAAAACCACCGAATGGCAACGTGAGGGTGAAGAAGCCCACGGAGTACTGGGCGGTGAAGTGAGCACTTCGGCATAAACACATCGACCCTGGTTTCCCCTTGGAGCCCCTAACAGAGTGAATGACTTCGACACCCAGCCCAGACTCACACTGGCACGGCCAGGTCCTCCAGCTGCAGTGACCACGACCTTGCCGAGGACTTCCCAGGCGGGGCCCTTACACCTCTCAGGGAAGGCAGAGCCAGACCACGTCCCTGAGCGTCCCCGCTCCTAGGGGCCTTCACCCAGGACGGGAAGACAGAGCGGCCCTCTCCTGCCACAGCTGTTTGTGCTGGCTACTCCGCTTTGCCAAACCAGCAACACATGGCCACTGAGGAAGGCCACCTGGGGGATGGGAACCTGCATGTCTATACCATAACACGAAAGTACGCTCTTCGCTGTAGGCATGGCATCTTCCAGTTTTAAAATCGGTCAGGCTGAGCCCTGGCCGGTTTGGCTCAGTGGTTAGAATGTCGGCCCACGGACGAGAGAGTCCTGGGTTCGGTTCCCACTGAGGGCACGTCCTTCGGTTGCAGTTTGTCCCCAGCCCCGGTTGGGGTTGTGCGGGTGGTAACCACTCAATGTGTCTCTTTCACATCAGTGTTTCTCTCTCTCTCTTCCTCCCTCTCTCACTCCTGCTCTATCTGAAGATGAATGCAAAAATGTCCTCGGGTGAGGAAATAGATAGATATAGATAGATAGATAGATAGATAGATAGATAGACAAATAAATAAACAAATAAATAAATAAATTTTAAAAATCGTTCAGGTTGAGACAATGGAGGAGACAAGCCATCAGCCTGACACCGGCCCCACCCACTGGAGCAGGTGCAGGAGTCAGATGGACAGCTGGGATTGCAGCTGGTGTTCCAGCCCCAGGTCTGCTAAGAACTGTTAGGCCCGCCGAGCAAGTTTACTGCACGAAACTTAGCCACGCTACCCCCTTGGAAGGCAGAGCTTGGCCTAAACGAGATAATGGGTGAAAAGAGCTGAGCACAGAGCCTGGCACACAGTAGGCACTCACTCAGCAGAGAGCAGTGGGTATGTTAGGGATTTAGCTCTTTCACTTGCATTGTGTTCCACTCACAGCATTTTTCAAGCTGCAGTGACAACCCCTTTTTACAGGAAGTTACAAGGTCAATTTATGAGAGTATACAAAGTAGTCCTAAATTTGGGGGATATGTTTATTGGACATATGACAAGGGTCACCCAGACTGAATCAGAAATTCAGCCACTAAGGGAAGACTACCAAGTTACAGAATCCAAGCCAGAGCTCAAAGGAGACTCACAGAGAGCTAGATTCTGTAACTTAACCCTCAGACAGCCCGGGCCCTTTGTAAAGTGCTACAATTTTCCAACCTCTTGTCTGTCATCCTCAGTTCAGTCCCAGCCCTCGATGTGTTTGCTATCTCCCTAGTCCTTTCTCTTTTCTTTTCTTAAATATGTTTTTATTGATTTTTTTAGGGGGAGAGAGAAATATTGATGTGAAAGAGAAACATTGATCGGCTACCTCCTGCACGCCCCCTACTGGGGATCAAGGCTGCAACCCAGGCATGTGCCCTGAGCGGGAATCGAACCAGGACCTCTTAGACCATGGGACGGCGCTCAATCCACTGAGCCACACCGGCTGGGCATCCCTAGTCCTTTCTTAAGATGGATTCTTGGCTCATTAAAATACAACCTTTCTTCTTTCCCAAAAGAAGCATTTAAGGTTATAAATTTCCCTCAGTGTTCTGCTTTAGCTGTATCCCATACATTTCTACAAATCACATTCTCATTATTGTCTGGCTCTGATTTCCATTATGATTTCTCATTTGACTCATGAGTTATCCTATTTTCTTTTCTTCAGTCAATCCAAATATTTCTTTTATTTATGCCCTAATTTCCTTTGGGCCCTTGGGTTCTAGGCTGCCTTCCAGTATCCAGACCAGGCCACACTGCTGAACACTTGATCAAAGCTGACATGACACAAGCCTGTAACTTCCCACAAGGGCTATTTTGATCCCCCCAACAGATCACATAAGACACCAAAGTAGGTACAATAACTAACATGTCTTCTGTAATCCCCACAAGGCCAGGCTCAAGGAGATGATGTTCAGGGTACAATTATAGGTTTCATGTGCGCTAGTAAGAGGGGACCACACCATGTGTGCTCTGTAAATACTTGGCCACCCTGAGCCTTAAAACAGCTTTAAAACAGCCTTAAAGACAGACTGACTTATTCCATCAGTCTCGACGTAGGCTTACCTAAATTCAAAGTAAACCAAATACTTTTTAAAAAATAGACAAAAATAAAAACCAGCAGGTCTCCCTTCCCAGCCCATCCTGATACTGTAATGTAATTCCAATTCAGTCATTCCGTAATCTGTCTCTCATCAACAATATTTACTGAGAACCTACTATGTGCAATGCACTCTGAGCACAATGAGCTTTCAGACAGAGCCCGGCACGTAGCAGGCACCTGAACAGATTCGGGCGGAATCAGTGAGTGAACGAGTCAAGGCCTACGTCCAGCACTGCCCTTGCTAACATCCATGAGCTTCCTCAAGCCACTGTTCTGGGCCCCAATTCCCCGCTCTATATAGCAGGGTGCTAATGACTCCCAGGAGGCCCGAGGGTCACTGGTCGGGGAAAAAACAAAGAGTTTCAAAAATACCCGGCAGACACTTCGTGTTCTTGTGGAGTGGCATTTCAGAGGCGGCTACGGCCACACTCTGAGTGCCCGTGACCTAACACAATTTCACGTCAGAAATCCCACGTGGGCATTTAAACTATATTAGTATATAGTGTGCTTGCACTAATTTTAAACACAGATATGACTTAACGAATCTTTATGATCTGCTGAGCTGCTCATTAAAAACAGACCATGGAAGCCCTGGCCAGTTTGGCTCAGCAGTTAGAGTGTCGGCCTGCGGTCTGGAGAGACCCGGGTTCGGTTCCCGCTAAGGGCACGTACTTCGGTTGCAGTTTGTCCCCGGCCCTGGTTGGTCGTGCGGGTGGCAGCCACTCGATGTGTCCCTTTCATGTCGATGTTTCTCTCTCTCTCTCCCTTCCTCTCTCTCCCACCCACTCTACCTGTACAAAAAAATGGAAAAATATCCTCGGGTGAGGAAAAATAAAAAAACAAAACAAAACAAAAATAAAAACAGACCACGGAAGTGCACAGCATGAAATGTCGTAACAGAGTTGACAGCCGCCAGTGGCAGTGTTCGCGAGCGCTTCCTCTGGGCTGGACGCGGCCCTAAGTGTTCCACGGATCAGCTCACAGAACTCTCCCAGGGGCCGACTTCGGCCGCGCCAACCAGGAGGCTGAGGCGGGAGACGGGCCGGGGGTTCTGGAGAGGCCTGCAGTCGTGCCGGGGAGCCCAGAACGCGCCCCGGCTCCAGCATCCGAGCCCTCGGCCACCACACACCCCTTCTCCTCGGCAGTGGGGTGATACCCACTTGGTTACCTTTCTAGGGGAAATCCACGGCCCACGTCTCACCATAGAACTGACTCCACAAAGACAAATGAGCCTTGGTGACCGAACAGCCAGCCCCCTTCCCCATGAATCTGATTACCCAGCGGAAGGGCCTTACCCGCTGGGATGACGTGAAGACGGGCAGCCTGATTTCGTCACATTCGTAGGGGCTGATGAAACCCTGCCCCTGCGCCAGATCCAGCACGCCCTCCACGCGGCCGTAGAGTCTCCTGACGATGGCCGGCCGGTGACGCTGCAGGTCCCGCGCCGGCTGGGCTGAGTCGGGGTCCCAGAGGCCGCCCGGTGCAGGGGACTGGCTCTCCGCCCGCACCGCCTGCACGGCCGCGAGGAGCTGTTCGCAGCCCCACGCACCTTTACTCCACACGGTGTCCAGGAGGCGCCTGGCCGAGTGGGAGAGGGGCTGGCCCAGGAGGCTGAGGCCCTCGTATTCCTCCCAAGACAGGACTTCCCAGGACAGTAGCCAGTCCAGGACGCTCTCAAAGCCCTCCAGGGATCCCGAGACCAGCAGCCCCACCAGCTGGCTCCGCTGTGCCTGGAAGGTGTCCTGCGCACACATCTCACAACCTGGGGTGGGGGGGGGGAGCAGGTCAGCATGACTTCTTTGGATGCAGGCAGGCGGGGGGGCGGGGGCAGCAGAGGGGCCAGTCGGTCCACGCTGAGCCCAAGCCCTCAGACAGTCCCCAATCCCAGTTCCCCATTGTACAGATGTGCACACTGAGGCCCAGAGAAGGCAAGAAACTGGCTGAAGGCCCCACAGAGAGCCTGAAGAGGCAGGAGTGCAGTCTGGACCCCTGGCTCCCACATCCATGCTCCCTCCCTGGCTTAGGAAGTTTAAAACCGTTTGAGCCAGTACTAAGAGCACCCAAGGGATCGATCAGGAGACGAATCCTCTCTGGGGGGTTCCGGCCACGGCCACTCTCTTCACTCGTGGCCAGTATTCCTGAAGCATCTGCACTGTCCCAGGCACTAGCTGAGCAGTTTCCCATGGGAATGCTTCACCCCTCCCACTCACTCTGAAGTAGATGCTAGATTAGCCCCATTTTACAGATGAGAAAACTAAGGCACAGAGAGGCTAGGTGACCTGTACAAGGGTTCACAGGCAGATGGAGTGGGTTTGAACCCAAGCAGTTCATCTCTGGAAGCACGCCTTTAATTGCCTTATATTTGGGTTCCCCACAGGGGCCCCGCGCCCATACCTGTATAGGTAAACCTCTGCTCCCCCAAGAGGCAGAACCAGAACACTGCTATAGGGCCCAAACCACGCAAAGCAAAAATCGTGGTACAAACTAGTGTCAACGCTCATAGGTGCACTGACCCTAGTCATCACTGTCCCGTTCCCAGCTGGCCCAGTCCCTCACCTCCGTCACCACCAGACATCGCATGCTGTCGCCCTGTCCACGGCTTGCTCCGGGCTCCGCCCTCAGCCTCTGGTCCTGGGAATCGAGAGGAAGCGATGTCTCAGAGATCCACGCGCCAGAAAGGTCCCCAAGCCGCAGAGAGACTCCCCGTGCAGAGTCCGTTCTGCGGCTGTCACTGGGTCTGGGGGACACGAGCTGGTGAAAATGAAAGTGGCAGGGCAAAGGGGAGGGACTTCCCCAGACACTCAGGGCAGCAGCCAGCAGGAGCTGGGTGACTCCATCTTCCCTATTGGTTGTTTATGTGCCTCACCCCCTTCTGGGCCAGAGCTGCAGCCTGGGGCTTACTGTCCCTGGCATGCCAAGCTGGGAACAGGGCGGGCCCTGGAGAGGCACAGTGGGAATAATTGTGAGTAAAAATCTACCGACGGAGGGGACGAGCCAGAACACCTGAGCCTGTCGTCACATGCCTGCCACGGTAAGGGGAAGGAGAACTCTCCAACCAGGAGCCTCGTGCTGGCCCGACGAGGACGCTGAGGCAGCAAGGTGCCTGTGTGTCTGGGAGCTCGGAAAGCTGGCATCCCCCGTGCAGTGAGCCAGGACCGAAAACTGTTCTCGCTGGCCAGGCAGAGATGTCAGGAGGGGCGAGGTGGGGAGAGGGGCGGAGAACAGGAAGGGGTAGGAAGAGTGCTGGGCTTGGCCTGGAGTGGTGCTCAGCTATGGAAACACCAGCCCCCCAGCACCCGCGCCCAAGTCCTGGGAACGGGAACCACCCACCCTCCCTCGGGGAGCAGCCCAGCATGGGGTTGGAGAGCACCGGAGGGCATGTGGGCAGCCAGGAGTTGACAAAGTTTAAAACATGACACAAGACAGTGCCAGCTCCACTCACCAGGATGGACAGCTGCTCCCTCCTTGGCGTCTGGGGAGCCTGGACCACCGTCTCCCTTATCAAAGTTCACCAGGCTTGGAGAGCAGACGTGGCCGCCCTCTCAGGCAGGCCCTGAGCGGGAAAGGCCGGGTGACACGGGGCCAGCAAGCCTACATCTGCAGGGCACCCAAGAGGATGGGCCGGAAGCCAGTCAGTTGTGTAGAACTAGGTAATGCTGGGCACTCTGGCGGAAAGCCTTGTGCATTCACCATGACCCACACGGAGACACCCACGGGGCCCGGAGACGTGCCCACAGATGGACTCAGTCACCAGGGGACGAGTAAGCAGGGCTTCCTGAACACACCTCGTCTGGGACAGTTGACAGATGTTCCAGCCACACACACCCAACTAGCAATGGCAGGGCTCTGTGGACACCAGGGTGGAGAGGCAGGGCAAAGCCATACCATTTGGCACCGTGTCCTCCTACCGGCAGCTGGAAAGTCCCATCTCTGCCCCGGCCCTATTCCAGAAACCTCAGAGCAGGGAGATTCCCAAAGGACCAATTTGGCCAGCACCCTGTCTTTCAAGCAGGCATTGCCCTTTTTCATCTTAAACATCTAGGAAGGAGGACCTGGCCTTGTTACTGTCCTCACAAAGAAGCTCAGGAAGTTCTTCATTATGTCTAGCTTAAGTTTCTCCTGCTCCACTTTAAATTGGGAGAGAAAAAAACAGATGTCCACTCATCACCTATTTAATAAAAGACTGTCCCTAAAATCCTGCCTCTTGCCCTTTTATCACCTGCTCAGACTTCCCTTCCTCAGACTAAATACACCTGTCTGTCATCGCCTTTTCTTCTCACTTCAGTTTCTACAACGGTGGAGTCATCGTAGTCGTTCCTCAAGGAAGATGAGGCCCATCCATCCAGAGAAAATGGCCCTTCCTTGCTGACACAGGGCCAAGGGGAAGGGGTAACCCACTCAGACCCTCCCTAATCCCAAACCCAAGCCCGGATCCTGGTGCTTCCTTCTTTCCTGACCACAGCCAGCCTGGGTCTTTGGGGCCCTGACAGCTATTTTGCTTTGGTGATGAACTCTCAGCTGCTGGGTCCCTGCAGACAGGAGGGGGAGGAAGGCCCAGCTTCTGAGCTGTCCGGGACCTGAGCTGGGGCTAACCCTCCCCTGGGCACTGGTCCATCCTCCCTTCTGGCCCCTTCACCAGCTTCTGTCTAGGAGAGCAGCAGCCCTCTCCACACCCTCTTCCCTTCTGCTCCAATCCCACTGACCCTTCACAGCCGGTCTCCTTGTCTGTTGTCTGGACCGCTGTCCCCAACTCCAGCCTTTCCATCCGGGTCTCCCCTACTCCCCAACTGCTTTGTCATGGTGACCAGTGACCTCAGCGAGCCCCGCACTGCTTGACTCTCAGCCCTCATCTTGCTCTGCCAAAGGCCTCTGTCCTCATGGCTCCTCAGAGCACCTTCCTCAATGCCTGCAGGACACCCCAACCCTTGCATCTTCCCCTCATCTCGCCGGAGGCTCTTTCTGCCTCCTTGGCTGGTTCCTGCGCTGGGAGCCCAGCCCTCTCTGGTTGGACCTCTTTTCTCCGCGTCACCCTCTCCCTAAGTGAACTCACATGCTCTCACCGCTGGAAATGCCAGTGATAGGGTGATACCGTCCAAAGTGTTCTTTCCAGGCCCAGCCTCCCCACTAACCTTCCCCAACGGCCTGTGGACATCCTCATGTGGGTGCCTGTGGGCGTCTCAGACTCAGCAGGCACCAGGCCGAACTCCAGCTCGTCCCTCTAAACAGCAACATCTCAGTCAACAGCAACTCCAACTTCCAAATGCACAGGCCGAGACACCCCAAGTCATCCTGGCTCCCCCTTTTCTCACATCTCAAGTCCTACCCACCCTGCCTTCAAAACAGATCCCAAAGATGAGCCAGAGGGCCAGCTGTGAGGTGCCCTCCCCCGGGAGACTTGGGGGGCCTTTTCGTTTGCTGGAAAGCAAGTAGGATCTGATAGCTGCTCCCCAAACGGGGCAGATCCTGGAGCGGCCCCTCTGGCAGGGAAGGGGGGCGGAGACTCCCAAAAGAGTTGCCAGGCCTCAGGAAGGGTTAGAGATCATACAGGCACTCTCTCATTTGCACCCACACTTTCACAGGGGTGCAGGAAAAGATGGGGACACTGAGGCTCTCTGCTGAGACCTGAAGCCTGGCCTCCTTCTTCCGGGGCCAGCCTGTACCAGGACTTCCCAGCCTGCTGGTGCTCCATCCACAGGCCCCGCCCCCAAATCACCGCCCCTCTCTACACCTCCAAGTTTCATGGGGGCCCCGAGTTCTAAGAGCTCCAAGCCTCGTCTTCTGTAGCTGCAGCCGCGGGACTCCCCAGCCTCCAGACGTCACCTTTCCACTTACCTACCTTCCATTTAGATCCCAGGACCCCCCGGGGGAAACTGAGGCAGCCCTTCCCAAGCTCAGCGGGGACCAGGAGGGCTCCGAAGCCAAGTGTCTCCCGGGGCGGACCCTCGGCGCCCGCCCTCTCGGCGCTGGCTCTGGGGCGCCGATCCTGCCCGCGCCCTTGGGGTCACGTCTCCCGGATCCCGTGGCTCCTGCGCTCCATAGCCCCCGCCCCCCACCCCCACCCGGGCTCGGCCCCACCCACCTGTCTGCGTCTGCGGCCACGCCCTTCCCGTCCCGGAGCCCCCGCCCTGCGCCCCCGCTGCCCCGCCTTCCCTGCTCTGTGACACTGGCTGGAGGGGCCTCCCTGGCTGCAGGACCCGAGCCACGTGTATCCCTCTTTCTGGGTCACCTTTCAACTGGAGGGAACCAGAGAGTCTCCCAGGACACGTCCCCCTCCCGCCTCTCTCTCTCTCTCTCTCTCTCTCTCTCTCTCTCTCTCACACACACACACACACACACACACACACCCCCCACGTCCTATGAAACGAGAAGCCAGGAAAGCTGTTGGAGTCAGAATGCAACGCACCTTTGGTGAAGCCCGAGAGCAGCGTTTTCTGGAGCGTGATGGGTGACATGTCAGACTCGTCCTCTTTTTTTCATTTTTCTTCCGAAGCCCGTCCGAGCTGAGGCAAGCTCTCCATTTGGCACGAACAGGGCTCGCCCTCCTCGCCAGCCCTGCCAGTGATCCCTCACTGTTCCGAGCCAGAGACGCTGTTTTCTACTCGGGCCGTAATATCAAGGCTCCTTTCAGAACACGTGTACTTGGAGATGTTTTAATGTAAAGTCAATTTAAAGAAAAAGAACTGACATTTACATAGTTCTTACTGCGGGCCAAGCTTCACACACACACACGAACTCAGTTCATCCCTTCTCCAGGGGACTGATTATCATTATCCTAATTTATAGATGAAGAAACCAAGCACAGAAAAATTAACTAACCTACCCAAGTAGTGACAGCAAGAGCTGAGATTCGTCCCCAGGTCCTGGCGCCAAAGTTCTGGCTCAAACCACCACCCCACACTGCCTCCAGGTAAATACCTGCACAGGTAGTGCCAGCAGGTTGGGGCTGCGTTAGGAGGACTGAAACTACCCCAGGGAAATCGTTCCAAATGGTTACAGATCTACCTACAGCCGTGCTCACACCATCTCCTCTGCAACCGTGAAAAGCTGGGAGCCTCCAAAACGCCCAGTAATACGAGATAACTTAGGAAAACCGAGAGCCACCGGAAAACTTAGTTGAGTCATCTCTCAAACCCCACAGCCAACCTGGGAGAAAGCTGTCCAGCTTGACCTTTAAAATACAGCCAGCATGCAGCCCCTCCTTATTAGCACCATTAGCCCCTGGGTCCCAACTGCCAGCATCTCTCACCTGGGTGACAGCTAGTGGTCCTAGCCACTGGCCGTGCCTCCACCAGCAGCCATTATGAGTCTGTTGTGTGTGTGTGTGTTTTTTAAGTCAAGTTATGTGTCACTTCTCTGCTGAAACCCCTCCAGTGACCCCCATTTTCGAGTGAAAACCAAGGAAGGGCTCTAGGATTGCTATTTGCACCACTTGCTCTCTCCGAACCCCCTCCTCTGCTTCATTCTCTCTGCACCAGCCATGCCAACCTCCTGCTGCTCCTGGGACATGGCGGGCCTGCCACCACCTCTGGGACTTTGCATTTGCTGTTCTCCCTGCCTGGAATGCTCTTCCTCTAGACAGCTCCATGGCTCCCTCTTTTCCTGTTTATTTTGTGTTGTTCTCCATAGCACTTATCTGCACGCAACACACTACATATTTTCTCATTTGTTGTCTTTGCTGTCAGTCTCTCACCCAAAATAACATGCTATCCTTTCGAGTTAGTGTTTTCATTTTCTTTGAATAAATACCTAGGAGTGGAACGGCTGTATCGCATGGTAGAAGAACCTTTGAGATTTTAAAAAGGCTTACATGTATGCGCCCAGCTGGGAGAAATAAAATTGACGTGACCGGATTTTGTGTCACCTACAAACATCTCGCCGGTCTGGATTTTCTTTGCCAGATCTATGGAGGCACACCTGTCAGTGATCAACCCTTGTTGAATTTATTTAAAAAAAAGCTGTGGCCCTGGCCAGGTTGGCTTAAAAATTAGAGCACGGGCCTGCGGACCAAATAGTCTCGGGTTCGATTCCCTATGAAGGGCACGTACCTCGATTGCGGGTTAGATCCCCAGCCTTGGTTGGGGTCATGCAGGAGGCCACCAATTGATGATTCTCTCTTTCTCTCCCCCACCCCCCATCTGAAAAAGTAATGGAAAAATATCCTCGGGTGAGGATCAAAAACAAAGTGTGTCAGTGTTGGGGTCCCAAGCCTGTTGGACAGCCGGGCGGTGGTGAGCTGCAGTGTACGGATGCAGTTACTTGCCCAATCGAGCAAGGAGGATCCTTCATTTCAGCTCATGTTGCAATTACGGAAACTGAAAGCGGAGGGGCCGTGGCTGCCCAGGGCACATGGTGAGTCAGGGCTGAGCTGGAGCCACAGCCCGATCACCACCCTCTGCATCACCCCTCACTCACTCATGGGTTCATTTCCATCGCAAGTACTGAGCTGCCATGGCACTGTGGCAGGCACTGCTGTAGGGACAGACTGCTGACACGGAGTCCCTGCCATCATGGTGTTCGAGACCAGCTCTAAATAAATAAGCAAAACAATGATAGGTCTCAACAGAGAGGGTCAGGGAAGAGTACACAAGGGAGAGACAACCCACCGCAACCTGAAAATGAGAGCTAATCATGGAGGAACCCAGAGAGGGGCACTGCGGGCTGAAGGAAGCCCAGGGGCAAAGGCAGGGGAGCAGGAAGCAGCTCGGGACACGGCTGTGTGCAAGTGATGCTCCGAGATGTCCAAACGAAGTTGGGAGGGGAGCCAGCCCTGGTGGGGTCTGGATTTACTCCCAATGCAATGAGACGCCACCGAAGGGCCCAGGCGGTTTGGATTCTAGAAGAGTTTGGATTCTGTAAGAGACCCCTGGACTCTGAGATGCCAGCATTTCCTTTCCTGATGCCCTAGGACCCCTCCAGGCCCCCTTCTCTCACCATCTGGCTCCCGTGTGACAGTGGGCGGGGCCACCCACACCTGTGTCCCCGCCATGACAGCGGGGCCTTGCCTGACGTGCAGACACGCAGAGCTCCTCAACCACAACGAGCTCTGTGCTGCAGAGGAAAGTCAGCTCCTGGCTGGTCACTCTGGCCCCTCTAGGTTCTTCCTGCTCAGGCCAGAAGCCCCTGTGTGTCCGGGGGTTTCCAGAGAGCATCTCCTACCCCAGAAGAGGAAGCAGTGTCTTCTACACACTCTGCCCTGGCATGTGCAGATGCCAGGCCCAGGCAGAGGGTGGGGGAGAAAACTGGAAACTGCAGGACAGGAGGGCAGAGGGAGCTCAGCCTCACTGTACGCAGAGCCCACGTCACCCGGCCACAGCAGGCCACCTGCGGGCAGCACAAGGCAAAGATGAATGAGGTATGGCCCTGTCCTCCAGGGCTCACTGCTAGCAGGCCGAAGGGACACTGTTCGGGACACTCCCCTCGAGCTAACAGGCCCTGACATGCGCCGTGCTCCTTGTCACCGTGGTGGCACCGTCAGCATGCTGGCCGTTTTCAGTGAGCAAGGCCGGTAGGTAAACACGGGGAATAAACACTGCACCTCCTCCCCCACACCCGAATGAGACAGGCAAGTGGAAAGGTTGAGAACAACCCGACGGCTGGCTCCTGCCAGCGCACTGCGCCGCCGCTGTTCTAAGGGCTTCGCACACCCGCCGCGGCTGCTGGAGCTGCTGCAGGAAGAAAGAGTCATCGAGGACAAATCCCAGCCTCGAGGCTAACACCAGGGTGAAAGAAACGATCAACATGGTTGAATCCTTTAGAGTTGGCGACTTCTTCTCATCCAAGTACCTCGTTACGAGAGTGCAAAGCAAACCACGGGCTGAGGAGGAGGCTGAGAAGCCATCTACCCCCGGAAAAACATAAAGAACGCCCACAAACCAGAAAGAAAATAATCCGGTCAAAGATGAGCCATGGACTTTCTATCCTCGATAGAAAGATGGTAATAAGCCCATGAAAAGATGCACAGTGACACCAGTCAGGAGAGAATGCAGCTGAAGACCGGACGAGAGAGCCCCGCCCACCCACGAGAACGGCTGACACAGAAGATGCTGCGCCCGGAGAGGTCAGGGAGGGCGGGGGGCGCCCGGAACTCACGCACTGCTGGCGGGTCGGGAACGGATACCGCCGCTCGGGAAGACGGCTGGACGTGATCTCAGAGCTGCAGCCGTCCATACCCGAAACCCCGGTCATGGCACCTCACACAGCGCCGGCGCTTGCATACGTGTAGAAGAATATTCCCCGCGTCATTGATCATGATGAAACCACCCAAGTGGGCATCGGCAGACTACATCAAAACAAAACGGAAAAAGATAAATGATGACGGGATTACACGTGGAGCAATACAACCATAAAAACGAAAAACCCCAGCTACACTCTAAAATGAATGACTCTCATTCACATACATGCTGAAGGAAAGAGATAAGACACAAAAGCATGCAAATAGTATGTGTGGTTCAATTTATAGAAAATTCCAGAACTGAGTAAAATGAAACTGTTGTTTGGGGGTCTGTCCGTGGGTGTTTCACGTACTAAGAAGAAGGGGAGTGACCCCTCAGACCCAGAGGAGACGCACCGTGGACTTCCAAGGTTCTGTTCTGTGTCTCGTCCCCAGCTCCTGTCCTCAAGGCCACCACGCTGTGGCCATGAACCATGTCACTTCCCAGAGGTTTGGTTTCCCTGGTTCTCTGTCAGGAGTGTGGGTGCAGCTTGGCACAGGGAAACGATGCCACCTCCTTCCACAACCCACCCTGGCCCCACCAGCTCTGTGCTCCTCCCTCAGTTTCCCCGTCTGCAAATGGGGCATGATGGAGCCATCATGGGAGCTAAGGTCTGGGTGCCAGAGACTGGGAAGTGAGGCCCAGCGCGAACCCTCGGGGCTTCTGCCCTGCCCACCAGGCTGCCAGGAGCCCCAGGCTGCTTGGATTCGCTGCACCATCCTCCACCAGCCAATGGCTGGGGTGACCCGGAGCAGGTCACACAGCCTATTTCCTGTTTTCAAATGGGGAACTCAGCAGAGCAACAGCCCCGAGCTGCAGCGGAGAGCTGAAGGGGGGCCATGTGACGTCTCCTGGACCCCCAGACACCCGCAGGGCCAGAAGCCTCAGGTCAGAGGTCAGTGTTTGATCCCAAGTTCAGTGGGCCTCTGCCCTTGGGACCTGAGCCCATCCTTCTGTGAGCCACCCTCCGTACCTGTTGGGGGAAGGGTGGGACAGAGAAGGGTTGGTGACAGCATCAGTATGGGGGAGCGGCTCTCCTTAGCACCTTGGGACAGAACAGGGAGCCTCCTCAACCCTCTGTGGCCTCAGTTGGAGTGCCAGATGCTTCTACAGCCCCTCTGGAACCTGGGGAATAATTCTCCACAACTGGGTTTCTCCAAAAGTGGTGGCTGGGAACACCCGCATCAGCACAGTCCTGGGGGCGAGTGCAAAATGCAGAGCCCAGGGCCCACCCACACCTGCTGGGTGGACTCTCTGGTGTCGGGAGCCAGGGGCTCTGCTTTCACAAGCCCCCAGCACCCCACCCTGAGGAGGTCCCGGTGCCAGCTGGGACAGTCCATCAGCACGGCCCCACCTCTGTGCAGGCCACAGGCAGCAAAGGACTTCAGGCCCAGGCCCGGAATCTGACGACCAGAGTTCGTGTCCCAGCTCCACCCGGTGATGCGCCTGCACACCCCTCGGGTCCGTCACGCAGGGGGTAAGGTCACCTGCACCCTTCTTATTTTGAATTTCTGCTTATGTTTTCATTGTCCCCTTTCTAATTTGTCTCAGACATTTAAAACGTTTTTCCAGCTTCCACCTTGATTTACAGCCGCTTGTTTCCATGACTTGTCGAGCATCTATCACATGTCAGAGAGCAAGAGGGACTAGTGCACTGCGCCTGGTGTGCGCGGTGCCCTGAGCTGATGCTGTGCACGGACACCAGCCTCAGGAAGTGGGCTCTGTAGTTTAAGGGAAACTGAGGCACAGAGACGGTAAGGCACTCGCCGGGCACCAGGCCGTCTCATTCACGTGTCCGGGTCACGGACAGCTGCTGCACGGACGGAACCCCAGGGCTCCCGCCGCTTATCCTCCCCTGCGCAGGGCGGAGAGGGTTCTGAAGTCAGACCAGCCTGCGCTCGTGTCCTGCCCCACCTACCAGCTCTCGATCCTGGGCAACTCCAACTCTCGGTTCTTTTATCCTAAAATGGAGATTTGAAACTCCTACCGCCACGGGTTCACATTGAGCGAGAGGGTGGGTGTCGCCTGCAGAGGGCACAGCCTGGCACGGCGCAAGCACTTGGCTTTGCTTGCTGGGCACACTCACCAGCCATGTGACCTTGGGCTTGACCCCATCTGTTCTTGGAGTCACGGTAGATTTGGGGGTTTCCTGTATTAAATACGATAGTGGGTGTGAAGAACCTGGGTGACTACGACTTGGGTATAAGAAGTTGTCAGTAGCCCTGGCTAGTGTGGCTCAGTTGGCTGGGTGTCATCCTGGGGACCGAAAGGTCCCTGGTTGATTCCCAGTCAGGGCACATGCCTGGCTCGCGGGCTTGCTCCCCAGTAGGGGGTGTGCAGCTGACAGCTGATAGAGGTTTCTCTCTCTCAAAAAAAAATTTTTTTTTGAATCAATAAAAACATATACTTTTGTTAAGTCAGTAAATGTTCATGTAACAACAGAGAGAGACGGAAGTCAGATACCAGCGCCCTCCACTGGACACAGGCTCGTGCACAAATGCGTATCAAATGGAGAGCTGGGACCTTCTTCTGGACAAGCCAGCATTTTTCTTACCTTTGCTTGAAGTCGCCTCATTTCACACGCAACTTGGTAATAGAAGGATCCCAACAAGAAGAGAGGATCTGCTCGGCCTTGGACCATAAGTCCAGCGAAGGGCCAGACCCTGGCTTGGCCTCTCACGCTGGGCGGACAGCGGGGTGGGCGGTGAAGGGAGAACTCAGCCGTCGGGACTGTGACACGAGTCCCAGGCGTCCCAGGACCCCCCGGGAGCCCACATGAGTGGGCACTTGCTGTTTCTTCTTCCCCCCTGTAGCCTTGCAGCATGGCGAGTGCCGAGCACCCTGGGGGCCCCAGACGGACAGGATGCAGAGCCCAGAGCACGGCAGGGCCCCAGCAGGAGGCGTCAGCCACTGGCCCTGACCTCCTGCCTCCAGGACCGGAAGGGGACTCAGGTAGGCCCGAGGCCTGGGGCTTGGTCAGGGGAACAGAGGCTTGAGGACATTTGAAACACACATGTGGGTACTTCAGTAGATGCCACAGGCAGTGGGGCAGCTCTCGTGGCGTGGCTTATCCCAAAGCAGACACTGAGACGGCTTTCGTGGGTTACCTGCCAGACGGTCCCAGGAGGGACAGCCGGGCAGGGGGAAAGCCATGTAGGAACGGAAGGAAGGGCAGGAATCCATGAGGGGTGTCCATGAACAGATTTTGGGGCAACTGGGCTCCATTCCAACAGGGGTTCTCTGGGAGTCTATCTAGAGCAACCCTCAGAGTGGTCCCATCTGAGAAGCGAGGAGGCCGGGCTATGACACAGCAGTCCCACCCTTCATGGCTGAGGGCTCCCCACGATAAGCTGCTGATGCCTGAGAAAGTCCTCGGGCAGGACCCATAGGAAGCCCGGGGATGGTCCAGGACAGCGAGCACCAAGGCGTCTGCTCCAACACCGTCTCCTGGAGCCAATCTCTGCTCATCACTGACTCATTCACTCACTGGTCCGAGATGTGCCCCCTGAACACCTGCTCTGTCCCCGGCCCCGTGTAGGCTGCTGGGGAAACAGGGACAAATCCGGCCCCGTGCCAGCCCTCAGGCTCAGAAACAGTGAAAGATCATTTCACGGTGAAAGAAGAGACTACAGGGCTGAGGTGGGCAGCTCTCACACTGATGCCGCGAAGTGACACGAGGGCTGGGTCTTAAAGGACACGTTGGAGAAGGGCTCCTGGGACCCATATCCCTTGAAAGAAAGTGCACAGTGGTTAGCACATTTCTGGTGGAGAAGGGTTTTCTCGGCCAGGGTTCTCAGACTGGCCCAGGGTTCAGGGGAGGCTTAAGGAACACAGTGGCCAATGCTTGAGGCAGGGGAGAGGGTGGCACTGAAGGCAGAAGAGGTGACATGTGCAAGAAAAAGCATGGAGTATGGGCAATGAGGGGAGAGGGTTGGGAGGGGCCCAACATCCTCCTAGCCGCCGGTGCGGCGCTGACCTGTGCTCAGGGGGCCCACGCAGCCACGGAGTCAGTGATGTGCCAAGTGCGGAGGTGAGCTCGCCACGGTCCCTGCTCACCAGGGACACGAAGCTCCATGGTGGCCAACCTGCAGCCGGCAAGTGGACCATGCATCACACCCTAAACCCCTTGGGGAGGAGGGGCTACTTCAGGTCATCCGTGGCAGGATGGATTCAGCTGGCTGGGGCATAGGGTCGGGCTGGTGCCCAGCTGGACCTGTTCTTGGTAGGATGAGTCACAGCTCTTCTGGGAATCTGCTGTTCCATCCCAGACGGACCCAGCCATTTCCCGGGCCCCTGCACTGACCTGGTCCGAGTCCTCAGGGGTGCTATTCTTGCAGACACCGGCAGCAGCCCGAACCCCAACTCCAGCATGACCACGCGGGAGCTGCAGGAGTACTGGAGGCACGAGAAGGGCTGCTGGAAGCCCGTCAAGCTGCTCTTCGAGATCGCGTCGGCCCGCATCGAGGAGAGGAAGGTCTCCAAGTTCGTGGTGAGCACCGCCTCCGCCCCGCCTCCGCCCGCCCTGGGCGCCGGCTCCTTTCAGGGCCTCCGCTTTCCCAGCCGTGGATGGGTTCACACACTCTAACTCCCGGAGCACTTCTGGGGCAACAGTCAAAGAGCAAGATTTCATGCTCAGCACAGTGCTGGGGCTGTGAGGACTGGAGCTGTATGAGTCACGGTCCCTGGTCCTCAGGAGGAGCTGGCCATTGATCCCGTGTTGTCTGGTATCAGTCGTCTGCGTCCCTTTGCCTTTTTTACCATATTCCTGTATCATTTATATTATTGTTTGCCTAATTGTTTCCTTTCAATTAGATCACATTTATTTATTTATTTTTAATTTATCTTTATTGTTGAAAGTATTACAGATGTCCCTCCTTCTATATTTTTTAATTGATTTTCTAGAGAGCGATAGAAACATCGATGTCCGAGAGAAACATTCATCAGCTGCCTCCTGCACACCCCTACTACAGATCCAGCCTGAAACCCGGGCACGCGCCCTGACTGGGAATCAAACCGGGACCCCTCAGTCCATGGGACGATGCTCAGTCCACTGAGCCACACTGCCAGATGTCCCTCCTATTCCCCCCCATTGACCCCCTGAAATTGGTTCACTTTTTAACAACACTAAATATATTCATTTCTAAGAAAAATGCCTTAATGGAAAGCCAGTATCCTGTCATAAAGAAAAGGTGGTCATGGAAGTAAACGCAGGGAGCACTAGGTACTGCTATTAAACCCCGGCCGGCTCCTGGGGAGAAAGCTCTGTGTTTGGGGCTGCTCTCTGTAACAGCAGAATTTCAGCCAGTGTCAGGGGAGATGTTACTGGCCACGGAACAGCCACGCTTCACCTCCCTGGGACTGGAGTTAGGACAACAGAGGACGCTGCATGCTGGCTGCCGGCTGCTTTCAGGGCACAAACTCATTTAATCCTCACCCAGTGTGGCTCAGAGAGGTTAAATTACCCACCTGAGACCACCCAGCTGGACCAGGGTGGGGCTGGAATGATAACCTGCACCTTCATCAGTATCCTCTTAAAGGGAAGCAGAAAGGAACCGTTTTCCTACAGTCCAACACTGCGGCCAGTGCAGCGCCTAAGCCATCTCCCAGGTGTGGGGCCTCTGGCAGCACACACCCCCTTCAGGCTTCCCCTGCAGGAACCCCTGCACCCCCGGGCTGGCCGGCTCCTGCGCCCTGCTCCCCGAGGTGCCTCCTCAGCTTGTTCTTCTTGGGTTCATGCTCCACTTTTACAGCTCGGCCGGTCCCCACGGCAATGTAAGCCAGAGTCACACAACAGCAGCCGTTTTCAGGGCAGGCTTTATGGTCGCCGCTACTTTTACTTGCCAGGCTTGCCCTGTCGGCTCACCCCGCCGTGAGGGTGCGCTCAGGGCTGTCTCTCTGCACCGCAGATGTGGGGGTGCGCTCAGGGCTGTCTCTCTGCACCACAGATGTGGGGGTGCGCTCAGGGGCTGTCTCTCTGCACCGCAGATGTGGGGGTGCGCTCAGGACTGTGACCCTGCACCGCAGATGTGGGGTACACTCAGGGCTGTCTCTCTGCACCGCAGATGTGGGGGTGCGCTCAGTGGCTGTCTCTCTGCACCGCAGATGTGGGGGTGCACTCAGGGCTGTCTCTCTGCACCACAGATGTGGGGGTGCGCTCAGGGGCTGTCTCTCTGCACCGCAGATGAGGGGGTGCGCTCAGGACTGTGACCCTGCACCGCAGATGTGGGGGTACACTCAGGGCTGTCTCTCTGCACCGCAGATGTGGGGGTGCGCTCAGTGGCTGTCTCTCTGCACCGCAGATGTGGGGGTGCACTCAGGGCTGTCTCTCTGCACCGCAGATGTGGGGGTGCGCTCAGTGGCTGTGTCTCTGCACTGCAGATGTGGGGGTGCGCTCAGTGGCTGTCTCTCTGCACCGCAGATGTGGGGGTGCGCTCAGGGCTGTCTCTCTGCACCGCAGATGTGGGGGTGGGCTCAGGGCTGTCTCTCTGCACCGCAGATGTGGGGGTGCGCTCAGGGCTGTCTCTCTGCACCGCAGATGTGGGGGTGCGCTCAGGGCTGTCTCTCTGCACCACAGATGTGGGGGTGCGCTCAGGGGCTGTCTCTCTGCACCGCAGATGAGGGGGTGCGCTCAGGACTGTGACCCTGCACCGCAGATGTGGGGGTGCGCTCAGGGCTGTCTCTCTCACCGCAGATGTGGGGGTGCGCTCAGTGGCTGTGTCTCTGCACCGCAGATGTGGGGGTGCGCTCAGGGCTGTCTCTCTGCACCGCAGATGTGGGGGTGCGCTCAGTGGCTGTGTCTCTGCACCGCAGATGTGGGGGTGCGCTCAGGGCTGTCTCTCTGCACCGCAGATGTGGGGGTGCGCTCAGTGGCTGTCTCTCTGCACCGCAGATGTGGGGGTGCACTCAGTGGCTGTCTCTCTGCACCGCAGATGTGGGGGTGCGCTCAGGGCTGTCTCTCTGCACCGCAGATGTGGGGGTGGGCTCAGGGCTGTCTCTCTGCACCGCAGATGTGGGGGTGCGCTCAGGGCTGTCTCTCTGCACCGCAGATGTGGGGGTGCGCTCAGTGGCTGTGTCTCTGCACCGCAGATGTGGGGGTGCGCTCAGGGCTGTGTCCCTGCACCGCAGATGTGGGGGTGCGCTCAGTGGCTGTGTCCCTGCACCGCAGATGTGGGGGTGGGCTCAGTGGCTGTCTCTCCGCACCGCAGATGTGGGGGTGCGCTCAGTGGCTGTCTCTCTGCACCGCAGATGTGGGGGTGGGCTCAGGGCTGTCTCTCTGCACCGCAGATGTGGGGGTGCGCTCAGTGGCTGTCTCTCTGCACCGCAGATGTACCAGATCGTCGTCATCCAGACGGGCAGCTTCGACAGCACCAAAGCGGTCCTGGAGCGGCGCTATTCCGACTTCCAGGCGCTCCAGAAAACCCTCCTGAAGACGTTCGGGGAGGAGATCGAGGACGTCCCCTTCCCCAAGAAGCACCTGGTGGGGAACTTCACGCAGGAGATGATCCTGGAGCGCAAGCTGGCCTTCAAGGAGTACCTGAGCCAGCTCTACGCCATCCGCTGCGTGCGCAGGTCGCGCGAGTTCATCGACTTCCTGACGCGGCCCGAGCTGAAGGAGGCCTTCGGCTGCCTGCGGGCCGGCCAGTACCCCAAGGCCCTGGACATCCTGACGCACGTGGTGCCGCTGCAGGAGAAGCTGACGGGCCACTGCCCGGGGATGGTGGTCCCCGCCCTCTGCGCCATGCTCGTGTGCCACCGAGAGCTCGAGCGCCCCCTGGAGGCCTTCGCCGCCGGCGAGAGGGCCCTGGAGCGCCTGCAGGCCCGGGAGGGCCACCGTTACTACGCCCCGCTGCTGGACGCTATGGTGCGCCTGGCCTACGCGCTGGGCAAGGACTTTGTGTCGCTGCAGGTGAGGCTGGAGGACAGCCAGCTCCAGAAGCCCACCTCCCGGGGCTTCACCCTGAAGGAACTGGCCGTCCTGGAGTATCTCTGACGAGCCGCCTGGTAGAGGGACTGCAGACCCGGGATGGGCATTGCTCTGTGGCTGCCCGGGGTGCCTTTTGGATGGGAATGGCCAGGACAGGCCACTTCAGCTCTAACCCGCATGGTGACCTTGAACAAGTGCCCCCTCTCGTCCTCTGTTTCCCAGCTGTGTTGAACTGAGGTTCTCTGGGGTGTCCTTGGAAGCCTCTGCTGGTGTCCTGTGTCCCCTAGATGCCAGGCTCACTTTATCTCAAAACCACAAGCCCAGTGCCAGAACCCTGGACAGTAAGATCCATCTCCTCGATGCTTTTGTAGGGAGCTGGAGCAGAGGTCTCCACCACGCACGTGGATGGACACAGCTGAGTCCGTTTCTTCTCTGAAGCTGTTCTTGGTATTTTCTGTCTGCTCCTCCCCGGCCCGCACCCCCACCCACAGGTGCTGCCTAAGCAAATAGCAAATATTCCCACCTAAGTATCTTATCCTAATTACTCTGGTTCTTCCCTCTGAGCGTGTAGACCCAACTCACAAAACAAATCTCACCACCTGCTCCTCGGGGCCAGTGTGGGCCCCGGCTGGGGGCTGTCATACTTTGAAGGGTAGAAGTAACCATGTCCTAAGAGTCTGTGATTCAAGGCATTTTTTCACAAAGGCAGTTAGGAGGATATAACCCATTGCCTCAGGGTAGATTTTCATTTATAAGGCAAGGGTCCCTTGAATGGCCTCCTGGCTTCCGGAGCTGTAGCCCTCGGGGAGGAGGGAGAAGACTCTCTGAAGGAAGTTAGCCTCGGACCAGGCCAGTCGAGAGGGCGGATGCCACTGAATCGGGGTGTGTCAAATGTGGGGGTATTGTGCACCTCCAAATCACACACACGTGGTGTATGTGTGTGGTAGAGAGGATTTTTTAAAAACCTAACAATGGGGTAGAGGGGACTTACAAAGTCACATCGGGGGCTTCCCGTTAGACCCCTAATGCAGGGCTGGCTCCCCACTGTGCGCACAGGGAATGGACTTACTCTGATGTCCTAAGAAGGAACTGCCCACAAAGGCTCACTTCACAGGGCTCCCGCCTTGTCTCCTGGTGACCTCCAGGCCGGACAGCCGTGGCCCGACGGTCACAGTGCTTCTAGTCACACATGGTCTCCTCCCGTCAGCTTGGGATGACCCTGTCATCCTCCTGGCATCTCCCTTTTGCTGGAGAAGTCGGAGACCCACTCACTTCTTGGGTCTGGCACAAGTCCTTCAACTCCTCCAGCTCCCTCCTCCCGGAAGCCTTCCCCGTGGCCCACCACAACCCGGCCGGGGACCAGAAGCGTCAGCTTGTAAGAAACGCCGAATCGCAGGCCCCACCCCGGACCTCCTGAAGCAGGATCTGCACGTGAAAAGGCTCCCGCCCCTTCTTCATAAGCGATTCCTGTCCGCACAGTTTAAAGTAGGGGACCCTCTGGTTTGGAGGGGCCTTGAAGAGCCGTCTGCTGTCAGGTTCCTCCCCACTGCCTGGCCCTGTCCCACACACCTGCCCCAGCCCAGGCCAGCTCACCCACACCTGGCAACCATCAGGCACTGCCTGGAGGCTGGGGGCTCCTTCAGACAGCAGCCTGCCCAGCAGCCTCTCCCTGCCCTATGCCCACCCTCCCCACCCCCAGGACAGGATTAGACATCCGTGTGGCCTGTGCCTGGGATGCTGGCAGGCAAGCCGCCCTCCCCACCCCACCACCCCCCCGGCCAAGATGGGAAACAGCATGTCAGTGGCCGCCTCTGTGCTGAGACCAGAGCTGCCCAGCCCTGTCACAGCCCTGCTGTGTGTCCAGGGTGCCCCTCGACACTGCCTGTGCGGCTCTGCTTGAGAGATGTCCTTGTTCCATTTAACAGACAGGACACAGACACCCTGAGGGGTTAAGTGACCTTCCCAAAGTCACACAGCCAGCAAGGGGCACAGCAGGAAATTCAGCACAGGCCCTGTGATCCCGCTGGGGGGCGGAAGAAGAGGGCTGGGGATGTGCCCGGTCCTCTCACCCTAAGTGCCCTCTAAGGTCATTTCACTCATGTCTGTTTACAGGTGGGGAAACTGAGGCTTCACTCAAGGTTACATAGGGCAGCTCCAGGACCAGAGCTGGCGTGTCCACATCAAAGCAGTATGATCTGGAAGGCAAGCAGACACAGTAATCCTGGGTTGGAATTCCAAGGGCCCCGCTGGACCGGGGGTGCAGGGTCAGACTGACTGTGGGGCAGAGGCTGGTAGCCTGCCGGCCAGGAAGCTTGCTTCATTGTGGGCTCCAGCCCCCACACCCCTAGCTCTGGAGGCCACAAAACCATCTCCAATACCACCTGTGAGGGAGGGGCTCCCATGCACCCCTAGCTGGGCTCTCCTGGCTCCTCCAGATCTTTCCTGTCCCTCCGGCAACAACTACAAAGAGCTGCCTTCTAGAACCCTCCCTCCCTCCCTTCCTCTCTTCGGCCAACAATGCCACCACCTGTTCCTTCGGCCCCTCGCCATTCCGCCATTCCGTCTGGCAACCTCCTTTTACTTAGGAAATTTCCTATCACTGCCCCAAGGAAAATCAGAATCACTTGCTGTAATTAGCAGGTGGCTATAAAAACCCACACCGTGGAGCCTGCGTCTGTGACGACACCTGCAGGCCCTTGTCTGAGGCAGGCCCCGTCCGCTGCCAGAGACTGGCTTCAGCAAGCTCAGCCTGCTCTCTGACCTTCTCAGGAGGACTGGAAAACACTGAAGGAAGTTTCCGGAGCATGGCCTGGGTCGTCCGCAGTGTTCTGTGCAGCACCCCTGACTGCCGGGCTCCCTCCCTGGCCCTGGGCCCGTCCCCATGCCGTGTGTTCAGCTCTGCTTGTTCTCCTGCCCCTTGGCTCTGACTGACATCCTTGGCTTTCAACACCCAAGCTGGGAAGTGGTACCCAGGCTGCAGCTCCTCCGTCCTGCGGCTGTGACATGGGGCAGATATCTTACCTGGTATCAGGTAAGACTCCCAAACAAAGGGAGAGTTCTGGGCCCACCAGAGCCCGAACCCGCAGCATGTCCTATAGGTGGTGTCACCGTGCCCCCTGTTTCGAGGGCCCTGCATCGCCCCCCCCCCCCAGTCAGCACGGAAAAGGGCCTCTCCACAGCCTCACCCACCCGCCTGTGCATGTTCTCAGTCAGCAGCAGTTAATGACCATCTTCCCATGCGCCAGCCCCTGCGAAGAGCTGAGGACAGAGCAGTGAACAGGACAGGCCCAGTCCCTGCTACAAGGGAGCCACTCAGAGCAGACAGAAGCTGGAGCAGAATGGTTTTCCTCAGCCAGATGGTCGGGGGTCTTCTCGGAGGAGGAGTTTCAGGGAGCCATAGGGACGCTAGGAGGCGGCCATGGCAGATGGGGAGGCGGGAAGGTCAGGCAGAGTGAGGCAGAAATGCAGCCTTGAGGCAGGAGCCTCCTCCATCCCTGGGACCCAGGGTTGGGCCAAGAACGGAGGCAGCCCCCACCCTGGCTGTGCCAACCGAGAGGAAGGTTCCAGGTGTTGACAGAGACGTGCCTGGAAGGTCACACCTGTGCCAGCCCCATCTCCAGTAACAGGCTCAAAGTGAATCAGCTGGGGAGCCCGAGTTTGGGTGTCAAGTGACAGAAAGCCAGGCCAATCTGACAAGGGAGGACTTTATTTTCAGAAAAAAACCCGGGAACAGACTAGCTTGAAACCAAGTTGGATCCAAAGACTCAAACCTTGTCACTCAGTCTCTTTCACTTTCACTTTCTCTGTATCACTTCCGCGTTGCCTTCTCTCGTCTCCTGGTGGCAAGATGGCTGCAGCAGCTCCAGGCTTCCACGCGCCCTTCTCTGCAAGCCCAGAGGACGCCCTCCAGGGTTCTCATGAACTTTCACCTGTAGGAAATGCAGGGAACACCCACATGTCCTTTCCTCGGGAGCCTGGGTGGCACCCCCACCCCACAGTGCAGCAACCATGATCAGCCGCCCACCTACAACAGAAATAGGTCTTACCTTGTTTTGCAATCTGCTTTGCAAATGTAAGAGACTTTATTTCCTTGAGCAGTTTTAGGTTTGCAGCAAAATTAAGAAAAAAGGTACAGAGATTTCCCATTTGTCCCCTCCCCACACACAGGCACAGCCTCCCCCACTATCCACACCCCCACCAGAGGGTGCATTTGATGAGACTACACTGACACATTATCACCCAGAGTCCACAGTTGACATGAGGGTTTACCCTTGGCATCATACATTCTATGGGTTTAGATAAATGTATCCGCCATTAACATGTATGCGAGTATGAAGTACAATTAAATTCTATCACTGTATCATGAGGATTTCCCTGTAACATATACTATCCTCCCTGCCATTGCTATTGCTATTGGCTTCATTGTATCCTAGTACATGTGCCCTGGTGTTTTCTCTCTTGTGCAGTGTTACAGAATTTCCTTATTTCGGGCAACAAAGCAACCGCCTTGACCAATGTTTTTGTCTTCGTGCACTCCTAAGGCAATTTCTACCAGTGAGTTCTCAATCATAACCAAACAGTTTTAAAGATTTTGATATTAATTTCTCTCTCTCCGGAGAGGCTGTTCTAACTAGCCCATCAGCTGAGTAGGAGATGACCATTTCTTCTGAACTTCCAAAACTGGAGGTTAGCACCTTACAACTAGTTTCCCGTGTGAGAGATGAGAAGCGGTACCCACGGTGTAATGTGCGTTTCCTCGTTCCTCATGAGTGTGGACATTTCACAGGCTTACTGGTCATGTCTGTTGTCCTGGAGGCTGCCAGGATGTTTCTTTCCCTTGCCCACCGGGCACTTCTGCAGGAAGGCGACGTCGAGGGAGGACCTAATCCTGACATTTAAAAGGCGACCAGCAGATGGCGCCGCCGCACTGGGGGCTCGGCAAGCTTCGCGGGTTGTGTGGCGCAAAGGCGGGGAACAGTAGGGGAATCGAGCATTTCCCGAAAAAGAAAAAGACTTTGAAAAAGCCATTCAAAGGGGTTGAGATAATGCTAGAAATAAAAAAGAGCTTTGCTGGGAAAGAGCCGATGCTTTGCTGCCTCCTTAACCACCCCCCATGCGTCACTGCCACTGGTGCTTGGGGTCCCAGGCGACCCCACTTGGGGTTCGGGACCTCACGCCTCGGTTCCTGTTCCCCCAGCCTCTTCCTTGCCCTACCGAGGCCCCCGAGGCAGAGGAGGCCCCCATGCTGCCGCCCCTTCCACCTCCTGGGGGATCAGAAGGGAGCAGGTGAAACCGGAAAATCCTAACAAAATAGGGCGCGTAAAAATAGTCAAGGGGCTGCGGAGCCTCTAGGAGCCTCTCATGTTGTGACCAGCTGGCTCCTGGGCCAGCCGCCTTGATTAAACCTCCCTTGTTATGGGCGAGAGGCCCTTTTTCCAACGGGAGGGGGTTGGGCACCCCAGAGCCCCACCACGTCGCCTTCCAGGAGGGAGGCTTTGGGTGCCATGCTCCTCCCC